TCACACATCATTTTAAAAGTTTTTTGCAAATTTTAAACCTAGGAGAAAGTTAAAAGATTGGTGTACAATTAATCCCACTATTCCCACCATCTAGAATGTGTCTTTTATGTTTTGCTATATTTTGTTTTATACAACCTGCCATCCATCCATCCATCCATCCATCCATCCATCCATCCATCCATCCATCCTTCTAGAGATCTATCAATTTGTTTTATTTTTGGTCATTTTAAAGTGGAATTTAAAACATTAACACAGTGCCTCTTTAAACTCTTCAAAATGCACACCTTTAAATACAGCTATAGACATCTGTAGTTCATTTTTTCTCTTTTGATATAAAATGTACATACAAGAAAATGTGCAAATTGTACGTGAACCATTTGATAACTTTTGACCACAGTACACCTGTGCGACTCAAACCTCTGTTGAGATAACAGAACAATGTTATCACCCCAAAGAGTTAACTGCCACCCTTCCCTGGTTAACCCTTACCTCTCCTTTTCTCTCCCCCAAGAGACAATCAGTGCTCTGATTTTCATAACTGTGGAATCATACCATGTGTGTTCTTGTTTCTAGCTTTTTTTACTTAGCACAATGCTTCTGAGTGATGTCCACGTTGTTGCACGTGTCAGTAGCTTCTTTTCTTTTCTAAGTAACGTTCCTGTGTGTGGATCTACTGTAGTTTGTGTAGCCATCCTCCAGTGACAGACACTTCTGCAGCATTCTGAGCTGAGTTGGTCATAAGTCACTAAACCTATGGGCTTTTGTGAAACTTTTGTGAAATGTATAGGCTATCTCAGTCATTATTTCCACTTCTCAACTGGGAGATTTGTGAGAAAAAACTTTTGCAAGCATTTAGCCTTTTAAGTTGAAATTCATGAGAACCTTACTTTGTTTCTTCACTTTTTTGTTTTTACATCGTTACTAGTTTGAAAGGCTTTGTCTCCTCCTTGTTTATAAGTATCTTGCAGAAATTGGCATTAGTGAGACGCCTGGCCTGTATTGTGATCCACAGTTATTGAGAACAAATGCCTACAAAATTATTCTTTTGGAAGGAAGGATAAGCCATGCTGGCCAAAGAGGACAGAATAGGAGGTTCAGAAACAAATACCATTGCATCAAGGTCAAATGAAACTGATGGGAAATGACTAGCACGGGGCCAAATATTGACATTCCACATTCAAGTTTGTCTTTGTTGCCTCTTCCTTAGTTTTCCCGATTCACTCTTTTTCATTCACTTGGGATGTTTCCTCTGTTCTTTCTTTACTGCTGTGCCATCATTTTAAGAATCATTGAACACTCTTCTTCTATTCTCTGCAGACAAGGTACCTCGAGCAATTGCTCTGAAATCAACCATTGGAACCTTCCTCTGAATCTCAGGCAACATGTCACCTCTCACAGGAGGGGGAGAGAGGGAAGGGTTGTATTTACAGGCTTTATTTTTGCCAGTCAAATTAAATGGTGAGAGTGACTGCTTCTTGTTCGGAGCATGTTAGATGGTAGTAAGGAGAAAAAGGAATATTTTTGGTGTGGTATCAAGAATTTCCCAGTGATCCTAAAAGAACTCTATGTCTTCTGCTGCTTCCTCTGCCCTCCCATAGCGTGGACCCTGACCAAAAGAGGCAGAACAAGTTAACATCAGTGCAGGCATCACTGATAGGCTTGACTATCTCTAAGGCTCTGCAAGAAGGAAAGATAACCTCCTTTGGAAGAGAGAAATAGCAGCGATCTTACTTAATATGCTTATTAAAGTTTCACCTTTCCTAAATGCAGGCTTCTAATACCATGTCTTAAAAGTGGTTACAATGATAAATCTCCATGTTATGTCTATTTTACCACAATAAAAAACGCTTCTTATCAGGAATGGAGAACATGGTTCTGATCTCAGGCTTTTCATAGTTTAACAGTGAAGCCAATGTTCCTTTTGTGCTCTAACTTTCCCTGCTGAAAATGAAGGGAGGGTAAGAGTATTTGGAAGCCCTTACTTAACACCTATGTGAGTGCACAGCATAGTAATTTGATGCATACTTAAGCCTAAAGAGCCCTGATCATTTACCTTCCTATCTGGAGTGCCATCAACATAGGGAATAATTTGTGATGTGAATACTAAATGCGCCTCTGATCTTTTCTTTCTCAATACTCAGATTCAGAGGTTGCCTTCACACAATATAAATAATCTTAAAACAAATACCATTTTATTATCTCTGTATATTTGATTTTTTTTTTTTTTTTTTTTTTTTTTTTTTTTTTGAGACGGAGTCTCGCTCTGTCTCCCAGGCTGGAGTGCAGTGGCGCGATCTCGGCTCACTGCAAGCTCCGCCTCCCGGGTTCCCGCCATTCTCCTGCCTCAGCCTCCTGAGTAGCTGGGACTACAGGCGCCGCCACCTAGCCCGGCTAATTTTTTTTTGTATTTTTAGTAGAGACGGGGTTTCACTGTGGTCTCGATCTCCTGACCTTGTGATCCGCCTGCCTCGGCCTCCCAAAGTGCTGGGATTACAGGCTTGAGCCACCGCGCCCGGCCGATTTTTTTAAGATTCCACATATAAATGAGACCCTATAGGGGTTTTTTTTCCACTTCCGGCTTATTTCATTTAGCATAATGTCCTCCAGGTCCATCCATATCATGGCAAATGGCAGAATCCCTACTTTTTAAGGCCGAATAATATTCCATTTTATACACACACACATTATTATATACATACACACATAGGTAGTCACACACACACACAAACACATATATTCACACACATATATTCACACACACATACATGCATATATATACACACACACAAAAACATTCACACACATACCTACACACACATATATATTCACACACACAAACACATATATTCACACACATACATACACGTTCATACCACATATACATACACACATATATATTCACACATATATACATGCACATGCATATATTTTATTCACATAAATACATACACACATATTCACATACATATACATACTAACACATATATATTCACATACATATACACATACACACACATATACATGGAAATATCCTAAGTGTCCATTGACAGGGGAATGAATAAAAAGAATGCTACACACACACACACACGTATTCACACACACATATACATACATGCACCTATATTCACACACATATATATGGATACTCATATTCATACATACATGCACACACATATATATTCACACACATATACAATACAAAGACACACACATATATATTCACACATGTATACACACACACACATATGGAAACATCCTAAGTGTCCATTGACAGAGGAATAAAGAGAATGCTACACACACACACACACACACAGAGGCATATATTAATATACTAAACATTATCTTTATCCATTCCTGTTTTAAACACTTAGAATGTCTCTATATATTGGCTAGTATGAATAATGCTGCAATGATGACAGGAGTGCAGACATCTTTATAAGCTGGCGACTTTATCTCCTTCAAATACATACCCAGAAGAGGAATTGCTGGGTCATATGCTAGTTCCATTTTTAATTTACTTAGAAATATCCATACTGTTTTCCATAATGCCTGTAGCAATCTGCATTCTCACCAACAGTTACCAGGGGTGAGAGGAAACAGGGAGGAGTTGATGAACTGATGCAAAGTAGCACATGTGCAGGATGAAGTCTAGAGAGCTAATGTACAACAAGAGGACTAAAGTTAGTGAAATCATACTGCATTACTGATTTTGGTTAAATCAGTAGATTTTACTGCTCTTGTTACAAAAAAAGTAACTATTGAGATGATAGTTATGTTAATTTGCTTCACTACAATACCATTTTACTATCTATATGTATCCTTCCCATACCACCATGTTGTAAACCTCGGGCATACACAATAAAATTTACTTTACAAAAGAAAAAAAAATTTTTATATGGGATTTTATATAGTAAAGGGGGCCACACAGCTAGACATCAAGAAATGCCCGTACTTTGGGTGGTATTGTCTGGTTTCCATTCAACCATTAGTTATGAGATAGAATCAAGCCAAAGAAAACTTATTTATGGTTTATTTTACCATTTATAAAACCAGATGCACACTGTTGCTTCTCTGGTCAGAGATGTTGCAACTTAAATAGGCATTTCTAGGATACCATGGAAGTGCACAGAGTGTAATTGCTACCAGTCCCTTTGGTGCACATTTTTGAGGAGGCCATGGTTAGGGAGCAGCACAGCCTAGTGGCCATAGTACAGACTGGTTCTCAGGATCATGGTTCTTCAGAGCTGGACTCTTCCAATGACCATTGTGTACCCTTGAGTATGTCACATACAGATGACACAGAAATCACAATGAAAATATCACCACTTAATATTCCACCTACAAATGTGGGGGAAGGAAAATAGAAACTCCCCAACCTTTCAAATTGTCCTGCTTGCCTACATCTAACTCAAAAAGGTATGTGTAAGTTTATGTAATTAGAAGGCCGAACGCCAGTGGCTCATGCCTATAATCCCAGCACTTTGGGAGGCCGAGGCGGGAGGAGAGTTTGAGGCCAGGAGTTCAAGACCAGCCTGATCAACATGACAAAACCCCATCTCCACAAAAAAATACAAAAATGGTGGTATATGCCTGTAATCCCAGGTACTACTGGGCAGGGGTGGGGGGGTGCTGCAGCATGGGAATTGCTTCAACCCAGGAGGTGAAGGTTGCAGTGAGCTGAGATCACACCACTGCACGTCAGCCTGGGCGACAGTGAGACTGTCTCAAATATATATATATATATAGTTAGTTAGGTAGTTAGTTAGTTAGTTAGTAACTCCATGCTTTAAAATAGAGATTTATATACAGGAGATAAGATATCATGGTAGAGGAAAGTTAATACTTCCAAAGGAAATGAGACACTCAAAAGATTACATTATTTTACAAACATCTGTAAGAATACCAGCACCATAGTTGTTATTGTTACCTGGGGAGCAATTTAAAATGAAAACCGTCTCCAATGATAAATCAGAAGCTTTTTTTTTTTTTTTTAATATCAGAGCAGAATACAAACCAGAGAAGCTTCCTTCACATTCCTTTGAGATTGACCATGAAGATGCTGATAAGGATGAAGTAAGTAAAGAGTTGAAAGTGAGATGTTTAAAACATGAGGATAATTAGTTTGTCTTGCACTAAAAGTTTTGAGTTCTGACCGGTTTGTTGTGAGTTGTAGTAGCTGTTGGTGGTAGGGCTTTTAGTCAAAATGAATCACGTTTGTTCTGAAATTGAACATGCTTATTTAAGTCAAAGAGAGGAAAAGAAGTCTCTTTTTTTTTTTGATGAAGTTTTCATAAGTAGCTTTATTATGAGGATGTTTATTACGTGGGTAAAAAAACTTCAGATTTCTTTCTCTGTATCAGAATAATTTAAATAACTCAGAACAATTTAAAAGTTATATATCTCAGAATATATTATTTCCTAGGTTTGGTTGGAAGATCTTCAAGAACACATCACGGCACCCTACAACTTAAAGTACAATAATAATAAATAAATTTAAAAAAATTAATTAATAATAATAATAAAAATAAAAGGTTAGTTACTTACTAACTTAGGTGAGCAAATGGAGACTCAGGAAAGTTAAATTGCCAACGCCATCTATCTAGGAAGTGGCAGAATGGGATTCCGAGGAAGGAAATCAAATTATAGAACTTGTGCTCTTAAAGCAAGTGGCTAATACTATAATCATATATAGCATCTGTTACTAAATACGAGGTTTCCTACCAAACCTGGATAAATGTAAAATAATGTGAATCTTTAACCTAATAAGAATATCAAGGTTTAATAAAGTTTTCATAACAGCAGAAGTATATTGAAGATCTAAATTCCACTTCAAGACTGGAAAGAAAAGGGAGAAAATATCCCTCAAGGAAAATGGTTTCGCAAACTACAGCTGTTAGCAATAATAAGATCATTTTTAGAAGTCTCTTTTTTAAATGCAGTGTCTACCTACGATCTAGGGTCCACAAAAGATGGCTGTCATGCTAATATGCCTTTCCAACAGGATACCACTTCCCACTCGTCTTCCAAGGGGGGTGGAGGAGCAGGAGGAACTGGCGTTTTCAAGTCCGGCTGGCTCTACAAGGGGAATTTTAACAGCACCGTGAACAACACCGTTACTGTTCGGGTAAGGAGACATCAAGACTCATCTTTGTCTGTCACCTTTCTTAACACTCCCTCCTCAGGTCACAGCACAGAAAAGAGCCATTTTCATTGAGTTTATGTTTCATGTAATATTTTATTTATGAGGAAGCAGGGATGCTCTTCTCTAGAAAAAATGTCCTAGAAATATAGCACTCCTGAAGGAATTAGAATAATTCTAATTTCTATGAGTAAGAGCACATTACAATTTGAGTATCTCCTTATATCTTTTAGTCATTCAAAAAGCGCTACTTCCAGCTGACTCAGTTGCCAGATAATTCCTACATTATGAATTTTTACAAAGATGAGAAAATATCCAAAGAACCCAAAGGATGCATCTTTTTGGATTCCTGTACAGGAGTGGTGCAGGTGAGTAGAAATCCCTTTTCCTCCTTGGGATATTTCTTTTATTTGAAAAGTATATTTAACAAATATTCATGGAGTATCTGATATGAGCCAAGAGCTGCTCTGGACTCTAAGAATTCTGTGAAAAACAAGGCAGCCTGGATCTCTGCTTTCACAAATCTTACTTTCCAGAGAGAAAGGAAAACAGGAAATAAGCAAAGACATGAATAAGCAGAATGGAATCAGCTGTTAAACTTTTCAATAAAGAAAATAAACAGAGAAACATAAGGGAGACAGAAGAATGGTGAGGTTGAAAAGGAATATTAATACTCAATAAGGGAGAAGAGCATTTTTGAAGAGAGATAATTTGATCTGCAAACTAAAGAATGAGCAAAGGGCCAGGCGTGGTGGCTCACGCCTGTAATCCCAACACTTTGGGAGGCCAAGGTGGGCGGATCACGAGGTCAGGAGGTCGAGATCAGCTGGGCCAACATGGTGAAACCCCATCTCTACTAAAAATACAAAAATTAGCCAGATATGGTGGCACAGGCCTGTAATCCCAGCTACTGGGGAGGCTAAGGCAGGAGAATCATTTGAACCCAGGAGGCAGAGGTTGCAGTGAGCCGAGATCGTGCCACTGCACTCCAGACTGGGTGACAGAGCAAGACTCTGTCTCAAAAAACAAACAACAAAAAAGAATGGGCAGAGGCAGCAAGTGCAAAGGTCCTGTGGCAGGGGCAAGTCTCAGATATTCAAAGAGAAGCAGAAAATTAACACCCATGTTTGCTGCCATGTAGAGAACCCCTGAGATCATGAAATTCAGTAAAGTAATATGTAAATGACATAGTATTAACATAGGCACTTCAAATATGTTATTTTATAATTAGGTAATAATGATAGAGTAAGTTGACAGTGTACATATGCAGCATCTTTCTCCTAAGTGGTGGTTTTCTTCAAAGACAAGGATTCCATTGATTCCAAAAAGTCTAATTTCAAAAACAGACATAGTGCTTTTAACAAATAATGTTCTGTCAACTCTCAGTCTTCCAATTATTTGTCCTTAGTATGAAATTCAACATGGGCCACTGTGGCAAAGGGAAGCAGAGTAATTCCATAGACCCCATTTGGACATTTTAGTTTCAAAACGCTGCTTCCTACTCTGATGAAATAACTAACCTTATTCCCTCTTAATGTAGTCATGGAGCAATCAAAAGTGTTTTAGCAATCTTCCCTCAAATTTCACAATGACACTGGCTCACTGAGGTCCAGGACTCTATTTCTGGTCACAGGCCAGTAGAGAAGTACTTTTTGTTACCCTCAAACCTCAGCATTCACCTAGCTTGTTACGAGCTGAGATGACATCACAGACCACTCCTGGAGGCCCCTGGATATGCGGATGCAAGTAGAGTTCTCTCCAGTCTAAATGATTTAGTCCTGGCCTATTTCTGGATGGTTTATCTGTTAAAATCTGGAATTCTTCCAGGAAGCAATAAAGCTGAACTTTAAAAGGAAAGAATTAATTGTTTCTGAGAACTCTGCTACAAGTGAAAGATGATTGCATTTTAACACAGATGCCAGCTTTCCATAGGGAAAGGGCAATAATGACCTTAATGGAAGGTGGAAATTGTTTTCTATCGTTGATCACAAAGGACACTTTTTGGCCTTAGAAACATGAAGTAAAACGTTAGCAATAAAGATCAATAACTGCGTTTTATAGACATTGAGCTGAAAATTTTAAATATTATCCTTTCCATTTGTACTTGAAAGCTTTCTCCAGCAAATGAGTCATCATTTTTTAAGACACATCATTGTAGTCTTTTGGTATATATTAAGTTTGCAGAAACACAGGTTAATACGCAATATTTTTCTTCTTCAAATAATCATAGAACTTACTGCTTTAATCTGCCCTTCCTATGGAGGAACTGCTTCTCCATCATCTCTTACTTAGATTGTGTTTCAGTCTCTGCTTAAACATTGTCATGGAAAAAAAAGGAGTCTTGAAGGGAAAACACAAGCTTGGGGTTCACGCAGGTCAGCATTCAAATCCTAGTTTGACCATTTACTATCTGAAGACTTTGAAAAAGTTACTTGACCAATTTGATCTCAGATTCCTCATTTGTAAAACTAGAACAATGTACTAACATGAGAAAAGAACTGGGAGATAGTGTATTTAGCCCTTCTGCCCTACTTCTTCCATTAATTTCAAAGGTCACAACCTAGGATATAGACATTCCATTATGGGAAAGCCTTCCTAGAAAACCTTGATTTACCTTCCGGATATTTTTTCCAAAGTGTGTTAATTTATCATGTCTTTAGTCATTAATCTACTGATGCATTCAACAAACCCACTTAGTGCCTATGACATGCTAGAAACTACATCTAGGTGTGGGGAAGTCAAAAATTCTTTATTGAAGTCAGAATCAGAGAAGGGCATCGCTACTTGCTCACTGTCACACAGTATCTCAAGAGCGATGATGGAGGTATGAATGGAGCGATGATGGAGGTATGAATGGCAGAGCCCATGGAATGCTCTGGGAACATGAAACAATGATGAACTCTTTCAGCTCAGGCTATAAGTCTATACAGAAAAAGCTGGGCCTGTCTGTAGTATTCCCCAAGGTGGATCTGGCACATATATCTTTTAAAGAGTTCACCTCTATCCCTGCATTTATATTCTTGTTCATCAAGAAGCTTTATCCAGTATTCTCTATATCCTTTGTAGAGGCAGGGACCAGTTTCTTGGGATCACTTTGGGGAGACAGACCCTGGGTCACTTGTCACTTTGCGTGTGGGTCCCAGTTCTTACATATTTGCTTATAGTTCTTCCAGATGTATAAGTTTTTACATCTGGAGAGAAGAATTTGAGTGAAATAATGCCAGTTTAACCATTGCTCTAGTAAGCTTTCAGGCATGAAATGTGCCTGAAGATGAATCATGTACACACAAAAGCACAGAGCAAATGAATAACTAGGATGAATCAGACCAATTTTATGTAGAATCATTGCCAGGTTCTGTTGAATCAAACAAAAAAGAGGAACAAAGTCTCTGCCTCAGAAAGTACTACTTAACATCCGGCATTCTTAGGGAGTTCAAGTTCATAACAATCTTTAGTGAATTGCCATTTCAGTTTGATTCATTCCAACTCAATCCATATCATCATTTTCCCTAGAATAATTTGGAATTCTTAGACATATATTACAAGGGTGGTTTAAGTAGAGAGAAACTCCTTCCCAGCTTTCTCAGAGACTTTAGGTAATGTTTATGACTGACAATTTCTGAATCTTGGCCAAAAAAAAAACACACAAAAAAACAAAACCTAATCGTGGTTTTCTACTTTTTCATAACATCATCAAACAGTATTAGATATTTTTTATGGGCCTATGCTCCCGGTCTGGAAGAGAACTTGGTTTTTGCTGCTTCAAGTTTTCTTTTTTTTTTTTTTTTTCCTGGGACTAAGGGATATTTAGGCCTGTGTTATCCTATCTTGTTCCTTCAGTTCATGTATTCATTCATTCATTCTCACATTCGTTCATCTATCCATCCATTTATTCCAGGTTCTGCCACTGTAGAAGAGAATGAACAGCCCAAGAATCCCATCTGTTTTAGGTCCCTATCTCAGTAATGATAATAGCTGATGTCACTTTAGACAGGCTTACATGGGTGTGGACAGTGTGGTGGACAAGGTTCATTTCCTTCTAGGTGCTGAGTCTACCACCATGTGGATATGGGTTCCAAGACAATGGCTTCATGTGACTAACCAAAGGCTAGAAACGCAGATACCTCCCGTAGGTCAGGCAGCCCCCTCATGTGTGAAGAGAGGCCAGATGTGAGAAATAGATGCAGCTTGGACTGTGTAGACGTGGAGAATGCCTGCCTACAGAAAGCAAGTCACATTGGGAGCAGGGGAAAGAACATTACAAGGAAAACAAATCTAGAAGCCAAATATGACCTGTAAGCCTCACATTAGCAACTCAAGCTCTGGAAATCTCACTTCTGAGAATAATAAGAGCCAAAATTATACTTGTGGTTTTCTTCATTTAATATATTATTTGACAGCACTTGACGGAACATGAATTATGATTGTTCCATTTATTAAAATAAAATTCAGAGAGATAGAGTGTCTTTCACAAGTCACAGAGCTAATGAATTGCAAAGTTTAACTTGAGGCAGAGGAATGTCCAAAATTACAGAGAGATGCCCAAAGAAATGATGTATTATCATATGTAAAGTAGGCATACCCACATACGTACATTTATTCTACCTGCATAAGCTATGTGGCCAGAAGAAACACTACAAAGATATGTTCATGTGGAGCTTTAAGCAGTGAATTTTAGATATGGGATTCATTTCAGCAAATACTATATATATATTGGACAACTTGCAATGTGCAAACCATTGTGAAAAGAGCAAACACTGAAAATACATGTGGCTCAGGTCTTCAAAAAGCTTCCAGGATGTGGGAAGGATGCACAGGGAAAAAAAACAAAACAAATATGGTACATGCAAATAAAACAAGTGACACACCTCAAGCAGTAAGTCCTGATAACATATGCAGGAATGAAATTACATTCATCACTGCATGATGCCATATTATATTACACATCTATTTTATTTATATATATATGTGTGTGTATGTGTGTGTGTGTGTATTACATATGTTATCTTTCTGCTTATTTGCTTACTGACATTTCATTACACCAGAAGGTAAGTTCAATGAGGGAAAGCATTTTACTTGAATTTTTTCAGTTCTGTGTGACTGAAACATAGGAGGTACCCATTTAATTTTCATTGAATGAATGAACAAATAAACCTACAGAGTGGAGAGGGTTTCATGGAAGGGAGCCATCGATACCAGAAACCTGGATTTGTTGTATGATTCCCTTAAGACTCTTCTTTTGTTCCCACAAAATTCTATGCCAGATGCTAGCCACATAATAGGTGTAATTAAATATTTGGTTTGGGTAGCTTCCCTCTTTGATACTCAGTCCTCCATTGGCTTCAGTGATTTTCTTGGAGTATCTACAATCTGGAACTTTTTCAGATGAACATTGTGGAAGCAGAACAGTTTGCCACAACTCGTTAAACATATCATGACAATAAGACTTATTCACAGGTTCCTACTATTTATGAAGTCATGTAGATATACTATGGTAAGGTTGACTGAATGAAGTAGTTGCACTGGCTGCAAAGGACACTGATACACGAGAAATAGAGGAAAATTTGGGGGGAGTAAAAAGAAGAATATGATTACTTCTTGATTACCATTTTAATGACTTAACAATTGTACTTCAAAGTTATTAAAATGTCCTATTGACATGTCCCATTGATTTTCAATTTTTGTCCTTTTTGCTGTTCTATATGACATTATCTTTGAGATTACAGACAGCGAGATCGAAAACCACTCAGACACCTTAATCTTTCCCAACATAAGCTTCTCTGGGCTGCAAATAGTTCTATTTCTCTTGAAATAGAAGAAGGTAATTTAGTTCTTGAGAAGTTTCAAATCGAATATTTATTTTAATTATAAATGTCCCTTTTTGAGAAACAAGATTGTAATCCTTTGCTCAAATTTTTAAGAATATTTGTGATTACATTGTTGAGGCCAGCAATCATATTTAATTCATTTGAAGTACTGAATGCAGTTTAGACAATCAAATCAATGTTTGTTTACATTTTATAATGTTTCATTTCAAAATTTTGTTAGTATTCAGCATCTTCATTTGAAAGCAGGTTGCAGCTCAATTCACCTTTAATTTGGACCCAATATAAGCATTTTAGGTTGCTTTTTATCTCCCCGTTAACATTATTTGCAGCATCAAATTCATCAAGCAAATTCTTTCATTTGTTTGTTTTCAAGATAACACTGAGATTTGCTTGCATTTTTATATAATCAAATACTTAAAAATGTCCTAGCAAAAGTTGTGTGCCAAACTCTGGACATTTCTAGTTCTTTTATGAGTGTCTATTTCTTTCTTTTTTTTAATTTTTTTTTATTTTGAGACCGAGATCCACTCTATCACCCAGGCTGGGAGTGCAGTGGTGCAGTTTTGGCTCACTGCAACCTCCACCTCCTGGGTTCAAGTAACTTTCCTGCCTCAACCTCCCAAATAGCTGGGAATACAGGCGTGCACCACCATGCCTAGCTAATTTTTGTATTTTTAGTAGAGACAGGGTTTCACCATGTTGGCCAGCTGGTCTTAAACTCCTGGCCTCAAGTGATCTGCCCACCTTGGCCTCCCAAAGTGCTGGGATTACAGGAGTGAGCCACCGCGCCTGGCCCTGAGTGTCTGTTTTTATTCCTATTGTTTTTTGAAGGAAATTGTGCTGTGATAGGACACCTGTCTTTCCTTTTATACCTGCTCTGCAGCTATCTTGTCTTTGCCCTTAGAATGTCTATCAGTGAAGGTTACAGGCAGTTTTGTAGCCCTTCTTCATCCTAACATCCCAGAGCTGTGTGTGAGGGCACGTGGAGGACATCTACCCCAGTCCTCCTGGGCAGAGTGGGGCATCTAGGAATTTGCCTTTGGAAGGAAGCTGCCTAGATGTTTGCTTTGCACACTGAAGTTTGAGGCCATGGGCTTTCTGAGTACCCTCCACTCTGTTTACACTGCAGTCAAAATGATTTTTTCAAAATGCAACTCTGACCTTTTACTTGTCCAAATACTTGTATTCTATGTTCTCATAGAACTTAATACCTCTTTTTCAAAACATTTATACACAATTTAAGTATGTTTGTTTTCTGATATCACATTTGTCTGATTAATTGCTTAATGCCTGTCATTCCTATTCTGCAAGAGCAGGGACTCACTGTGTTTTTGTTCAAAACAAAATATGAACACAACAGATATCTCTTTGATAGTCAATTATATCACTGCGCTAAGCACTGAGGATACAAATTTAGGTTCTGCCCTTCTAAGACTTGTGGACTATAAAGAGCCAGGCCTGTGACTAAGTCATTATAAGGCAAATAAATAAATAATATTTGACAGTAATACAAAAGTATGGACAGGAGCAAAGGGCTCATCCTTGGAAGTCTAGAAAGTGATGTTTGAGCTGTGAATTTCCACATGAGAACCATAGTTAGCATTTTAGCCAATTCTTTCCCCTTCAGTTCCTGAACTTCACTTTTTCTCAAGGCTATGTGTTGCCCCACTATGTGTTCTCGAGCACTGAGAGAAACCACAACTCCCAGGCCACAGATGCCCCTTTGTTGTGCTGGGGCAATGTCAAGAAAGGAGACCAGCATCAGTTGAGCATCTTCTGTGTCCCTGGCTTGGTGCAATGCATAAGACAGCTCAGCGGGTGGGATTAGGAGCACAGTTGTTAGAGTATATAGGGCTTATTTTCCCGTCTCTACCATTTGCTATCAATATAATCCCAAACACATTTTAATTAATCTCCCCAAAACTCAGTTTCACTACATGTGAAATGGAATAACGTGATTGGTCTGATAGGGTTGTTACGACATTTAAATTAACAGAACCAGTGTTTAGTAATTGTTGTGTTTGCACTAGTAATCTGTTGTGAATGTTGAAAGAAACAGCTATCTGGGGACAGTCTGTGAGAGTATCCCAAAGAAAGAGAACATTGCCGGAGGGGTATTAGAAATTTTTGCTTGTCACCAAGAAATAGCAATCCTGTTCTCAAAAAGAATTTCATACATTGTTATTTAGCCACAATCCCACACCATTCATTTCATTTTATGGCTCTTCTCTTATTTGTATTCTACTTAATAGAATTGTCCTAAGTATTAGGGTTTGCTCTGTTACAATTATGAGTAAGCTACAGGCTTTATTGATAAAAGCTGGACACCTGCATAGGAATTGCCTGGAGTAAATCAAAGATGAAATATCTTCAGTAATCTTTCCAACAACGACCCCCTTAAATAACACCAGTTTGTGTTGTTAGGGGAAAGTTTTCTCTTTAAATGTACATTCCAATCTCATGCCAGGAATATAAAATTGTATTATATATATATAACATATATATAATATACAAATAAATATATTTATATAATATATATAAATTGTATATTTTATATATTTATATAAATATATAAAATTGTATATATATAAATATATAAAATTGTAACAATTTGTTCTTGGGTTTCCCCTGCTTTAAATGTCCCTCCCTGAACTTTCAATAGCCCATTTCTCCTTTTTACAGATTTCAAATCAGAGATCTCCTTTAGGGAAAGGCCTGACCACCCAATCTAAAGTACCTACTCATCACACTGGCTTATTTTAGTTCTCTGCAGAATGGAGAACCTTTGTTTTCCAATTGTTTGTTCATTCCTTCAACCATTCATCCATTCACCTCTTCTCTACTAGAATGTCAACTTGGAATAGGAACCTATTCTGTTCCATTCATAAAATATGACTGGTTTCGAACCCACCATTATTGAATCCTTCATGTGTCCGCACTATTACACGATCTGGTGGTTAGCAAAACTGATCCAGTCCTCACGGAGGTAGCCTTAAGGGAGACATGTATTTGTCAAAACAAATAAACAAAAATGAATAAGCAGATAATTTCAAATCATGGTAAGTGCTCTGGAGGACCAGACCTTTGTCCTTTTGTCCTAGACTGGAAAATTGAGGAAAGTTTCAGTTGAGATCTGAAGAGTGGATACAAATCATATAAGTACATGAGGACACACACCATGCTCACTGTGCTTGTGAGAGCATGTGTGGTGGAGGGGGCCAACCTGTCTCAGGCCTTCCTTGTGGCAGCAACAAGAACATGACAGGAACACATTCAGGAACTAGAACAAGGCTTTGTGGGTTGGTCACAAAATGCAAAGTAGAGATGTCAAGTTATAGAAGAATCTGGGGGTTGGTGAAGCCAGAACCAGGAAAGGAACTGGGGTGTCACTGCACATGGATGTCATTTGAGGCCATTGGAATAGATGAGAAATAAAGGAGAGAAAGGAGTCTGAGGCATAGTCGGGATTCTCACTAGAGGTCATGAGAAGGAGGAGGAGCTGGCAGAGGAGATCAAAAAATAGCAGCCAATGAGGTGGAAGGAAAACCAGAATAGAGTGTGGTCATGGCAACTGAAGAGAGGTGACTTTCAGAAAGGAGGAGGTGGCCATCGTGTTAATTATGCTGCAAGGACAAGGAAGATATGAAGAAAGAAATAGTCCTTAAGATAGGATGGCAACACAGGGCCTGTTAGTGATCTCGGTAAGAGCTGCCTCTGGGATGTGATAGGGTCAGATGCCCACCTGGAGTGAATCACAGAACATAAGGTGAGGAAGTCCAGGCAGAAACTCAAAGAAACTCTTACAAAGAGTTGAGAATATACTCAAGCACATGCCCATGATGAAATGTTTAAGCTAACGTGTATATCCAATCAACAAAACCCTAAATAAGGTATTTCTTAGCACAAAAAGCTTTGAAAGAAACCAAACAAAATGATCAGAGCCATCTAAAATTTTGTCTTGTTTTGGAAAATCTTCTTTATGTTACCTATCTGTATGGAAAGACTTTTGGAAGCTCAAGCCCACATAAATGGTCTCTCTCTTGAAGGCTTATTTTTTGGTATTCTCTTTTTTTTTCTTTCTTTTTATACCACAGAATAACAGACTAAGAAAATATGCCTTTGAATTGAAAATGAATGACCTGACCTATTTTGTGCTGGCAGCTGAAACAGAGTCAGATATGGATGAATGGATCCACACCCTCAACCGCATTCTGCAAATCAGTCCTGAGGGGCCCCACCAAGGGAGGAGGAGCACAGAGCTCACTGATCTGGGGCTGGGTGAGAGCATATGAAGCCGTCTTCCTTCCTTTGTCCAGTGTGACCTGTGTTTTTGGTTCACTCAAGCTGCTAGGCATTGTAGTCGCTGTCTGTTCTAGCTCATCCATCCTGGGGCCATTTGTTCCAAGAAATCACTAATCACTCCTAAATCTTTACTGCACAGTAATGGCCACCACACATAAGTACAATTGAGAGTCAACTCGCAATGATCTGAGGCTGTCCCCCAGCAAATGATGTTGGGAATCATTTGTCACAGCATCAAAAATGTGCTCATGTCCAATGGGACATTACCTTTTAGGGGGCATTTTGTGGTTTTCAGTCTTTCATTAAATTTAATTAATGAATCTTATGCTCCGTAAAGGCAAATATGAATTTCTTCCTGTAAGTTAAAAAGCATCTTTCATTTGTGCTTTTTGATCATACTGTGATCATCTTATATGTGAAAGTTTCAAAAATTATACATGGTAATGGAATTTTTATAAGATTAATTTTTTTTTCTCCCCATCCTGATTCCTTCATAAGAGTCCACTTCATTTTATGCAAAGAGAAGGGAACAAGAGAGAGGAAAGAAAAGGTGAAAAGAAGGTTAGAAAAGCAAGCCTGTAGCTGCATAGAAGGCAAGTTCAACACCAGCAAAGTCAGTCACTCCTCCCAAAACAAAACTATTTTCAGGCATTTTGCACAGCACATGGTACATTAGAAACCAAAGCATCTTTAAGTTCTCCTAGTCTACGTCTCAGGCTCTAGAGTGAAAGAGCCATAGAATAATGTGGAAAAAAACTATTGTTGATTTTGTTGGTTTTAACACAACTACTGTATGCCATAGTAGGTGTTTTACACTTATGATTTACTTAATAATAACAACCATAGTATTAATGTTTACAGTGTCTTACAGAGTTTAAGTAGCTGAAGCAAGAAGGTGGATTCTAAATTGACAGCCTAAGAGCGAGAATTACCAAAAATACATACATATTTAAGAAAACTTTAGTATGCATTAATTAAGTAGGTCAAGACAACCCCAAGTATAAATGTAGTGTAAAAATCCAAAGTTCTCGTAGACACAAGATGGTATCATGGCAAGAATCCCAAAATGATCCTCAGAGGGTCTGATTTCCAGGCCCAGATCACCCAGCAATGTTCAGGAGTCAGAACACAAGGAAAGTTTAGGCTCACCAACGTCCCTCTTAGCTCTTAAGTCTAACTTAGTTTTGTAAGTCACAGGCTAGAAGAATGTGTGACTCATGAGTAATATTTAATAACCTGACTTGGTATATCTTTTTAAGATTCACTGGATAATTCTGTAACTTGCGAATGCACGCCAGAGGAAACAGATTCTTTAGAGAACAACCTACACCCAGACTTTGCAAAGGTAATAAAGTTGACATTGTACTTGCAAAAATGATTTGAGCTATTTGTTAGTTATGGCTTTCACGGAAAAGACGTAAATGCTTTCTTTTAAGATTTAGACTAAGAAACTAATTCGGAACTTTCCATTAACCTATGTGTTTTCATTAACATACACATAGAGCTCAAAAAGGAAAGAAACTTTTACGAGATTTGCCAAGTGTTAGTGGGTAATACTAAAATGGTGATAATACTAAGGGGCTGCTTCTTGGCCATGTGGATGTGTCGGGCTGTATCTGGATATTTAGATACCAAGGACTAACACGATTTTCTCTGTAGTACCTCACAGAAACAGAAGATACTGTAAGAACAACTCGAAACATGGAGAGGCTAAATCTGTTCTCTCTAGATCCAGACATAGATGTAAGTCAAAATTTTTTCTAAGCAGATATGAACTTGATCCATACAGTTGGGGATTATAATTTAGAATTTCTTTTTTATATTGGATGTTTGGTGACTCATTCAAAACTTTTTTAGACCTTGAAACTCCAAAAAAAAGATCTCTTGGAACCTGAGTCTGTGATCAAACCATTTGAAGAAAAAGCTGCCAAGAGAATCATGATCATCTGTAAAACCCTCAACTTAAATCTTCAGGGATGTGTTACGGAGAATGAAAATGATCCGATAACGAATGTAAGTTTCTCCTCTGTTACATCTTATACCATTCAGCCAGCATTACACCACCCTAGTCAAAATCTCTTTTATTCCTGCTAATTCCAGGCACTGGTGTCACACTATCTAGTGTACCAGGGAACATTATTAACAGCATTTTCCCACATTACACAAGTTTACAAGTTCTAAAGTGGAACACTTTATAATACACTGTATGAATAAAGCATAATTAAATATTAATATACTATACTTTATCAATATACTGCCATAAAATTTTCCTTTTAACTTAAAGAAAAAACATTAAAGGACTGTGTTTGGGGATTTTCTATGAAATCAGCATAGTGGTTTAGAGTTTTCTATGGCATTGTGTGACTCCTCTTAGTAGTACTCAAGATGGCTTTTTTTTCTTTTGAAATGGTCTTGCTCTGTTGCCCAGGCTGGAGTGCAGTTGTGCATTGTTGCTCACTGCAGCCTCTGCTCAGTGCAGCCTCAACTTCCAGGGTTCAAGTGATCCTCCCACTGAAGGCTTCCGAGTAATGGACTACAGGCACGCACCACTGTGGCCGCCTACCTAAGTTTTTTGTGTTTCTTATACAGATGAGGTTTTGCCACAATGGCCAGACTGGTTTAGAACTCCTAGGCTCAAGCTACCTGCCTGCCTCAACTTCCCAAAGTGCTGGGATTACAGGCATGAGCTACCGCGCCTGGCTTTTACATGCATGTTTTTATTTTACTCTTTCTATATTTATCCATGTAAAAGCCATCTTTTTTTACTCTATATTTATTTTACTCTATATTTTTTTATTTTACTCTATATTTATTTTCATGTCTATTAGAGAAAAATCAAAGCTAACAAACCCTGTGACTTCCCAGCCATTATTGCTGAGGACAAATCTAAATAGTGTATCAAGTAAAATAATATTAGATGGATGTTAAATAAATACTAGCAGGATGGGACATGTAAATAGCAGAAATGACAAAGGAGCTTCACTGATATTTGTGTGAGTTCTCTTGAGAACTTCTTCTTAGTACTTTAGTGGTCAGTCCCACTGGATTGTGAATGTATGTGTGGGAAGGGAACTGTTTATGAGCATAAACGTTATTAAATGTTGAATTATTTTTTAAAATCACTCATAATTCTATATCAATCTCGATTATATTAATATCCTAATCACTATAAGGCGCAGTTAATATTTTGGCATATTTCCTTTCATTATTTTTTAATGCATTCTGTTCACTTTCTAATCCATCATCCTCAGTTGTCATCTTTCACCTAAAAGAGGAAAACTGATTTCCAGATCCTTGATAGGAGTCACATTGGCTTTCGAAGGCAGAAACCACATTAAATTTTCACTGTAAACTGGGTCCACACATGTCATGCCTTCATCTATTTATGATCCAGTGAAACTAGCCTTGTTAGTTGTGACCGTGAGTGGATGGTAGAAAGAATTAACCTTTTCAGAAGACTCTACTTGATATCGACTGACCTGTGTCTTTAGCACCTCAATGATTTGCTTTGAGCCTCCTACCCCAGGTATAGAGCAGGAAAAGGTCCATGCTGTGGACCTCTGATTTAATGAGGAGACTCAAATGGGATGTGCCGTTCTGGGATTAGATTGCCTGGCTTTCCAGCTCACAAGTTGTACCACGCTGGGCAACGGCCTACTGTCAGTCTTCACTCCTTTAAATGGAGACAGTAACAATACCTATTTCAAGTGATCACTGTGGTTACACAGGGTACCGTATCAAAGGTACTCAGACATTGCTTGGTACAAAGTAAGCGTTCATTAAATACTTAACCGTCATCTAAATATGTGAGAAATTGCATTGAAATTTGTCAAAACTGCATGCAAGTTATTGATATTTGTGTTGATATATGTGAGATTCTTGTTGACAGGTAAGCTAACATGGAAATGTGTCACCAATAAGAATCTTGTTGAAAAATGAAGCTCTTTTATATTCTATAACTTTAACTTTGTACTAGGTGTGAGTAGAAATGAAAGTAGGTGAAGTCAGGTTTATTCATTCTCCAAATATACTTATTCCATGTGTCTCCTGTGAGCCAGACTTGTCCTAAGAACTGGGAAAACAGGAAGTAAGTAGATAAGCAAGGTCCCCAGTGTCTTGAAAATCAGATTCTTTTTAAAAACAGCAGAAAGCAAACAAAAAAACGAACGATTTAAGTGCACATTATTCCAAGTTCTTTAAAAGAAATAAATATGGAGAGATGTGTTCCAGAGGAATGCAGGAAAGGGTTACTTTAGACAGGACAGTCACCTCTCTGCAGAGGTGATTTTGAACAGAGACCTAAGGGTTGGGAAGCATAAAAACGCAGGTCAGGGGCGAACATTCTAGGCAGAAGAAAGAGAAGTACAAATGCACTGAGACAGATAAGCTTTAGCAAGTTCTAGGAAGTGAAAAGAGTTAGGGAGGTGAAGGACATACCAAGATGACGTAGGAGAAACAGAGATAAGATGATGTAGGGCCTTAAGCCACAGTGAAGAGTTTGAATTTATCCTAAGTGTGAGTGGACGCTCTTCAATGGTTTAAAGCACTTTAAAAACAAGGTTTAAAACAAAACAAAGAAACAAACAAAAACGCAAGAGTTGTCCAAGAAAGGAGGCTACTACCACCGTTTATTGCATGTCTTGAACAAGGGCTGGCAAGGGAGAAGGAGAGAAATGGGTGGATTGGACTGGTGTTTTGTAAATTGAGCTGATAGGTTTTCCTGATGTGTTGGATATACTGGATGATGGAAAAATAAATCTCAAGGATGAGTACTGGTTTTTGCTTTGGACAGCTTTACACACGATGATGCCATTTACTAAAAAGGTAACACTCGAGAGAGATTTGCACAATACAAGTCAAAAATACCATTATGAACATGTTTCACTTGTTGGGACGATTAGATATCCAAAGAGAGGTATCTTAGGAACAGATTCAAATGCAAGTTTGGCGGCCAGGCACGGTGGCTCATGCCTGTAATCCCAGCATTTTGGGAGGCCAAGGCAGGCAGATCACCTGAGGTCAGGAGTTCGAGACCAGCCTGTCCAACATGGTGAAACCCTGTCTCTACAAAAAATACAAAAATTATCTGGACATGGTGGTACATGCCTGTAATCCCAGCTACTTGGGAGGCTGAGGCAGGAGAATCACTTGAACCCAGGAGGTAGAGGTTGCAGTAAGCCGAGATCACACCACTGCACTCCAGCCTGGGTGACACAGTGAAACTCTGTCTCAAAAAAAAAAAAAAAATGGAGTGGCCATGAATGGAAACACAAATTTGGAAGTCTAGTTCAGACAATAATGTTGTGGGGCGGGGATCTAAAAATGTCTATGACCATAGAGAAGGGGCCAGAAAACAAATAAAATATCTGAAGGATGAATAGAGAAGTGACCAAAGAAGTCTAAGCAGAAATGGCTGTTGGGATAAAGATAAACCAAGGAATACTGTATCATGAAACCAACAGCGAATGGGTAGCTGTGGTAGTGGTGCCAAGAAGCTGAGGAACATGAAGTGAAAGAGGAGTCTATCCGGTAGATATGGCAAAGTGGAGGATGTTGTGGACTATGGCAAGAGCAACTCCCATAGAGTGGAAAGTGTTAGAAGTAATCTGATCATGCCTTCATGCAGGATTTTAAAATAAAAACAAAACAAAAATCTAGAAACTTAGTCCTTGGAACCATTTGGAAATACCTGTATTAGTCTGTTCTCACGCTGCTAATAAAGACATACCCAAGACTGTGTAATTTATAAAGGAAGGAGGTTTACTTGACTCACAGTTCAGCATGACTGGTGAGGCCTCAGGAAACTTACAATCATCACCGAAGGGGAATCAAACATGTCCTTCTTCACATGGCAGCAGCAAAGGGAAATGCCAAGCAAAAAGGGGAAAAGCCCCTTATAAAACCATCAGATCTTGTGAGAACTCACTCACTATCACGGTAACAGCATGAGGGTAACTGCCCCCATAATCCAATTACCTCCCACTGGGTCCCTCTCATGACACGTGAGGATTATGAGAACTACAATTTAAGATGAGATTTGGGTGGGGACACAGCCAAACCATATCATTATCTCAAATGGTAATGTCACTTAGTCACCTTGTTAAATAAAAATAGATGCTTTTTTTTTACCTAGAACATTTTTAAATGCAATTTAGAAACTGAACATCAAAGATAGTGGGCTTTTCTTTCTACTGCCAGGGGCATATGACTCCTTCCACATGAATTCCTTTCTTTGTACTAAGATGCATATTCAGAAGCCAAATGCTTGTATTTAGACCAATCTCCCCAGGCAAGAGAACAGGGCCAAGTACAGAGACCCAAGTTAGTGTGTCTTTTGGTATCTGTCAGACTGAAGGGTTAAGTTGATTTGGAGTGTTTTGTATGTCGGTGTTGCTTTTCATTTTACAGTTGATACATATGTTGAAAAACTAGGAAATTACTTTAGAAAAATAATTTCATTGTGCCTATGAGCAATAATACAAAAAATAATGTCAGCCTCACCGTCGCAGCAGTTTGTTATTTAAGGTCATTGTTTTTTAAAAATCATTGCTTATTTATTCAATGACACTCTTTCCTTAATGAAACTATTTTTAAACTCATTGTTCTTAATTCAATGAGCATGTTTTAAATTAATTGAAGTATTTCTCCAAGTTGCTTAGGAGCCAACTACTGCATTTAATGAATGAGATTCTAAAGACTCCCTGAAATAACATCCTCGTGATGAGAAAACAATGTTTGACAGCATGTAATTTTTTAGTCAGTAAATTGAAAACCAAATTCAAGTTGATGGTTTTATAGTATAAAATATTTCTTTGAAAATAGAAATTGACTCCAAAAATCTGAACTAATAAAGCTACATCACAGTAGAACTACATTTAAAATTTTATCGTTGAGTTTTTTTCAGAAGAGTACAGAATTCTAAACACAAGAAACCTATGAATTAATTTGTTAGGCTTTGCAGAGCTTTGTTAAACAAATCCTCACTGAAAAGACAGTGATTTGACATTTATTTTGAAAAGGTGGATTGGAAGAAAGAAATGAATCACCACATGAGCTTTAATTTTTGATGGGTTATCAAAGTAGGTATTTATTTCCATTCACAAGTAGAAATGAAAATCAAAATGCAACAATTCAGGAAAAAATAATAAGGGTTTTGCTTTGACCTTCAATGTGTTTTGAGTTCTCACTTGAGTTATTTTTCTGTAATTTCTGCATTTTTCAACTTTTGGCAGACTACCACTACCACAAAACAAGAGTTTTTCTAAATTAATTTAAATTGGTATAGTATAAACTTTTACTTTGTAATTGCTTTATATTTTTAAAAATAATTTACTGAATTATTTCATATGCAAAAACTTTTTTCTAACAGTAAAGGAGCTGGCAAGTATTGCTAATATTAAGAAATTGAACTTGTCCCCTTGGTATAAACTAGTCACATTACTACATTTCAAAGACAGGAGATACCGTTAAGCATTTAACAAAACCCACAGTATGAGTGAGTCTGTATAATAATAAACTGGATCACAATATGGTGTTTCACTATAATCTGTTTGTCCATAGAATACTAGTAGAGATTGGCATCAACTCAAAATTAAGTAGCATTTTAAAACAGTAAAAATGCTAGTTTTTATAGGCGTATTCCAATTTAACCACATAAATGTATAACTACATATATGTGCATGTATTCAATATATGTATATATGTACATATATGTATGTAATTACATATGCATATATTAATTTGGTCTTTATCTCTGTTGTGAGATTTTTCTAGTTGACCATTCTTTCCTTCTTGAATCTTTCTTAGCTTCTGTAATACTCTGGCAGCATTTTAAAATTTTTTATTTGTTTTTTAAGTTTTTTCCCTATTTCCCAATCTGTTTTATAAGTTGTCTTCCCTACTCCCATCTCCATCCTTTGCATGTTGATACTTTCCAGAATCCTGTTCTGATTTTCTTCTATTTCATGGATTCAACAGGACCCCACACACAAAAAAACTCTCAAGTCCAGCTCTCCAGTCAAGTTTCCTTGACTCGGCTCAATACACACATCCAGCTGCCACTGGGATGTCCCGCAGATGACTTTCTATGTCTCATTTAGAATTCATCTTTGTATCTTTATCCCCTATATCAACCAATGGTATGATCATGCACTTCATTTCTTTTATCCTCAAACCTGGGAATTTTCTGTATTCATGCCCCTGTGAAACTTTTTCTCCAATCAACCAATACAAACACATGCAAAGAATAACCAAGCTCTTTGGTCATACTTCCTTAATGTTTCTCAAATGCCTCTCCCACAAACACTTCCTACCAATTTTTCTTTTTGCTTCCACTCTGATCCCACTCTAATGTTCTTTTCCTATGCTCTTTGATGTCTTATGTCTTTGCACATGTCCCACACCCTACCTAGAAATCCCTTCTAACCAATTCTTTACCTAATTCCTACTTCTTTCAAACTTGACCAAGAAATTTCTCCTTCTTCCCATCTTCCATAACTTTCCCATTTTCACATCTTCCGCTTCCTTCCTAGCCTGGGGACAAGAGGTTAAGAGGAAAGCCACATAGAGGCTTGAATTTGGGTGAGCACCCAAGAATTGATGGGGAGAGAAAGCCATGAAGAGGAACAGAAGCAGTCTGTCCTGGATGTGTTGGGATACAGGTGCAGGGCAGCCCAGAGGAGGCAATTAGAAAAGATGGCTGGTATGGTTGGGAGACTGGTTACTTTGAATCAATAAGTAACTGGTGGAACAAGTAAGTAAACAGATTCATGGTAATAAGATCCTGGGTTCTCACTGTTGGAGGACCTACTTACCAATATAAAAAATGGGAAGGCTAGAATGAACCCTTGAGTGTTTGTATTGGAAGCAGAGGTATAAACATGAACTAATTGGTTTTTAATAAGTATTCATACACAGATAGAGATAAATTATGTGTGTGTGTGTGTGTGTGTGTGTGTGTGTGTATTTCTTACCTCCGTATGATGGGAGGGCACAGAAGCAATGATATCCCAGTGACAGTGAACACAACAAGCACCCAGATCGTCGTTTGTAAATGTCACCCTCACTATAAGGAACCAGGGCTCCCTGGAGAAATATCTGGAGCATGAGAAGTATAGGATAAGTCTGGAACATACTATTTGATAAAGAAGTACTCAAAAAATGATGGAGACTTGCCAAAAAAATACCCAGAAGTTAACTTGAATGAATGCCTCTAGCCAAATCTGGGACAATTTCAGCATCACACTAACACTAATTATTGTAAGAGCAAAACCCATTGAGTAAAACGGTAATCTGGTCTATACTTGTATTTTTTTTTTTTTTTTTTTTTTTTGAGATGGAGTCTCGCTCTGTCGCCCAGGCGGAGTGCGTGGCGCGATTCGCTCACTGCAAGCTCCACCCCCGGTCACGCCATTCTCCTGCCTCAGCCTCCCGATAGCTGGGACTACAGCGCCCACAACCGCCCGGCTAATTTTTGTATTTTAGTAGAACGGGTTCACCTGGTCTCGATCTCCTGACCTTGTGATCCGCCCCCCTCGGCCTCCCAAAGAGCTGGGATTACAGGCGTGACCCGCGCTGGCTATACTTGTATTAATAAATTAATTAATTAATATCAAAATAAGGGAGAAGGGGAAGTTCATCCTTATGATGGAATACTAGCTAATACGTGTAGAAAGAATGGTGGAACTGAAAAATCACCATTGGCCACCATTGTGGTGGTAGTTGACTGCAATGGAAGTTATCAATGGAGATGAAGACTAGGGTGGGTTGTGTTTAATGAGTAGCAAGACATAAGGGTAATCTCAGAACATATTTCCACAAATACAAATCAATTGCCAAAGGGAAAATGGTGACCTTTATAATGGAGAAAACCAGCAGATAAGGTTAACGTCACAGCTGCTGAAGGAGTTGACACTGTGTGCTCTTGAAACAATGAAGTATGAAAATCAAGCATCGATCCGAGATTGTACTGCCGTAAAAGCATGACCTGAATCCTGTCATGAGGACACACACAACAGACCCAGATTGAATGTATGTCAGAATGTATGTCCTGTACTCTTTGAAAGGCCAAAAACCTGAAAGAGAGAAAAAGACTGAGGAACAGTTTTGACTGAAGTAAATTGAAGGGAAATAGCAGAAAAACATAATGAGTAGTCCTAGATGGGATTCTGGACCAGAAAGAAAAACAGAGACATTGTTGAGTCAACTGGCAGCACTGAAAGGAGCATGCGAGTTGCACAGTGGTTTTAGGCCCATATCACTTTCCTGACTTGGATGGCTGCACAGTGATTAGGCAGGTGAGTGTCCTCATTTGGGGGAAACACTCACCGGAGTATTTAGGGGAGGAATAATACTGGAAACTTGCTCTCAAAGCATTCACACTGGTTATAATAGGTGACTGCGTGAGCGAGAGCGAGTGCGTGTGCGTGTGTGTGTGTGAGAGAGAGAGACAGACAGGGAGAGAGACAGAGAGAGAAACAGGAGGTTGAGAGTTGAATCCGGGCAAGGGGGGTAAATAAGGTGGTTTTATGCACCTTATACACAACCTTTCTCTCTATTCAAAATTATTTCAAGATAAGAGAAAAAATAGTATCTGTTTTAACAATTCAACTAAGATATCAACTCATCTTGGGAAACTTCCCGCCCTCTCTGCCAACAGACTCCCTCACAACCTGATGCTCCCCTACCTGCTTGCCACAGTGTTTTGTGCTTTAATATGTATCTGTGACACTAATGTGTTAGGAGTGCCTTAGAACAGTGCAAAACACAGAGTAAATGCTCAACAACTGTCAGCTATTATTATGTTTCTATCAAGCTGTGATAAAAAACAGAGACGTGGTTGGTTTAGTGAAGTCCAACCACAGTGCAGTCTGGAAACTTCTAGGATTTCATTACAGATTTTCAAGGGCCTAGGGGACTGAGGTGGCATGTGTTTTCTAAGACTGTAAGGGAAATAACTGGAAGGATTTGTAAGGCCCAACCATGCATGTAAAAGCAACATAAAGAAGAGTTCTTGGCAGGGAAACTAAAGAACCAATGAGATACAGTACTAGGATCTAAGGCACTTGCTGGAGGACAGGATTCCGGGTCACTGAGTCAAGGGGAGCTTGCCTGCTGCATTTATTTTATCTACTGCTTTGTTAAATGACGTACTAACGAGGCTGTCGCATGGATAATGATTTTGTGTCAAAAACATCTGTTCTTTCCTTTTCATGCAGATTGAGCCTTTTTTTGTGAGTGTGGCACTTTATGACCTCAGAGACAGCAGGAAGATTTCTGCTGATTTTCACGTGGATCTAAACCATGCTGCTGTCAGACAGATGCTCTTGGGGGCTTCTGTGGCTTTGGAAAATGGCAACATCGACACCATCACGCCAAGACAATCAGAAGAACCTCACATCAAGGGACTTCCGGAGGAATGGCTAAAATTTCCAAAGCAGGTGGCACTTTGTTTACTTGTGATGAGATGGAAAATGCGTGTACCATTATTCTTACCAATAGATCACATAAGATGAGCAATTTCCTGAATAAAAATTCCCTTAAAGCTGTCCTTTTTTGAAAAAGTGGAATTTTGTAAATGTCTACAATGTGGTTTCTTCCATGCTTATTAGCTGCTTGCTTTGTACACAGGCTGTATTTTCTGTAAGCAATCCACATTCTGAAATTGTTCTGGTGGCCAAAATTGAAAAAGTCTTGATGGGAAACATTGCAAGTGGTGCCGAACCTTATGTTAAGAACCCAGACTCCAACAAGGTAATGTATAATCTTATAAATAACTTCATTTGCTTTTGCTTTTGCTTTTTTAATGGAGTCTCTCTCTGTTGCCCAGGCTGGAGTGCAATGGTGTGATCTCGGCTCACTGCAACCTCCACCTCCTGAGTTCAAGTGATTCTCCTGCCTCAGCCTCCCCAGTAGCTGGGATTACAGGCGCATGCCACCACGCCTGCCTAATTTTTTGTATTTTATAGTAGAAACGGGGTTTCACCATGTTGGTCAGGCTGGTCTCGAACTCCTGACTTCAAGTGACCAGCCTGCCTTGGGCTCTCAAAGTGCTGGGATTACAGGCCATGAGCCACTGCGCCCAGCCAACTTCATTTGCTTTTAAGAAAGAAGGCCACACTTTGAATTATCAAATTTGTGTATCTTGAAATACTCACTTATTGGTGAAATGAATATCCACCAGAAATTTTTTTAAGTATATCTTTTTGCTTTATGTTCTTTTGATCTGGTAATTTTTGATCTCTGAGAATCTAATGGTAGAAATAAATTCAAATGTGGACAAAGCTTTCACTCCAAGGGTCAGAGTATTAGTAATAATGAAACCTTAGGAATAATCTTAGTAAAAGCAAGTGAATGAGACATCAGCAATGCTGATGATGAACAAAGTGAGATAAATAATTGTATATCAAATTATAATATCACTTAAGTGAAAAAAGGAACAGGAAAGAGAATACTGTGCTTTGAATGGTGGAACTACAGGTAATATGTTTCTACTTCCTTCTTTTCTATTAGATTTTCTTTAATAATCAAATATTACTGTTTAATAGAAAATAAATATTAAGGCCGGGCGCGGCAGCTCACGCCTGTAATCCCAACACTTTGGGAGGCCAAGGCGGATGGATTACGAGGTCAGGAGATAGAGACCATCCTGGCTAACACGGTGAAACCCCGTCTCTACTAAAAATGCAAAAAACTAGCTGGATGTGGTGACAGGCGCCTGTAGTCCCAGCTACTCGGGAGGCTGAGGCAGGAGAATGGCGTGAACCCGGGAGGTGGAGCTTGCAGTGAGCCAAGATCGCGCCACTGCACTCCAGCCTGGGCGACAGAGGGAGACTCCGTCTAAAAAAAAAAAGAAAAGAAGTATTAAAAGTCTATATTTTCCATGCCAAAGAAATATACTGAGGAAATAGCTTACAAGAATTGAATCTGAGCATGTATGACAATTTAGAAAGAAGTTTAACATATTTATGAGAGTCCCATAATTCAGTGTTTGGCAAACTACGGTGTGCAGGCCAAATCCAGCCTACCATCTGTTTTGATAAAGTTTTAATGAAACACAGTCACATTCATTTGTGGATTGTCTATGGCCACTTCCCTGCTACAGAAACAGAGTTGAAAATTTGTGACAGAGACTATATGGCCCATGAAACCCAATGTGTTTACTATATGACACTTTATAGAACCAGTCTCCTGCCCTCTGTCATTACAAATAAAAGGGATATAGAATAGACTGTAAATGTAAAGTTGCTAATACTTTCCATTCAAGATTTTAAAATCTTTTAAGTAAAAAAAAAAAAAAAGGAAAAAAGTTGATATTCCAAGACATGGATATTTTCTACATTTGAAATCTCCAAACTAAAAAGAAACAAAGAAAAATATTATACAATAGTTTGAACACAGGTGGACACCATTTGGCTCTTTATAAGGTAATACGGGCTAGTAAGACAGAGTTATGCTGAGTTTCAGCATAAAATAATATGAAAAAGTATTTAGTATTATTTTATATGTACAGTTTGTAAAGTGCTATTCTAAACAATATTTGTATTTATTTTTTCTTTAGTATGCACAAAAGATACTAAAATCCAACAGACAGTTCTGCGGCAAATTGGGAAAATACCGTATGCCTTTCGCCTGGGCAGTAAGGTAAGTCGACAGTTACAGCCAACAGACCAGAAATACATTTAATGGTGGCATTGGAAGCTTCAGTTTTGAACATTTTTGTGTTGCCTATTATTTTTAATGTGTCTACACCTGGAAAAATGCTAATATGGTCATCTTCATAAACATCTTGAGCTTCCCTGAGAATACATTTCACAAGACAGTTTAGCAATACAGTTTATAATAGAGGGCCGTGACACATGTGCCGTGCGTGCGTGACCAGATATGCTATGGGTTCTTGGTAGATATCAAATCAATGTCATAAATTGTTTATTATGTGTATTTGACTTAACAAATCTTTGACATTATGTCAGTCTTGAGAGTCTGGTGTGCCTAAAATTCAGATAGATGCACTATGATTTCTTATGCAGCTGCATGTTTTCATCTATGCGTAGAGCTCAGGTCTATATATGGATGTCCAAATGAAACCATCAAACCAATCATTTAAACTCATTTTGATTTTGATACTGTTTAGCCTAGCCAAATGTATCAGTACCAGTTGCCTCTCTGAAAGAAAGGCTGAGTTCTGTGGACATAGATGGACACATCATTCACTTGGATGCATAACCTCTTCATGAAGAACCATAATTGCTTTTCAGAACTGTTTAATATCATCAATTATTATTGTCCTCCTCAATCTCTTTACATCTTTATTAGTATAAGAATTTCTTAAGTGAGGAAGAGCCTGGCATAGACTCATAAGGCTAAAAGGTCAGCAATGTACACATTGAATGAACTAAGAAAGGTTAGAGCTACCGGCCGGGCATGGTAGCTCACACCTGTAATCCCAGCACTTTGGGAGGCCGAGACAGGCAGATCCCGAGGTCAGGAGTTCGAGACCAGCCTGGCCAACATGGTGAAACGCCGTCTCTCTAAAAATACAAAAATTAGCCAGGTGTGGTGGCAAATAATACAGCCCATCAAATATTCATTTGAACTTTGGTAACATTATCTCAATGTATCCAACTTTAACATCCAGAAGGACGAGAGAACCTATTAATTATGCCATTTTTAAGTCTCACAGTTCCCAGTGATGTATATTCAGAGTAAACTCACCAATATCTGTCATAATTTTGAGGTTGTTATTTGAAGTTGGAGATGAGTAGGTGTAGGAAGGAGAAATGTGGAAGTTTGGGCAGCAGTAAACCAAGATAGATTCATGCAGTCTCCAGGAATTAGTTTGCCCTAAGGCAGTGCCATAGCAAGGGAGGGAGAGTCTAGGCCTGGGAGTCTGATAAACATTGCAGATCAGGCCACTACTTACTGTGACTTGGAACAAGTTTCTTCTCCAAGTCTCAAGGTTCCCAGCTATAAATTGAAGCTGACAATACCTGCCTTATGAACAGTATGTGCAATCTCAAGTGCAGAAGCATTTGGCATAAAATAGCTCATGGATAGTACTTTATCCTCCCTTTTCTATCTCCTTCTATAGGAACAACTAATGCCAGGACATTCTGCATGAAAAAAGATGGTATTTAGAGCTACAAAACCCTTCGTAATGAATTTGTTTTTATTTCTCATAAGCTTTAAGAGAAAGGCTAACTAATTATAATTCACTGATTAAACATTTTTGGTATTCTTAAGCATTCTCAGTTCCCTCCAGAAAACCTACTGGGGCAAGTAGAGGCAAGATGTCTGTTGTGAAATATTCCAGTATAACAAAAGTACAATAGTGCACACATTTTTCACTTTAAGGATCCAACATTGCTCTGAGACTTTAGAAGCAGGCGTTTTAGGGCCAGACAGAACTGAGCTCAAAATCCTAACTCTGGCCAGGCATGGTGGGCCATGCCTATAATCCCAACACTTTAGGAGGCCAAGGTCTCCTGGAGGTTCGCTTAAGGCCAGGAGTTCTAGATCAGCCTGGGCAGCATAATGAGACCCAATCTCTAAGAAACTTTTAAAAAATTAACCAAGAGTGGTAGCGTACACCTGTAGTCCTAGCCACTCAGGAGGTTGAGATAGCAGTATCACATGAGCCCAGAAGCTGGAAGTTGCAGTGAACTATGGTAGTAGTGCACTCCAACCTGGGCAACAGAGTGAGACCCTGTTTCTAAAAAAAGAAAAAAGAAAAAAAACCCACTCTATCCTTTATTAGCCAAGTGAGCTTGGGCAAGTTCCTTATAACCTGACTTTACCTATTTTTTTTAATCTACAAAAGAGGAAAATAAGAATATCTAATTTACTGGTATAAGGATTAAGGAGCACAGATATGTACCCTATAAAAAACTGTTATTTTTAGAAGTCATTTTTTTCTAATATTATTATTACTAGAAGTCACTTACAGAGATCATAGTTACGTCACCAAGTCCCCTTTTCTGATAAATTTGGGGCAGTGAAGAACAATATAAAGGAGAGAAGTCAATGAATTACCCATTATTGAAAGAACCTGAGAAGTCAGGCGAAGGGACAATCCTGCTTTGAAGTAAAATAAGTAAAATAAGCTGGAAGAAAGACAGATGAAGTCTCTAGGGAGGCTGACAGTATTACTGACTATTGAAATGATTCCTAGGATAGGAAAGCCAGTGAAACCACAAGCTTAGACCATATGAATGCCCAATTAGTGGTCTGGTTGTAGGTAGGAAACAGCACCAACCCGTGTATATACACATGTGATTTACTTCCACATAAGTTTCTCACAACTGAGAAAAATAGTTAGCAGGACAATTCTAAAGATATGTCAAACCATTTGGATTACCTAACCACAAAAAAGTACAAAAGATCCAGCCAAAGATTTTAATTCCCCTTTCACAATGTAGAAACTGCTTCAAATAAGTATGGACAGCATCAGAGGAAGGCTGATTGTTGCCCATGTTTTTACCAGCTTCCTGACATACTTCAATACCTAATTGATAAGGCTGATTTTGAGGCTACTGCTCCTTCCTGTTACGCTTTCTAGATTGCAGTTTGTTCCGAAGTATAGCTTTCAGTGTGCCCTAAGACGTGTTGGCCCTTACAATCAACTGTCATTAAAAAGTAGAACTGACAATTTAGATTATGACCATATTTTTACCCACATCTAATCATCCCACCCACTGCAGTACGCACAGATGCTCATCGCTGTGAACAACGTTTTTTTCTGAAATTAATTTGGTGTTCTTATATTTGGCACCAGCTGCAGTGCCATTTTACAGTGAAAAGGTTATCCTTGGGGGAGGAATAGAGAACACATACAGACGACTACACAAAGTATTTTATACTCATTGACTCGGGAGAAAACTGACCCTTCCGAATGTGTCAGGTTGTGAATGGCTCTCTTTCCGTGCATATCATCCCCAGAATCCTATATGCCAGCATCCTTGCAAGGACTCTTTTGTGATTTCCTTGACTACCTCATTTGATATTCTAAATGGACCAGCACTCAACACTGAATTTTTTTTAATTAAGCAAAATTAAAATAAACATTTCATTCTCATATCTCTACAATTATGGAAGGTGCACAGTACAACTGTCATTTAAGATTCCCATACTGACAACGTCTTCAACAAATGGTCGTCCAACTTCTGTTTGACTCCTTCCAGTGACAAAAACCCAAGTGCACCCCACAGTGCTTCCTTCTGTCTGTCTTTGTAGAGCTCTCATTATTAAATAATTTATTTTTCAAAATCATCTTCAGCTATCTGAAAACCACTTTTATGTGTTTTCTTCCATAGACACACACACACACAAAACATATGTCTACTTCATTCTGCACATCATGGTTATTCATGCTGTTTGTGAATGAATCTATCAGGGACATCTAAGGTTCTTTTCCTTTGGGCAAGAAAACAAAAAAACTTACACGAGTGGTTTTGGAATGGCTGGGCCATATTTCATGATTCCTACAATCATACCCCAAATATCATGGTGCTGACACCCTCACAATATACTGACCACTGATCAACTGTAGCAGTTGGAACTAGGTGTTCCAGCCATCACAAAACCATCTGTGTAAATGAATCAGTTCTTTTATCTCCTGCCATATACATATATATGTATATACACACACACATGCATATATACATATACACACATATACATACATATATACATATACATATATACATATATACACATACATATACTTTTTCTTTTTTTTTTTTTTTTGAGACGGAGTCTCTCTCTGTCGCCCAGGCTGGAGTGCAGTGGCGCGATCTCGGCTCACTGCAAGCTCCGCCTCCCGGGTTCACGCCATTCTCCTGCCTCAGCCTCCCGAGTAGCTGGGACTACAGGCGCCCGCCCATCACCATGCCCGGCTAAATTTTTGTATTTTTTTTTAGTAGAGACGGGGTTTCACCGTGTTCGCCAGGATGGCCTCGATCTCCTGACCTCGTGATCCGCCCACCTCGGCCTCCCAAAGTGCTGGGATTACAGGCTTGAGCCACTGCGCCTGGCCTACTTTTTCTTTTGAGACGGAGTCTCACTGTGTCGCCAGGCTGAAGTGCAGTGGCACAATCGCGGCTCACTGCAACCTTCACCCCCCAGCTTCAAGGATTCTCCTGCCTCAGCCTCCTAACTAGTTGGGATTACAGGTGCACGTCACCACGCCCAGCTAGTTTTTGTGTTTTTTAGTAGAGATGGGGTTTCACCATGTTAGCCAGGCTGGTCTCAATCTCCTGACCTCGTGATTCCCCCATCTTGGCCTCCTAAAGTGCTGGGATTACAGGCGGTCACCGTGCCCAGCCACCAGTTATATATTTCTTGAGCAGCCGCAGGTTGTATGGCACTGTGAGCAAAACTTCTCCCATGGTGCTGTACTCTTCATTCTTTTTATGAAAAGTGTCCAGTGTAAGTGAGCAATTTCCATGACAGAGTTGTGGATAAGAGCAAATTGAGTTCCACAATTAACATCTATCAATAAATGGAAGTCACTAATTAATTAAAAAGTTATTGCTCAAGCTCAGTTTAGCTTCCTCTCATATTGGGAATTGTGTCATGTTAGTTTCAACATGTGATGCACTGAAACAAACGCCCTTTATAATATTTAAATAAAAATAATGTTCATGTAATATTTTTATTCTTTCTCCCCAATGTTATTTGCCTTTTTACCTTCCCTCATTCACTACTTAACAGAGAAAAAATGAGGAGACAACTTGAAGGAGTCTAAAAATATTCTGATAAAATCTTAGCCTATTTTCTTTTAGTGTTCTATTTAACAAGTTGTATAATCTGATATCTGTTTAAATGGTCATCTCAGCCTGTGCATTGAATTCTTCGGTTAACTTAAAGAGTGATGAAACATTCTAGTTAAGGCCCTACATTAGAAGAAGTAAGAATTCAGTATTTCTCTAACACTGAAGTAAGAATTCAATATTTATTTCTCTAACATTGAAGAAAATATATGGGTCTAATTTTTTTTGGACCACACATTGATGAGATATGAGGAACTTCATGTAAAACTGACATCTAAGCATGGTACGTATGTGAAGCAAGTATTGTCTGATGTTGCTATATTATTTGGACAAAAGCTATTTATGTGTTTCAACTAAGCCTAACTTTCCTTGGTTCCAATGAAATAGACCAAGGAAGGAAATAAGTGGCTAGGATTCATGGTGTTCTCTTTCTTTAAAACAAAAGTCTGACTCAGGTGCCTTCCATATTATCTTTGCCTCTGTCCTAAAAGTTAGGACATGGGTACATTTAGCTCCACGAAAATGTGTCAAGAGTATGGCCTTCCACACTCACATATACAACCTTATCCCTGTTCCACCACTCGTAAATCCTAGTAATGCCACTCAAATTGAAGTGACTCTGTCCTGCCCAGGTTTAAGGTGTCTTGAAGAAATAATTTAAAAGAATAACTTGTGTTCCTATTCTTTTCCACTTCCCTAATACTCCAAGGTTTTGACACAAGTTATTAAATGTGAGACATCATAAAAAATACAGTTGTAATGTGGAATGTTATCACTTTGGATACAGAGTTAAAAATAAAAAATTAAAGATAACAAAAATAAAGTGTATAAATGAAACATTTGTATAAGAAGTTTTCTGTCTTTTTATTTTGTAAGTTCTTAGAGCTTCTCTGGTTATAAATGAGAAGTTTAATTAATATAGTCACCTTAAAAACACAACTTTATAAACAATATCCAAATACCAACCTGAATAAATATTTTCTTTCAGATCAGTATTTAAGGACAACCAGGGAAATGTGGACAGAGACTCAAGATTTTCACCATTGTTTAGACAAGAAAGTAGCAAGATTTCAACCGAGGACCTGATTAAACTAGTATCAGATTATAGAAGGTATGTTTTTTTAATACTCTTGAAATTAACAAAAATCAGCCATGTTGATTTGTTATCGCTTCATAAATACCTGAGGATCTGATTCCCGAATGCCCAAACCTCCAGAAAGCAGACATTTTTCAGGTGACTTCACATATGCCCAAATAGTGCCACAAAGGCAAAAACTGCTAGAATTGTATGGAAGGACTGTGAAATGTTAAACTGTATCAGTTATTTATTGCTGTATAACAAACCACCTCAAAACTTAATGGTTTAAAATAACAACACTGCGACAGTAGTTATACTCCTGAGTCCACAATTTGAGCACATCTGAGTGAGGACAGCTTATCTCTTCCACACATGGCATGGGCTGAGAGAGATCAGCTGGGGTCAGAGGATCCACTTTCAAGATGGCTCGTTTGGTTTTCAGCCAATCAGTGCTGGCTGTTGGCTGGAAACTCAGCGGGGACTATGAGCTAGATATCTCAGTTCTCTGTGGGGTCCTCTTCATGAAATTCTTTGACTTCCTTAGGCGTGGTGGCTGCGTTTTAAAAGTAAGTGTCTCAAGGGCAGGAAATGACCACTGTTGATTTCAGTTTGGGGCCCAGAAGCTGTTACAGTGCCATGTCTGCCAAAGTCACCTATCAAGCTGTCACAGAGCCCAGACACAGTACTTAGATTCAAAGGAAGGAAGCATAGACATCTCTCAGTAGGGGGAGTATTAAACAATTTTAGGACAATGTTTTACAGTTATTTTGCTGTAAATATAATCACTCATAACAGCTCTGTCATTCAAATACTTTTAGAAAAGACAGTGGAAATTATTGCCAAAACAGAAAACATATACATGCCACAACATTTTTTAAATGAATAACCATACATCCAACATCTGATGATGACGAGGTCGCTCATTACAAGCTACTTATCATGAACTTCTGACCCTCTAATATACACACAGTATTCTTGTACTTTTTGTTCCCAAATATTGACTCTCTGCCTCTCCCATCTAAGAATCAACAATCTCCAATCCTTTAATTCATTTATGCAAAACGAAAATAATATAATATTATGAAGCAAGAACAGTTAATATTTTCCGCAGCTCCTGGAGAGGACATACTCTATGTGACAAGAAGTTTTGCCAATGTTTTGTTGATTATGTTGTTCTGAAAATTATATAAATCTTAGAAAGCAAAATAAAAATGGGAAGTAACATCTTGAAGGAGTCTGGAACCTGTCTGACTTATTTTTGATGCTATAAGACCATTCCTGCCAGATGCAGTGGCTCACGCCTGTAATTCCAACACTTTGGGAGGCTAAGACAGGAGGATGGCTTGAACCCAGAAGTTTCAGACCAGCCTTGGCAACACAGTAGCAACATCATCTCTAATAAAACTTTTAAAAATTATCTGGGTGCGGTATCATGTGCCTGTCGTCCTAAATACTCTGGAGGCTGAAGTGGGAAGATCCCTTGAGACTGGAAGGTTGAGGCTGCAGTGAGCCACGACTGCACTACTGCATTCCAGCCTGGGTGACAGAGTAAGACCCTGTCTCAAAAAAAAAAAAAAAGGACCACTTCTTACATGGAGAGAGCTTCCTCCCCTTTAAAGTAATCAAACATCCTGGCCAAAACCCATACCATAGCCTTCCTAAGGCCCAGCCTTTCCTCTTTACCTTTTTGCCAGTATACTGAAGCGTGAAAGGCTATAATGCTGAGCAGAAGAGAATAGGTAGAAGGTTCTGGGGTGATCTGTTATAAATAGAAAAAAACAAACTCTTACAAAACCCATGTTATCAGTGAATAGCAAGGAAAATTATTACCGTGTAAATTAAGAGGGCACCCTAGAATACACAACGCAGTGCTGACATTAAATTATTTCATGTCAGCCTCACACTTTATGGCCTTTATTCTCAGTGGTGTGCTGACAAATGTTTCACAACCAACTCTTTAAGGGAACAACGGACTTGTGCTGATGGCCGGTGTCTATCTACTATTGCTGATTCCAACCTACCAATGGGGCTTCACTGAACATAGAGTTAGCAAGAGATGTGCACCCTAATACAGCATTTCCACCATATAGTTAGAGATGTACAGATAATCTTACCATGTAGTGAAATAATCAGAAAGTGGTGAATTTTGAGTACTTACTACCTTTGTGTTTAATATAATTTCTTTCATAAGTTTATTTAACTTAATTTACATTAATGGCCGTGTTTAGCTGTCAAGCAAAATTCCTAAAAATTGAACATTCAGCTCTCACAAGCTGAGAAGAGCTGACTCTGACCCATCACTGTAATTATTCCACCTTTCAAAGTAGATTTCCTGAGACTTGCAACTGTTATCAGCAGCTTTCACACTACTCTAAAGGAAGACTGGCCAGAGGTTTTAATAGAGAGAGAGTAGGAGGGAAATGGGAGGACTTGAGCCAGGGAGTGCATGTGAGTGGGAGACAGGTGGGGAAGGGGTGTCCGCATACACTATAGGGGTGAGAGAGCAGAAGAAACAGGGCTCAGGGAAGGGTCCCCCTCCTCCTTGTTTGTTGGTGAAGAGGAAGAATATGGACCGTCCACTTGGCAATTGTAGCAAAGACCAAGCTTGCTCTCAAAACTTCTTAAAATTCATTATGAGAGTGCATTACTTAAGCCACTTTAAATACTGTTAGCTTTTGTTAATAAAAACTCCATAATTTACTCTCATACTTTTTTGATCATTTTTGTGTTATCTGAAGTAGAAGGAAATACATTTAAAATCTTTTTCAGAAAATCTGTCACTTGACCCCTCCCTGATTTGTATTTTTATTTGCAGTATCACATGTATTTTAGTTTGCAAAATTAAACCAGCTAAATAAATCATTCACAAGATTATTTGGGAATCTGCTGTTTACCCTTAACAAAACTCAGAATTATAGATGACTGCTTTTTCTTGAAAATTGGAATAATACTCTGTGTGTGTGTGTGTGTGTGTGTGTGTGTGTGTGTGTGTGTTTCCTTGCTCATGGACTCTTCCAGGGCCGACAGAATAAGCAAAATGCAGACCATTCCTGGAAGCCTGGATATTGCTGTTGACAACGTTCCCTTGGAGCATCCAAGTATGATGATGATGTCATGGTTTGGTTGCCGAGTTTTGAATATTGAATAGTTAGTGGGTTTTTTTGGTTGGTTGGTTGGTTGGCTAGTTGGTTGGTTACAAGGTTTTGGGGTTTTTTTTCCCCAAAAGTTTAAATATGTGGAATTCATGATGCTACAGAAATGTGGAGCTTCTTTTTGCTTCACTAAGACAGATGATGAGTTTTGTAGAGCAAGAACTATAATCAGGGTAACCTAACACTTACCTGGTATGCACCATGTACCCAACAAGGTATTAAATTACGTCTTTTAATCCTCAAAACCCTGGAGGGTTTCAAAGAAGGAAAGTCAGATTTGGATAGATTAACAAACCAATAATCCATAACGGGAGAATATGCTTCCATTGAGTGAGTTCCTCTCACTCAAAATAGAGGCTAGTTCTGCCATACTGTGCTGCCAGAGGGTTACTCTGAACACTATGTGTAAGCACTCAAGTGGCCATGCAATGATTATAACTCAAATATTGTCACACTCTGTTATTATACAGAGAACATAATTTTTTTTAGAATATGGTCAAAAGTATTGTCAGTAAAAAAAACTGAATTTTAGAAGGCACTTTTATTAACTTTATAAGAGTTTCAGAATTTAATTTTTAAGTGGTAAAATTGGTTTCTTTTGTTATTTCTGATTCTACCTTTTAGTGACTTTCTCAGCAATGCAAAAAAAAAAAAAAAAGAATAAAGGCCTCCTATAATGAACTCTAAACAGGGAAAGGACTATTGACATGGGATATTTGGATTACCATTGCGGTATTAAGTTTTCCATCCTTGTAACTTTCTACAAATAATTTTAATATGAAATGTAATGAGCATTCTAACTTAAGCCATGGCTCGAAATCATTTTTATATTGATTGATGTGAAAAAGCAGAGGGTAAACTAAGCCATTTCCTCTACCTGATTTGGGGATCATTGTTTTTATTACCTATGGAAATGAAACATGACAAATGAGGCACTCAGTATTCTCTTTGGAAGAAGGGTAGAATCTTAGAGAAATCTGAACACATAATAAAAATATCATAATTGGTTTTTGAAAAAAGAAAACCATAATCTGATTCTCAAGCATTCATAGCTAATCATTTTGCTTTTTAGAACACAGTCAGATTCCAGGTGGAGTAAAGGGAGGTAGAAGACCTTGGTCTTTCAGTACCACAACTTCAGCCTTCAAACTGTTTGGTGACAGAAGTTTTGATTTATAAATTCCTAATCATTATTTCTTAAGCTATTCCTCCAAGAGTAGGTTTTAAAAGGTGATACAAACTGAACAGAAAAATAAATAAACTGTATCTACTGATGAAGAGAGGGGCTTCAGGCCCGTGCTGTGAAATCCATTGTGTAGAGAGATATTGCTATTAATCTAACTGTTACTATCAGTAATATATCTAATGGACAAGGCTTTGTTCAGCCATATATCAGAATATGTATTATTTTTATAGTGTTATAGCAAAGATTGGTGGATTATTATAATATATGGTTATTATGTTCAGCGGTTCATTAGTTAAAATTTGTTTTTATGGGAAGCTTAATACAAAAAGAAAATAGTTATAAATCTGTCTAAAAGATGTACTGCTTAGTCTGAGACATCAGTTTTAATATTAAATATGTAGCTTGTTAATCTGCCATGCCCACCTCCTACAAATTTTTCCTGGTAGCGTAAGTTAATATCCATTGGTGTACAAGCCAGGAGTTTCTATCTTGAGTGGGTTCGTTTTAAAATATGTTAAGTATTGTTCACTTTAAAAGAACCATATTAAATGACAAACTCTTATTTTCTGATTTTTTAAGATTGTGTAACATCGTCCTTTATCCCTGTCAAGCCTTTCAACATGATGGCTCAAACAGAACCCACAGTGGAGGTGGAAGAATTTGTTTACGACTCAACAAAGTATTGTCGGCCTTATAGAGTATATAAAAATCAAATTTATGTTTACCCCAGACACCTCAAGTATGATAGTCAGAAATGCTTCAACAAGGTATGATATAAGTTTCTGAGATATCATCTTTTCTTTTCACCATATTTAGACCATATACGATAGTTCCTGAATGTGCAAATACAAATTACTATAGGGCAGCACTTTCTCATAGAAAACCTTTTGGAGAAAATGTTTAGTAAGAGGCAGAGATGAGTTTTATCTTAAAAGTGTTTAAGGATGCAGTTTTGTAGCATATTAATAATCTTTTCTAAATCAGTCTTAAATAATTTTGTTCTAGACCATTTTTTTTAGTTTCTTAAGATACTCTAAAAATAGCATGCCTGCCCCCCTTTCAATATGAGCTTTTACTTCCCTTTTAAGTACACTCTCCAGATCCTTCTGTTATTTCAGAACATCACGGATAATGTCACAAGAAAATGTTGGATATTTTACATTTTTCGGATTTAATTAGAAGCTACTTATTTTAGGCACTTGGATTTTTTTATGTTATTTGATAGGAAATTACAATTTCATTTTTTCTCTCCATTATTTCAGGCACGAAATATAACTGTGTGCATTGAATTCAAAAATTCCGATGAAGAAAGTGCCATGCCCCTGAAGGTGAGCCAAGTCAGCAAAGGCACCCAGCATCAAGGGGGAAGGCAGGTGCAGGGATTCTTTCCACCATTGTGGGGCTTTTTATGTGAGTGTGGTTGAAAAAGCAGTAATTTAATACATTTGTTTTACATCTGAAACGTACCTGATTTAACAGTCATCATTAAGTAGATCTGTTAGAAATCCCAGTCTCATAGCTCTTTTAGCTTTTCATGACTTGGGAAAAAAGGACACATTTTTTAAATGAATAACCATACATCCAACATCTGATGATGACGAAGTCTTTCATTACGAGCTGCTTATCATGAACTTCTGGCCCTCTGATGTACACACAGTATTCTTGTACCTTTTGTTCCCAAATATTGACTCTCTGCTTCTCCCATCTAAAAATCAACAATCTCCAAGGTAAATGCCGAGACTCCCCTGTGGAAGACATTGCCTTTTTCAAAGATTAGCCTGCCTCTCGGTTCAGCGTGCTTGATTTAAAACAGAACACCCAGCCGGCCCTCGTGTGGTCTGCGCAGCAGCACTGCTGCATACTGGCCCAATGTCTAACGCAGGGGCCCATGGGATGCCCACAGTTATGGAAGGTGCACGTGGCCAAGTGCCTGAGGAACTGGAAAAATGGCTCTGGGAAGTCAGTCCCGGTTGCTGATCACGTGATTTAGTATGCTCCATAAAACTGTGAGGTTTGCAGGCACTGTGCTGTTTTCACTCTACAAAGCTGCAACTGGATGGCATTTTTTAGAGTTCACATTTGATATATAATATGCAGTTTTTATTTTAGGGATTTCAAACAACATAAAGTAACCCATTAAAACTGAGGGGGAAATTATTTGTAGTGGGCCTGCTGCCGATCTTACCAGCTTCGGCAAATCAAAGAATGAGGTAGTAGAGGACAAAACTAATTTCTAACTAACCCCCACCATTCTCTGTGGTAGTCTCTTAAAGCACTCTGTCTGGTACAAATTGAGTCCTCTAATTTGTAGCATTATTCAGAAGAACAATAATCAATTTGAGTGATTGAATTAATCAGGCACAGTAAAGAGAGTCTTTAAAAAAAAAAAAACTCTTGAGCCACTGTCAGCATCCACTGGCACCAAACTCGAAAACAGCGTTAGCATCAGGAGAGAAAAATTCAAGTGAAATATAATTGTTAAGCAAACAGAGGCAATGATCAGATGGCAAGCACATCTGGCCTGTAAAGCAATGTTTTTACATGGAAAATTGTAGAAAAGAAGAACAATCACAGGTGGGTCCCCGGCTTCACTGCATTCTAAAATACCACACAGAGATACAGCAAAATCAAATGTCAGACGCCACAAGAGGGGTCTTGAGTTTTGGACAAAGGGGGCTTATAAGTTATAAGGAAGTGCCATATCACAGCCCCCGGCCTGATTCGGGGCTGGATAGAATAGTAACTTACTGTGGTGGAAACGGAAACCAGCCCTATCCCAGAAGCTGGCGTGTCAGGGGCTGGGGTCCAACCAACTCTTGTGGTTGCATAAGACCTTAACTCTAGATCAGAGCTGGTTCCATGGGGCCTGTATTACTCTGTTCTCACACTGCACTGGGTAATTTATAAAGAAAAGAGATTTAATTGACTCATAGTTCTGCATGGCTGGGGAGGCCTCAGAAAACTTACAGTCATGGTGGAAGGGGAACAGGCACGTCTTACATGGTGGTAGGCGAGAGAGAGAGAGAGCACCTGTGTGAGAGCAGGAAAAACTGCCATTTATAAAACCATCAGATCTCTTGAGAATTCATTGACTGTCATGAGAACAGCATAGGGGAAACTGCCCCCAGGATCCAATCACTTCCTTCCCTCAGCATGTGGGGATTATAATTCAAGATGAGATTTGGGTGGGGACACAAAGCCTGACCATATCAGGGCCTGTTCAGGAAGCCATTCTATAGGAATCAGTCTTAAACAAGTTAGACCTTATCCCATGTAAATCAAGAGTCAGATTGGTCCAGGTGATACTCATGGGCTAGGGGAGGTCCTCAAACACTGACCATTGTCTCGGGTCATTGTCTGAATCATTGCTATTGTCCTGGGGTTGGTAACTGAAGAGTTATGGCCTTTTTTTCACTCAGGGATGATTTCAGACACTCATAATTGTTCAATTCATAACTTTTTAAACAGTGTATTTAGGACCCCAACCCCAGCCGGTGAACAGGCTCTTGACACTGTCACAAGAAGGATTTCAAGGATGACTCAGAAAATAGTCAAAGTACAGAGATTTACTGTGAAGCAAAAAGTACACACTCAGGAAAGAAGAGTGTGTACTCAAGAGAGACATTCGTCTGCAAGAAGGTTTAGGGCTTCTATCTTTATGGGTTTCTTTACATTCATGAAGATGTCTAAAGAAAGGTGACGATGTATCAGAATTGTGGTGCCACCTATATTTATAGCAAATATGGGTGTTTGCAGAACTGCCCAGGTGCTGGTGGAAGTGTAATTTAGTATGTTAATGGGCATATAATGAGGTCCTGGGAGAAACCTAGGTCAAATCCAGCACCATGCTGGGTACAGTTGGTCTTAGCCAGCTTGGCCCACATCTTATTTTTTAGGGTCTTATTGGCCACTGACTTATGGAGCTATTTCAACAGTATCCTTTTTGCTAGTCATGTGAAACCTCTGCCTGGAATTGTCTGTTCTCCTATGGCCACCCTATATTATTCCTGTCTCACAGGTATTTGGCCCTGGTGTATTATCGATATGAGGAATGAAAGCCATCAAATTATCTTCAGCAGCTTTCACTGTATAATAAATGCAGGGTAGTAGGCCAAAGAAGTTAAAAATTAATTAGATGCCAGCTTAGCCTGGCAAGTTATCACAAAGTTTGCCATTGTCCCAGGGTTGGTACTGAAGAGTTGTGGCCTTTTGTTCACCCAGGGATAATTTCAGACACTTACAATTGTTCAACTCATAACTTTTTAAACAGTGTATTTATGGAAAACCTGGAGGGACCATCTTCACCTCAGCCGCCTACACAGCAGTTCTGCACCACTCTCAGAATCCAGATTTCTCAGATGAGGTAAGAGCCAGCCCTCCACTGTCCCCTGCAGCTCCTAAGAAAGGTGGGTGAATGGTCAGATAACTGTGTAGTGAGAAACACTCTCTCTAGACCTCATTAGACTCAGGACATGCCTTGGCCGGTGTATACTTACCAAGATTTCTAAACTATATTAATTGACAATTGTTCCAGGAGTACATTGCAAATTCATGTATTTCAGGACAGGAGTGACCTTTTAAAAAAAATGGGATGCTGGCCAGGTGCAGTGGCTCACGCCTGTAATCCCAGCACTTTGGGAGGCCGAAGCAGGCAGATCACCATCCTGGTAACATGGTGAAACCCCGTCTCTGCTAAAAATACAAAAATTAGCTGGGTGTGGTGGCACGTGCCTGTAATCCCAGCTACTCTGGAGGCTGAGGCAGGAAACCCACTTGAACCAGGGAGTCGGAGGCTGTGGTGAGCCGAGATCACACCACTGCACTCCAGCCTAACAACAGAACAAGACTCCATCTCAACTAAAAACATTAAAATTTAAATTTAAAAAAATATGCTTCTAGTGCTGGCATATATCTTTTCTTCTTTTCTTTTTCAGTGAATTTTTTTTTTCTTTTATTTCACTAGCTAGTGAAGAGATTGTGTTAAATAGCTTTACCAATGAATGGCAGCATTTCATGTCATAAGGAAGAGAGCAGAGAACTAGAGCCTGAGCCAATTGCATTGCTTATGACATGCCTGAACTTAAGTGAGCTTGGACCCTGTCATCTCTAAACATGACAGGGAACAAGCCTTGCCCTGGCAGGCTTTCAGGACTCTTGCAGTGTGCCAAGCCTCAAGCTAAATTCCATGCACACATCATCTCCCTTAATCCCCACAGTAATTCCAAGAAGTTGGTACTATTATTACCTCCCTATTTGATGGATGAGAAAACTATGGCTCAGAGAAGTCAAGTAACTTTACCAAGGGTACATAATAAGTGAGAGAAATCAAACCAGGCCATGTGACTCCAGAGCCTGAAGCTTCACCCTTTTCCTCTAACACACAGAAAGTCATTGGGCTCATGGTCAATTACTATACACATGTTAGCTTACATTACAAACAACTTTAGACAAACAAATTTCAGTGATAAAATTTAATTTCTAACCATAAAGTGAAGGTCTGACTAGTGCAGCCTGCTGATGGGATGCCTGAGATTCATAATATCACACCTTTTATAGGCATTTTCTATGGCTGCTTTCACACATTACCAGCATTTAGCAGCTTAAAACAGCATGCAACTGTTATCTTACTGTTTTGTTGTTCCGAAGTCTGAAATGGCTCACAGGGCTAAAATCGAGCTTGCAGCAGGGCTACGAGCCTTCAGGAGGTTCTAGGGAAGATTCCAGTTCCTCTCCTTTTCCAGCTTCTAGAGGCTGCCCACATTTCTTGGCTTTTGAGCCTTCCCGACAATCCCATCACTCTGACCTTGGCTTCTGTTCTCACTTCTCTTATGACCCTGCCTTCCTCTTATGAGGACCTTTGTGATGACACTGTGCTCATTTGGAAAATCCAGGATAATCTCCCCATCTCGTGGTCCTTAACTTAATCACATCTGTTAAGTCCTGTTTACCATGTAAGGTAGCACATTGGCAGAATTAGAACATTCAGGACATCTAGCGGGTGATGGCTTTCTGCCTCCCACAGTGTGCACAGTAATCATTTCAAAACTAATTAAAGGAACACCAATGAAACACCTGCCTGACATTATTTCACTCTTCCATGTATAGTTAGTGCTCCTTAATTTTCCCCCCACAAATTCAGGACAGAAAGTGAAATACAGTTCAGGGAAAACCATGATCACATTACAGAATATTTACTGTTATCGGTTGACCAAAGGGTTGACAAAGCCCATCTGGAAGATGCTTTTTCTGTAGATATATGATTTTTTTAAAAAAAATTAATATTCTTACTGTTCTTAACTGTTTTAATCTTTCTATTCTCATGTGTTTCCTGGAAGCCTCATGAAAGCCATGAGCTTTTTCACATGAGAGTATGTACGATTCTGGGAACGACTCGGTTGCTGACATTGAGCTGCCTGCAGCTTACCGGAGTTCCAGTGCAAAATGATCATCCCAAGATGTGGGTTCTTGTCCTGGAAGATCCTCTTACTGACCACACCACCTTTGCAGTAACTCAGAGCCCCCTAACATGTGCAGCCCTGGTTCCTAACACTGCACCATGCTACTTCACAAGGCTACTGGGGAAAATGAAATGATGACGTACGTGGCAGAGCTCTGAAAACTCAAAAGCACGATAAAATGTAGAGTTAGTTGAAAACATTTCTTTCCAGAAATAGGGAGAATGCCCTTCATTCAGTATATTGTTTACCTAGATCCATTTTTATTTTATTTTCATTCGAAAGCATTATTTGTATAGCTACAGCCTGGCCACTTCCCAAAATGTCTCATTAGCTGTCACAGTAACACAGATATGTTTGTTAGTTTTTAAAAAGAGATCAATTCCATGCCAAAGCTGCATCATTTACTATACCATATTACTCAACAATGTGCATATGAGTTGCCTGGGGATCCTATGAAAGGGCAGATTCCAATTGAGTGTGTCTAGGTTAGTGTCTGAGACTCCAGCCTGGGCAATAAAGTAAGACATCTGTCTCTACAACAAGAACAACAACAAAAATCAAAAAGTTAGCCAGAGGTCATGGCCAGCTGCGGTGGCTCACGCTTGTAATCCCAGCACTTTGGGAGCCCGAGGCGGGTGGATCACAAGGTCAAGAGATTGAGACCATCCTGGCCAATATAGTGAAACCCCATCTCTTCCAAAAATACAAAAATTAGCTGGGTGTGGTGGCGTGCGCCTATAGTACCAGCTACTCGCGAGGCTGAGGCAGGAGAATCTCTTGAACCCAGGAGGTGGAGGTTGCAGTAAGCTGAGATCATGCCTCTGCACTCTAGCCTGGTGACAGAACAAGACTCCATCTCAAAAAAAAAAAAAAGCCAGAGGCCAAAGCTGCAGTGAGCTGTGTTCGTACCACTGCACTCTAGTCTGGGCAACAAATGTGAGACCCTGTCTCCAAAATGAAAAAAAAACTTCTGTATTTCTAACGAACTTCCAAGTGATGCTTATGCAACTGGTCCCCAACCACACTTTGGGAGGCATGGACTTACTGTTTATTCAATTTGTGTCCCTTAATGACAGTTCCTCGATGTGTGTCTTATCTATATTCTGCAGTTACATCTGTGTGTGTGTTTATGCATATGTATGTGCATATATTTAATCCATACCCTAGTAGCATGAATTATCTAATGAGAAACACTAGGTATTCCAAATTATCATCATCCATCACAATAAAGAAGTAAAAATATCAACATGTGAATAAATCACTGCTAGCAGAAACAATATTTATTGAGCATTAAATCAGTACATCCAGCACTGTTAAAACACGGACTTAGATTTCAGTTAAAGAATTTTTACCAATGGTGTGGTTGCTCATGCCTGTAATCCCAGCACTTTGGGAGGCCAAGGAGGGTGGATCATTTGAAGTCGGGAGTTTGAGACCAGCCTGGCCAACATAGTGAAACCCCATCTCTACTAAAAATATAAAAATTAGCTTGGCATGGTAGCACGTGCCTATAATCCCAGCTACTGGGGAGACTAAGGCAGGAGAATTGCTTGAACCCAGGAGGCAGAGGTTGCAATGAGCCTAGATCACGCCATTGCACTCCAGCCTGGGTGACAGAGTAAGACACAGTCTCAAAAAAAAATAAAATTAAATAGAATTTAAAAAAAAATTTTTTTAAAGCTATGCTTTGTCTTGCTCTGATATTGGGCAAATGATTTTAATCTCAGTCCAACTATGGTTTCTTTCCTTGCAGGTGAAAATTGAGCTACCAACACAACTCCATGAGAAACACCATATTTTGTTTTCTTTTTATCACGTCACCTGTGACATCAATGCAAAAGCTAATGCCAAAAAGAAGGAGGCTCTGGAAACATCAGGTACTGCCAGGAAGAAATCTGAGGCAGAGTCACATGTCTTCTGTTCGCATTGGTTTGGAGAGCATCTTCAAAGCTCTGATTTATGCAATTATTTTTCATGAAGTTTAATATTAGTAAATAATAAATAGCGTTATTGTGACTTCTTACCATGGAGGTTTGTACTCAGAATTTTTGTTTGTTATTCTTTTGCACAGTTGGATATGCTTGGCTTCCTCTGATGAAACATGATCAGATAGCTTCTCAAGAGTACAACATCCCAATAGCAACAAGTCTGCCTCCTAATTATTTAAGCTTTCAAGATTCTACAAGCGGAAAGGTACTGAATAATGTATAATTTAAGATTTTTAAAAAGCACACCAGCTTAATGGCATAAGATTATCTTCTTTCTCTGCTATTTAAATTAAGATCATAGTGTATATGTCCCTTGTAGCTATGAATCAAGTGTACCTATGCCACATCTCTTGTTTAGCTTATGGCCACTGGAAATGATCTGTTAAAAATGATCCCGATATCATATTGGTCTCATCTACCAATAGTGCTAAGTGTATTTGCATCTTTTATTTTCTCCTCTATGGTAACATAAGATTAATGGATCAGAACAGCATATTAACATAAACTAAACAATCTATTTATTTTCTTTCTCTCAAATTGTCACAGTGACCGTAAACAAACTTTATTTTGCAGCATGGTGGGAGTGACATCAAATGGGTTGATGGTGGCAAACCACTTTTCAAAGTATCGACATTTGTTTTATCAACAGTAAATACTCAGGTGAGCATGTTGACCTGAAATAGTAGCATTTTCTCTAACTCACAGCATCATGAGGTAAGTCCCATATTTACAGGATGAGACTAATCATTTCCTGAAGTGTCAGAAAGGCAGGTGTTTGAATACTACAAAGGAAGAATGTTAAGGGCATAATCTGATGCCTCTCTCAAGATAGATAGAATGTCCTAATCCCTTAAGCCCACATACCATAAAACTTCAGACCAAAATACCAGAAGTGTATTTAATAGGATCACACTGCCCTTGGAATATGGCTTGCTTCTACTGACAACACTCATGTGTTAAAAATGTTAAATGTTAAAAATAAAGGCCAGGCGCGGTGGCTCATGCCTGTAATCCCAGCACTTTGGGAGGCCGAGGCGGGCAGATTACCTGAGTTCAGGAGTTCAAAACCAGCCTGACCAACATGGAGAAACCCCGCCTCTACTAAAAATACAAAATTAGTCGGGCATGGTGATGCATGCCTGTAATCCCAGCTACTCCGGAGGCTGAGGCAGGAGAATCTCTTGAACTCGGGAGGCGGAGGTTGTGTTGAGCTGAGATCGTGCCATTGCACTCCAGCCTGGGCAACAAGAGCGAGCCTCTATCTCAAAAATAATAAATAAATAAATAAACAACAAACAAACAAATACTTCAGATCTTTACCTGAAAACCAAGTCCAATCCCCAATGCCTTCCCAGGGCTCACCTCATGGGAAGGCCATGAGGTTGGCAGAACTGCATTTGAGAACCACCCCACCTAATTTCTGGCTCCATGACCCTGGGCAAGTCACTTTACCTCCCATATCCTTATTTCCTCAACAAGGAATGATATCAACAGAGTCTCTGCTACCTAAGGTTGTAGCAAATGTGATCCAAAGGAGAAATATTTCAAAATGTGATCAAAATGAGAAATACATCATGAACTGCAAAAGTCAATACACGTATAATTATTACCATTGTCAAATGACCACAAACTCATTCCTTCTGTGGCAAAGCAGCTTATTCTACCACAATGTGAGTTTTCCGGCAACAGATATAAACTATACATTATTACAAGTACATAAAATATGTATTTCTCCTTTCTTAGGTTTAATGTATATCTGCTTTTCATTTTTTGCTTCATGCTGCTTTATCTACAAGCCACACTTGATCCATAAGAAAAATGAAATAATCCAGGCATCATATATACATTGGACCAAAATTTCTCTCGGCAACCTCTGAGGCTTCAAGTCCCATTGACTTCTTATCCCTAGCCCTGAGCCCACAACTATTTAAACCCATCTTTTCTTTGATGCCATCAACCCTGGTCAAGTTCCACAAAACGCTCAATGTCCACCAAACCCTATATTTTCGTATATCTCAGCAGTTCCTCAGTTTCTCTGTCTCATGCTTCCAGCTGCTTTCTCCAAATAGCTGGTCTCTAACTCACCACAACACACCCTCTCTCTGCCTTGACTTTCATCACCCACATGCTGGCAGCATTTACCTTAGTTTTCAAACACCCAAGGCCCTGCAGCCAAACAATATCCACCTGGTTCCAGGAAGACCCAGTGATCCCTTTGACATTCAGCCCCTCTTCAGTGGGGAAGAGAAGCTCTTCCACTCACCCTCCCTGACTATTACGAACCATATCATGGGGGGTGGACACCCTACGTGATATGGGGAGTAATTGTACTCCCCTTTACTGCCACCCCCCACCGCCCCGCCAGCTATTACGAACCATATTGCAGGGGATGGATACCCCCCTTCCCCTTGTTGGTCTGGTTGGTTCCTACCCATCCTTCAGATCTCAGCTCAATTGTCCCTTCCTCTAAGAAGCCTTCCCTGTTCCCTGACCCAACAGACAAAGTTGGGCCATCTTGTCACTCATCCAGATGGCACCTGCTTTGTGTTTGAAGTGCTCATCAAATGGGATTACATAGGTGTGTGTGGAAGTAGTGGTGTCGTGCTGGCCTCCCCACCTTAATGGAAGGTACACAGAGGAAGGGGTTGGGCCTTCCTTGCCCTCCGCTCTGTCCTCCCTCGGTGCCTGCTAAGAGCCTGGCATGCAGTCAGCTTTCCATAAATAATGAGCAAATAGACGAATCAATGAAGTGATACTTAAAAGGAAAACAGTTGTTTCTAGTCAAAAAAGAGCTGCATTTCGAAAACAGAAAATAGCACGCGTGCACACGCACACACGCACACACATAGTGACCTGAGGGAAATGAGGGAAACCCAAGCTACAGATGCCTTTCTGGAATCATAGAAACCAGAGAAACATCCAGAGTATGTCCTCACACAAGTTCTTTATCTCACTGCCTGACTGTGTAGCTCCCACCCTCAGGGCAGAACTTGAGAGAATTTTCCAGGTACCACCTTCTTCAGGAAATAAATTTCAAGTGTTATAGTCAGTTTTATCCTAAGATATGAGTTGTGGACTTCTAATCTGGGACTAATTCAGGCATTCTAAGCCTGAAAATATGCCCCGTGGATATTCATGAGTATGCATTGTCATGTGTGTCAAGCATGGCATGGAAGAAATTGGTGGAAGTCTATGGAAGAAGCGGGAGTGGGAAGATAAATGAGGAAAATTTTTCTCAACACAAAAAGCACAACCAAGAGAAGTAATTCTCCAGCCATTGTCATGTGGTTGAACAGGACAACAAAACCTCTTAGAATGAAATAGAAGAGTGGGCTTTGTAGTTTATGCAGAGCCTTCACTAGGCCAGCAATGTCCACATCAAAGCTTTGTTCCTCCAACTCCTTAATAAAGCATTTGCACTTCAAGGCATCAATCCTACAGAAGTGCTTACCTCACATCACAGTGGTTTATGTTTGTAACACAGTTTACGTATCATCAGAAATAAACTTTTTTTTTTTTTTTGCTGTTGTAGGATCCACATGTGAATGCATTTTTCCAAGAGTGCCAAAAAAGAGAGAAAGATATGTCTCAGTCACCTACCTCAAATTTCGTCCGCTCTTGTAAGGTAACATGACATGCAAGCAGTTTCAGTGATCTCCAGGGTAAAAATATGCAAAGGAGACATTTACATTTTCCACTGATTGGTAAACTGGGAGATGATTATTACTCAAGATTTTTTAATACCTTATCAATTCAGAGAGTAAATGATTTTATTTCATAATTTCTGAATCGTTTCTGTTTCTTGACTTAAAAGACAGGCAAAAATCAGTTTTTTCCAAAATAAAAATAATTGAAAATCAGAATCAATTTATTTTAAATTAGTTATTAAATCAAGAGTCCTTGCAACATTGCCATCATGCCTATATTCCATACTAATTGCAATAAAGAATAAAGCCAGATAAAGGTGGGCTACAGTGCTCATATTCAAGTTCTGAAAAAAATACCAGCAGAATATACTTTATTTTTTTCTAATGTATTCATTTTTTAATTAACAAAGAAAAATTATATGCCTTTATTGTATACAGTATGATGTTTGGAAATATGTATACATTATGTAACAGCTTCATTGAGTTAATTACTGTATTTGTTATATCACATTCTTATAATTTTTATGGTTATAACACTTAATATCCACTCTTTTAGAGATTTTCAAGAGTATAGCCCGTTTTTATTAACTATAGTCACCATGTTGTGCAATATTCCTACTATATATCTAACTGAAATTTTGTATCCTTTGATCAACATCCCCCCGGCACTTCCTCCCTAGCCCCTGGTAACCACCATTCCACTGTCTACTTCCATGAATTCAACTTTTTTAGATCCCACGTATAAATGAGATCGTGTGGTATGTGTCTTTCTGGGCCTGGCTCATTTCACTTAGCATAATATACTCCAGGTTCCTCCATGTTGTTGCAAATGACCAAATTTCCTTCCTTTTTAAGGCTGTATAGTATTCCATTATGTTTATGTACCACGTTTTCTTTACTCATTTCTCTGTTGATGGACACTTGAATTGATTCTATATCTCAGCTGCTGTGAATTGTGCTGCAATAAAGATGGGAACCTGGACATCTTCAGCATACTGATCTCACTTCCTTTGGATATACATCCAGTAGTGGGATTGCTAGATTATATGGCAGTGCTATTTTTAATTTTTTGAGGAACCTTCATATTGTTTTCCATAGTGGCTCTTCTGATTTACATTCCTACCAGCAGTATGCAAGTGTTCCTTCTCCTCCACATCCTCTCCAATAATTATTATCTTTCACCTTTTTTGATAACAGCCATTTTAACAGTTATGAGGTGACATCACACTGTGGTTTTAATTTGCATTTCTCCAATGATCAATGACGTTGAACATTTTTTATATATCTGTTGGCCATTTGTACATCTTCTTTCGAGAAATGGCTATTTGGGTTCCTCACCCACTTTTTCATTGGGTTGTTTTCTTACTATTGAGTTGTTTAAGTTCCTTATATATTTTGGATATTAACCCTTTCTAAGATTTATGGTTTGCAAATATTTTCCTCCATTCAACGGAGTAAAGTTGTCTCTTTACTCCATTGAGTGTTTCCTTGGCTGTGCTGAAACCTTTTAGTTTGATACAGTGCCATTTGTCTGTTTTCACTTTGCTGCCTGAGCTTTGAGGGTCGTATCCAAAAAATCATTACCCAGTCTAATGTCATGAAGTTTTTCTCCTTATGTTTTCTTCTCATAGCTTTATAGTTTCAGATCTTGAATCTAGGACATGCTTCAAATTTTATTGATATCCTTTTTATTCTGCCAATTTACTACAGAACTTACTGAATGTGGAAAAGATTCATGCAATCATGAGTTTTCTGCCTATAATTTTGAATCAGCTCTTCAAAGTTCTGGTACAGAATGAGGAAGATGAAATAACTACAACTGTCACCAGGTATCCATAACACAACCTTAAGAGAAGAGACTTTATAATCTGTAGTTACACAAACTCTTAGTTATAACTAAACAGTCATCTACTGTTGTGTGTTTACATTTCATTTGAACGCATCTCTAATTTAAGCATTTTCCACTCTTGACTCCTTACCTTCTAATACCTTATTATTAGTAGTAAAGTGTTAGACCTCTTTTTCTTTGGTTTTTAAATTAAAATTTTTATTTTGAGATTCATATGCAATTGTAAAACATAATTCAGTTTCCCATGTGCCGTTTACCTAGTTTTCCCCACTGGCAACATCTTCCATACAGGTGTAGAATCATACAGTATAAATTTTTGAAATTGGCTTTTTCACGAAACATAATTCTCTGGAAATTCATCCAGATCATTGCATCTATCAGTAGTTCACTCCTTTTCATCGCAGAGTAGTATTCCATGATGTGGATGCACCACGTATGTTTAATTATTCACCTGTTGAAGGACATCTGGAGTGTCTCCAGTTTAGGGCTCTTATGAATAAAAGTGCTATGAACATTCATGTACAGGTTTTGTGTAAACATAAGTCTTCGTTTCTCTGAAGTAAATGCCCAGAGTGTAATTGCTGGGAGACAAGGTGGTTGCATGTTTGATATTTAAGAAAGTGTCTGTTCTCCAGAGTGGCTGTATCATTTTGCATTCCCACAAGAACCTTTTTTTAAAATACTAAATTTTTTAACTGTTCTCACTTTAAATTTGGCTATACTGACTTCTTCCAACATCTCTAATCTGGCCAATGCCTTCACAGATCACAGTTTCTTCTTTATAGTGTTTTGAATTAATTATGAAATTTATATTTGTGCTGTTCATTTTTTTATAAAAACTTAGTCATAGCATTCTGGAAAAAAAAATGTTACTTTTGGCATTGAAATGTTTCCAGTATCTTTCTAACTCACAGGCCTGTTACTGACCTCTTTCTGAATGAAGGTTTTTAGTCTAGTTTTTAAAGCAGAGCCTGAAATTCTAGACAATTTAAATATCTCTAATGGCTCCACAACCATCCAGTTCTGGACCCACATTAAAAGTCCCCAGCTGTGTCTTCAACTCATGCCCTTTTCAGCATGTGAATGTGTGTCTGTGTTGGCAAGACTCCTAAATATTGCAGCAGATAGATCTGTTGAAAATTCTGAGATATTCCTGAGCACCATAGCCACGGAGTTATAGTGTTAATGTGAAAAAAGAAAAAAAAAGCCGTAAAAAGAAAAAAAGCCATGGAGCTATAGTAGTGTTCATGTGAAAAAAGATCCACCTGTACCATCACTGCTACTGGAAACCCCAACCCAGCTATGGGAAAAACAAAGCAAAACAAACCAACTGCATCTTAACCTAATTACTTCTTCCGAAAGCATATATATTGCCCATAGGTCGGAAGGCAAGCCCTTTTCAAATGAAATATGATTATTAATTTGAAGTTAAAGGTCTAAAATTTCAATTAGGCACTAAAAGTAATCCCTTTTGCAAAAAGATAATGTCAAAAATGCACAGACCATACTTAGCACATTCAACTTGGACAAAAAGTCTCCATTGTGATATTACAACACTACTTATATCTTTGTGTTTCAAAGTTTCAAAGTTGGAAATGGCTCATTGATGGAAATGGTCATCGATGCTATAGATATTAAATGCCCAGTATTGGATATGGGGGTGAGAAGGGCAAGGAAGGAGTCAGGGATTGGTTCATTCATTCACCCGGTAACTATTAAATACCCAATTTACGAAGCACTGTAATGACAAACTAAAGCGGGATTTTTCTGCCCTCTCCAGAAAGGCCACTGATCAGCTTTGCTTTTCCAGGGTTCTGACCGACATTGTGGCCAAGTGCCATGACGAACAGCTGGATCATTCTGTCCAGTCATATATTAAGGTATGAAATGCCTCTTGGAAATTGCTCATATCCCTTGTGCTGTGTGGCTTGTCTCATTTCCTGTGTGCAGTAAGTGGGAAGTTTTCTCCCTTTAACTGAGTGGCGCCCATCACAGTAATATCAGGAATTCCCCTTAGCTACTTAGAATTCCATCTCTTTGCATTAATGGGCGAGGTGAATTTTTAAACGTATAAGTAATGTGTACCTGTGCAAATAAATAATTAAATGGGGAGAGAGAGGAAAGAAAAAGATAGAGGAGAAGACTCAAGTGCTATGCTTTTGAAGTCAACATTACAAGTAAATGAGATTCCTGTGTTAATTTAAGGAAGACTTTCCTATTGGTTTGTTGAATGCTCTGTGTTTCCTCTGCAATGCTTTCTTAGCTCTTTCTATTGTTTTCTCAGGCATTATTTCATTTTCCCAGTTACTGTATATTTGTACCTGCTTCTGGTATGTTAAGTCCTTTATCTTCTGGCATGAACCACTTGCCCATTCCATCAGTGTGCACTGCTTCTTCCAGTGTCCTATGTCAAGTGTTCACTCAGAGATGCTTCTATTCTCATTTCCAGTTGGCCTGTGGATTAATGCCAGTGAACTTGTGATGATGTTTGTGTTTTCGTAGTTCCCACCTAAATGTCATCCTCTTTAATGAAAAGAAAGAACCCATCCAGAAATACAGAAGAGTATCTTAAATTACTTTATAATACATAGAGGATCTAAATATCTAATCTTTTTCCTATGCATAGATTAAATCTTTTTGAGACACAGCTTTTTCATCAAAAAACTATATTCTCTTAATATGTATGCACAGACAGATACTAACATATTCAAGATGTCTAGAAACTTGTTTTTTAAAAAAAAATTGGCTTGGTGTGGTGGCTCACGCCTGTAATCCCAGCATACTGGGAGGCCGAGGTGGGCAGATCACGAGGTCAGGAGATTGAGACCATCCTGGCTAACACAGTGAAACCCCATCTCTACTAAAAATACAAAAAAAAAATTAGCCAGGCGTGATCGTGGGTGCCTGTAGTCCCATTACTGGGGAGGCTGAGGCAGGAGAATGGCGTGAACCCAGGAGGCAGAGCTTGCAGTGAGCCAAGATCGCGCCACTGCACTCCAGCCAGGGCAACAGAGCGAGACTCCATCTCAAAAAAAATCCTCGCTCCCATAAAAGGAAGTAACCAGAAATTGCATTCTGGAGAGAACCCCTCTAAGATACCATCTGGAAGGAAATATTTTTCGTTAACAATTTTTATATCCATATGTTTTCTATCTGTCAGAAATGTTGGTTGTCTTCCCAAATACCAAAGTATGAGTGTGTGCCCTTTTTAAACATAGGCTACATGCCGAAAATAGTTACTTCACAATAATTTCTTACGGTATAATTTCACCCAATAAGATCCACATCTCAGTTGTGAAAAGCCAGTTCCACCTACACATGCCTTTTTAGTTTGCTCCCTAAGATAGGGTCATAGCTTAGTTTTATAGAGTATCGATGAATTTACCATTCAACAGAATCACCTCGAGAGGTTTCACCCTCTCAATGCTTACCCCAATGTTTCATTTCAATCCTTAAAGGGACTGAGAGAGAAAGAGAAAAAAAGTTCTTGACCCATCTTATACACAGGCATCTCCATTTCAACACATATTATTTTCCTCATGTCAGTGAAATCATTGAAAATTACTTTAAGAATTCTCCTGTGTTGTGACTATTTTTGTGATTACCAAGGCTAGCTCTTTGTGAGTACCTCAAATCTCAGACTCTCTACCGACGATGCTCCTGGAGAGATGCATTAGAAATGCATCCTGGTGTGGCCCTTATTTTTAACCAGGATATCTGAAATACCCAATAGGACCATCTCACGTTATAATACAGGAGATTATCTACTTAGGTTGCTTTAAGTGATTTAAATCCAAAAATACACCTCTGTGGAATTTTAGGCTGATAACAATTTTATAATAAATTTTAACATATCTAAAATACCTCCTAATAAATATCATCAACTCACATTTTACTCTGGAAAGAACACTAAGCTGGCAAGTAAGAGACTAGATTCTAGTCAATTCTAGACTGTAGCAGTCAGCCTCTCTGAACCTCAGTTTTCTCCTCTGTGATGTGTGATGAAATGACCAAAGGAACATTCAGCTCTATCATTCTGTGACTGGACTCAGTGCATGCTTGAATGTCCTCGAAAGATGTGACATTCAATGCAATTTGTATTTATTCAGAAGTTATCTAAACACCATTTCAAGTTCAGTGGTGCTAAATGCTGCTAACTCACTTCATCTACAATATTCAAAATGCACACATACACCATGCCTTTTTCAAAGATGCGTGGCTAAAGCCAGTCTAATTAAATGCCATGGTTAACAATGATTTGTAGCACTGATGGGTTATAGTCAACATTTTAAAATAATATTTCAGTGCCAGTTTAAATGCCCTTCAGGCTAAATAACTGTGCATGGCATGAGCTCATTGATGACATTGCTCTCATCTGAGGTATAATCCATGAGAGGGAAAAATTGTATTACTCTTGATCTTATCTAGTTTCATGCATCCATTAACTTCATCTTTCTTCTTTGAGATGAGCTTGGAGAAGTCAAATCCCACCAAGACAAGTTAGGTTGCCAGTGTGCTACAAAGTTTAAAGAAACAGTTACAGATCCAAAAGCTCATGTGCCTCTATGTTAAGCCATTCATTCTCTTTCCTGCCTTCACTCTCAATTATAGTGAAATCTGAATTGTGAAAATTATGAAGAAATGTCCTTCCATGAGGCAAACCCAACTCATAAGTGAAATATTATAATTCAGTAATAAGCATTTTATATTTGAACTTTATGGATGTGCATAAATTGATACTGATATTCTTAAGAGATGAAGAAATACTGAAAACTAGCCATTACATGCACTCAGTGGTGCATGCCAAAACCAATCTTCTGAGGAAAAAAAATAAGTATGCACCATTTGTTATCTTACTGATGGCCAATGTTCATGAACGCCTTGATAGATGTGTCTAAGCATGGGATGATAGACCCTGGGTTTGTGGGGAGCTCACCTACTGGCCTCTGGAAGGCACTGGCTTCCCCACTTGGCTATTTGAGTGGGTGCTCTACCCTTTCAGGATGAAGAATTGCTACCATGCCACCTGTTACCAATGGAGGAAGGAGAAGGGGAATGTGTCCTAAGTAGGTGGGTCAAAGCCCTCCATGTTTCCTTGAACGTGTTAAATGGCTCTCCGGCTCTTTCTCTTGATTTCTACAAAGAGTTTCAAGGAGAGCTTAGGTGAGCAAGGCCCGACTTCTGCAAAGCCCTAAATAGGAACAGGTGTGTCCTGCTCTTATCATTGGGCCTGCATTTATTTCATGGCAAAATCTGGCATGAGCAGATAATTTTGAGATATAAGTTATTCACATGGCATAGTTTTTGAAGCTTCATTTTTCAAAGTATTTAACTTTATTCACTTTTTGGATTTTCTTCAGTTCGTGTTCAAGACCAGGGCATGCAAGGAGAGGACTGTACATGAGGAACTGGCTAAAAATGTGACTGGTCTTTTGAAATCAAATGACTCAACAACAGTAAAGCATGTCCTAAAGGTAAGAATTTAAAGATGGTCCTTTAATGTGAGTACTAGGCATGGATCATGCTTATCCCTGGAAAATGGTAGGAGTCATTGATGTAGACTGTTTCTCTTGCAGTTTCCAGCATTAAGATTCATATTGAAACTTAGCATATAAAGATACTAAGCAAAAGAGATCTGTATCAAGACAACATACAAAAAAGTAGAATGGGCTGGGTGCGGTGACTCACCCCTGTAATCCCAGCACTTTGGGAGGCCGAGATGGGCAGATCACTTGAGGTCAGGAGTTCAAGACCAGCCTGGCCAACATGGTGAAACCCCATCTCTACTAAAACTACAAAAACAAAATTAGCCAGGAGTGGTGGTGCGCGTCTGTAATCCCAGCTACTTGGGAATCGCTTGAACCCGGGAGGCAGAGGTTGCAGTGAGCTGAGACCATGCCATTGCACTGCAGCCTGGGCAACAAGACCAGATAGATAGGTAGGTAGGTAGGTAGGTAGGTAGATAGATAGATAGATAGATAGATAGATAGATAGATAGACAGACAGACAGACAGACAGACAGACAGATATTGTATGTTAGAAAAGAAGATGCATTGGAAAAATTATAGAACTGGTAAGAATTGGGCATTGTGAGTACTGAAGGTGTAGGGGAGAGTTGAAGTTTTAAATAGAGTGATCAGGATGTATCTGATGGAGAAGGTAATTCTTGAGTAAAAAAAAAAAAAAATGTGAAGGCAAAGAGGGTGCTGGCCATGGAGATGCTCAGAGGGAAAGACCTGCATGAAGTCATCAGGCAGCAGCACGGCTGGTGTGTCTGCAGGAGACGGGGAGGACACTGTGGCTGGAGCCAAGTGAGCAGAAAGAAAAAAAAAAAGATGGAAGATGAAGTCATGGAAGCCACTGGAGGCTTGGCAGTTAGCACAGGCCTGGCTTTCCCACTCAGAGCAGAATGGGGATTTGTGTCATTGGAAGGTTTTGCACAGAGGAGTAATGTTTTAAACCAAGCTGACCTTGGTTTAAAAGAATCCCTCTGACTGCTGTGTTGAGAATCGACTACAGTGGGGTGAAAATGGAGACCGCAACCACTCGAGGGGCTATCAGAGAGGCAGGATCCTCTGCGGAGAGTCGCTGCTCAGTTAAAATACGGAGTGAAGAGAATGCTCGGAGAAGAACTGCATCTTCAGGAGATTGTGCTAATGATGGACCATGTGCTCTGGAAGGCGGGGCGGGCGGGTTTCAGGAGACGGGAGGCAGTGGAGTGTGCAGATACATAAGGGAACGTGTGGAGAGGGCAGCAGAGGAGTCAAGGTTTCATCTGTCATCAGACGTAAACAGGCAAAAGCTCAATTTCATTAGTGCTGGTGGATTCAAGGAAAATAGTGGAGGCAGGCCAGAGTGCTAAGGGGTGGAGAGGGGCAGGAGTCTGTTGAATTAAGAGACAAATGTTGGAACACTTGACATGATGGCTAAAAATATTTTGGACAAGATTAGGGAGAGAGGATTGCAGCAGTGTGCCTGGGATTCATTCATATTCCTAACAACATGTTTCACTTCTAATAGCCATTAGAATGCTGTTGGAGTGCTAGGATAGTATTGGTAGCCATTTCCATTTCTTCTTACTAAGAAGTGATCACTCCATTAAGCCATAGCTGCCTTTGTAGAACAGCAATCCCTTCTCTTTTTGATCTGAGCCAGTCTTTCGGAATTAGGACTATGTTGTCAAAAGTTTATAGCAGCCTTGTTTGTATGAGCTTAAAACAGGATATAATCCAAATGCCCATTGACAGTAGAGCAGATAAGTACGTGGTGATTATATATGTCATGTGGTGACCATAGGTGATCCCCCCAGCTACATGCTTCAACATAAACGAACCACAGAACAGAGTTTGTTGAATGAAAAAGGCAATCTCAGAAGAATACATAGAGGACAGTTCCATTTATATGAAGTTCAGTGGCCAGATGAACTAAATATCCCTTCATTGTATAAGCATTCATAGCAAAACTGTGAAGTAAAGTAAAGGGAATGATTGGCACAAAATTTAAAACCGTTACTGTGGTGGAAGGGGTGGGAAGCAGAGAGGATGCAAGGGGTGCGTTCTTGAAACTGTACATGTACAATATGACTTTTTGTAGCTAAGTGTCACCCTTAGGCCCAAGAAAGAAGGGTGCCCATCCTGGGGTGTGCTTTGCTTTTCTCATACTGCACCCATCCTCATAGGCCAAGGTTTAAGAGGAGCTAAGAGAATAAAGAGAATAAGCCCACCAGGAGCCCCTACCTCCCCTTCTAGACCTGTAAGGAACCCCAAGACCCTCTTGCTGAAGGTCCTATAGGCGGATTCCTAGGCCTGCTTCAATCTCTGTCCCAAGCCCTCCAGGACCCCCAGAGGACAGGTCTTGATGCCTGAGTGCAACACTAGACCCCATTAAGGAGCTATTTGTGGCAGGGAGGAGGGTCGCGTTGTGGATAGCACTCAGATGTGCAGGCTGGACAGTTTCCAAAAGAGCTCAGGTGAACAAGGTCCTACCTCTGCAAAGCCCTAAGTAGGAACAAGTGTGTACTGCTCTTATCATTGGGCCTGCATTTATTTCATGACAAAATCTGGTATGAGCAGATAATTTTGAGATATTAGTTATTTAGGTGACATAAGTTTTGAAGCTTTGTTTTTTAAAGTACTTAACACATATGCACCAGGCCCCTCAAGGGGGAGGACAGAGCCTTGGGCGAGAAGAAAAGGGTTAGGCCAGGCCCTGTGCCCCCTAGGACCTCACACACTGGTGCGGCATTCCAAGGTGTTATGAAGTTTTGTTTGTCGAGGTAGGAGGATCAAATACATTTTATTTAACACCTTTTCAGCTTGACTTCCAACTTCTAGATATTTAGACATATGACCTTCCATTTTCACCCTTGCCTCTAACCTTTGAAATTTTAGGGGTGAGCCTGGTACAATAAAAAGTTTGTTTAGGTCGGGCTTGGTGGCTCACGACTGTAATCACAGGACTTTGGGAGGCTGAGGCGGGAGGATCACCTAAGCCCAGGAGTTCAAGACCAGCCTGGGCAACATAGTAAAACCCTGTCTCTACAAAAAACACAAAAAGTTAGCTGGGCATGGTGCACACATCTGTAGTCCCAGGTATCCAGGAGACTGAGGTGGGAGAATCACCTGAGCCGGAGAGTTCAAGGCTGCAGTGAGCCGTGATAGCACCACTGCACTCCAGTCTGGCAACAGAGTGAGATGGTCTCAAAAAAAAAAAAAAAAAAGTTTGTTTAGTTTTGTTTCACTAAGTGAAACAACTAGAACATCCCTTGAATAAATATTTCGTAAAATAACAGCTTAGTCAGTCATGCCAAGTAAACTTGTAACTTGTTTTAAATGTTTTTTGAGAGGATTGAGAAACTGAAATGTCTGACATTTACTTTTACCACTAGAACTTTTTATCCCATTTTATAGTGGGATAAAAATCATCCCACTATAATAGTGAATATTTTACTGCTCCAATTCATTTAGTTTCAAAGAACACATTTTAACATAACAATGTTATAGTATATTACATATTACAAAGAAAAAAATTATCATTATTTTACCATAGGATAATAAATGTCTCGTTGCCTTTTTTTTCCTAATAGCATTCCTGGTTCTTCTTTGCAATTATCCTAAAATCGATGGCACAGCACTTGATTGAAACAAATAAAATCCAGGTAAGAACATCAGTAATATAATATTATAATATGTTTACAATATTATCCAACAATTGCACTAATGATTATGCTGTCATTAGTTCCATTTTTACTTGCTTTATAAACCTTAGCAATTTACAATAATTACTTTATAAGTAGGAGAAATGATTGTGTACATCTGCACAGGCCCTTCAGAAGCAGATACCAAGACAATATTGGAAATGCAAAAGATGTATTGGAGGGAAGTAACTATAAAGGATAAAAGGAACAGGAAAAAGAAATGGGAAAGTCTGATGCCTGTAAATGAAAAGCGGGAAGGAAGGAGGATTGGCTAGGAAGAGTCTCACAGTGATAAGGTTTTAGCTGGGCTAATGGGAAGTCTGAGAGCAAAGAGTTGTCATTAGAGGAACCCTGCACTGGGGAGGCCATCTGACTCTAGGACCTCTGCAAGCTAAGTCATTGACTGGGAGCAGCCTGGGGAGAGGGTAGCCTTGGCATGAATGCTGGAGCAGATCCCAAGATACAGCAGCTCTTTATATTCCTCCACTAGATTCTGTCTTGAAGAAACATTTGAGCAATGCACATTCCTGGCTGCCACATTCCAAGTTTGCATGACATATTGTACATGTTCATGAATCTGCTTCCCCACAGTTCCCATGGGCCTCTCCTCCTGAAAGGAAGGAAGCTTAGAAGAGGGACCCTGATGGAATTAACTAAAGCCCCTGCCATGGCTTTTCAGGAGCCTACGTATTACTCATCATCTCCCGTCACAACCCTCCATTCTAGATCCCTCTCACCCTAGCTAGCAGCTCCAAAGGTCTTGGTGACTCACCTGGTGATGTAACCCAAACCCTCATTCTAGAGTGGTCTTGGCCTCAGGTCATCTACTGTACTCACACTAGAGTTGGTACATGTGGCCATTCACAGTTACAATGGAGTGAGGAAGACCAAGAAGCAGCCAAGTAGATCACCTGAGTTCCACACACATTTCTCTCAGCCCCCATTGTGGGTAAGGTCAAGGGAAGACCTTTGGCATTGCCCTTGCCCCACGGGGAGAGTAAATCAGAACAATGCTGCATGAGGTGGGGTTGGTGGTGTACAGTGATGTTGTTTTGATTTACTCCTTTGGTGGGGGAGAAGCAGCGTCAGAAGCTCCCACCTGGCCTCCCCCTCTAGGCTACCTCCACAGACCAAGCACCCCATGGAAGGTTACTCCAAATGCCAATTTTACTAATACAAATTATACATTTGGGACCAGTTACATGACTATTGGGGGAGATCTTTGAACCCAATGGATCTACTGTTAACAGAACTTTAGTCAGGACTCCACTTTTAATCCCTGTAAGTGCCCACTCTATCAGGGTGATGCTTTTCATTTCTGGATATCAGTGTCAACTCAGATCCTGTGTCCAACAGTCCTTGAACTGTATTCCCTTCTTCTCAGTGTAGAGTAGCCTGAGTAAATGGCTACAGGGCCCTTTGGAGAAGAACTGATAGACTCATTACACTACGTACCTACTGCATTGTTGCAGCAGAGGCTTTCCTTTAGGGACTCCATCACCTCTTCATTCAATGTGTACCAGATCTGAATTGTGACTCAGGTCCAGGAACAGAGAAAGGAACCATGACTATTCATTAGAATGAACATCCTCATCTTCCAGTTGCCCATTCTTGCCTTCTTTGTTAATATGATGTACCACCATTGCTGGTTGCTGTCTGTTTTGTCCCTAGGAGTTCCAGGTATCATTAACCAGCTCTACAACTCCCTGAGAGTTGGTCCCTCTTGGCTTCCCCACCAGTCTTGCCATTTGTCATGATACTCACAGCCTCCTGGCTCCTAAGATTAAGCGTAGCACATGGCCTCTGTTGTTTTGGTGATCCCTGATCCCCATGGCTGCTCATGAGCCAACGCTGTGACTGCTGCTCCTGCCAACAGATGGGAAACGCCCCTGACTTTCTTAACGATATTGGTCCCCAGCACCTTCTTGATGGCCGTGGTGCATGCTGTCTTCTGGGCCTGCCTGGGGAACTTGATATGCTGGTGGATCTTCTGGTCTCAATTAATATCCATTCCCACATATCCATCTCTCTCCACCTCTTTATTTTTTCCTCTATCCTCTGCCAGGACAACCAGACATTTCCACTTCGCTTAAAGTAGGCCATCTCTGGATTCTCAGAGCAACCCTAGCAGTGAGTTGCTCATCCCATGAGTCCTTATTTAATCCCGTGTTCTGAAAAAGCATCTCCATGTCAATGCATTCTAAGTTACCTGCCCTTACTTTCTGGCCCACATCCTCAATGTCCAATTGCAGAGGTTCTGCCCTACCTCCTGGTGGTACATGCTAGCTAATTTTTATAGCCCCTTTGGGTGTATTCTCTTTCTTGCTTTTTTTAGGACCAGCAAGCCCCCAGCTGGGTTAAGCTAGGATTTAACCTCCAGGTATTGTCCTGATCACCAGAAGGAGAGGCGGGACAGCTCCTCAAGGGTTTGCCTGATTCCTAGCAGGGAGAAGCCTCTGCAATATCATCTTGCATGGGAGGAGTGCTGACACTTAATGGGGAGGAATTAAACTTCTGCCAGCACTAAGGCTTCAGGGAAGTATGCAGATCCACTTCCTCAGAGTCATCCATCCAGAGGTCCTCATCCACGCTCTAGACCCCAAGTCTTTCTAACCACGGCCTTGATCTTAGCATGACAGAAATGCCTTGCTGGACCTTTAATTGTCTGTAGAGTTCCATAACTCTTAACTCGTAAATCCTGTGTTTGCTTTTCTGCTGTATCTGCTTTCCACTTCTGGAGATGAGAACCTCCTACCTGGGAGGGAGAGAAAATCTAACACAAAGATAAAAATGGTTCGTATCTCGCTGTCATTAAGCTCTACTGGGGTCAGGAAACCTCACTGTTGAAATTCCTGCTCTGTCACTAACTTGTTAGCTGATGAAAATGACGCTTCACATCTCAGTGCCTGTTTTCTCATCTGTAAGAAGAGTGGATTGGACTAAAATTCTCTTCTAGTTCCTACCAATATGCATCTGCTTGTATAGACAGGTCACAAAACACACCTGTGAGCAGCCTAAGAATAAATGAACTGATAATAGCCAGCATGATTGTGTCCAGCAGTTTGTCTTCCCCGATAGAGGTATGCTTTTCATGACCCCCTTCAGTGGTAACCCTCACACCCTAGTCTTCTTTCAGGAGCGCTGCACCTTTCACTCTCTAACCATCTCTCATCATCACAGTGGGAAAAGACCTGATACCATCTTTTTTCCTTTTTTTTTCCGAGACCGAATTTCGCTCTGTCGCTCACGCTGGAGTGCGGTGGCACGATCTTGGCTCACTGCAAGCTCCACCTCCTGGGTTGAAGTGATGCTCCTGCCTCAGCCTCCCAAGTAGCTGGGATTACAGGCGCATGCCACCACGGCCAGCTAATTTTTGCATTTTTAGTAGAGACGGGGTTTCACCATGTTGGCCAGACTGGTCTCCAACTCCTGACCTCAGGTGATCCACCTACCTCAGCCTCCCAAAGTGCTGGAATTACAGGCATGAGCCACCATGCCTGGCCCTTTTTTTTTTTTTTTCCTTGAGACAAGGTCTCACTCCTGTTGCCCAGGCTGGAGTGCAGTGGCACAATCATAGCTCACTGCAGCCTCAACTTCCCCAACTTAGGTGATTCTCCCACCTCAGCATCCCTAGTAGCTGGGACTACAAGCACAGCCACCAAGCCCAGCTAATATGAGAGCGAGCGAGAGAGAGAGAGAGAGATGATAGATAGAAGATATATAGATGATAGATAGATAGATAGATAGATAGATAGATAGATAGATAGTAGATAGATGATAGATAGAAGATAGATGATAGATGATAGAGATAGAAGATAGATAGATGATAGATAGTAGATAGATGATAGATGATAGAGATAGAAGATAGATGATAGATAGAAGATAGATAGATGATAGATAGATAGAAGATAGATAGATAGATAGATAGATAGATAGATAGATAGATAGATAGATAATATATATTTAGTAAAATGGGGTTTCTTCATGTTGCCCAGGCTGGTCTGGAACTCTTGGGCTTAAGTGATCCACCCACCTCAGCCTCCCAAAGTACTGGGATTACAGGCGTGAGCCATTGTGCCCAGCCCTGATATTATCTTTTGACACCAAAGCATTCATAGTAAACTTTCCCCAAGCTATTTGTGGCGCCTGTAATCCTAGCTACTTGGGAGGCTGAGGTGGGAGAATCACTTGAACCCAGGAGGCGGAGGTTGCAGTAAGCTGAGATCACACCATTGCACTCCAGTCTGGGTGACACAGAAAGACCCTGTCTCCAAAAAAAAAAAAAAAGGGGGCCGAGTCTGGGTTGGAAGAACTCAGCTGCCTCAAACATTCTCTTCATATGCAGGAGTCCAAACAGGAGGGATGGATTTCTGGACCTGAAATGGTCTTTTGGGATCCATAGAGCTTTATTCAGTGGATGTAATGTCATCTCACAGCCAAGCCCTTCTTTATCTTGACTTGTGAGGCTCCACTGGTGCCTCTTAACTATGTCTTATACTAGGACCAGGGAGTTGAAACTAGCTGGGACTCACCATGTATCAGAGGACATTTCAAACCAGTATCTGTACTCATTCAGTTATTCATTTATTAATTTCTTAAAGTTGTTTATTGGGGGAATTCCTAGTTGTAAAAAAATCAAAATAGTTTATTTTAAAATGAAATAGAGGGGCCGGGTGCGGTGGCTCACACCTGTAATCCCAGCACTTTGGGAGGCCAAGGTGGGTCGATCACCCGAGGTCAGGAGTTCAAGACCAGCCTGGCCAACATGGCGAGACCCTGTCTCTACTAAAAATACAAAAATTAGCTGGGTGTGGTGGCAGGTGCCTGTAATCCCAGCTACTCGGGAGGCTGCGGCAGGAGAATCACCTGAACCCAGGAGGCGGAGGTTGCAGTGAGCTGAGATTATGCCATTGCACTCCAGCCTGGGCAACAACAGCGAAACTCCATCTCAAAAATAATAATAATAATAAAATAAAATAAAATGAAATAGAGAACTACATGTCCAAAATATCTAGAATAATGTTCATTAAATCATTAATAGTAGCTATTCCCTGAGAGGGAAGGAGGGGAAGTAAGATGTGACAGGTCACAGAAAAGGTTCACGTTTTACTTTGTACATTGCTACATTGTTTCAATAGTTTGTAATTAATATTTATGATTGACTTTTATTATAAGGTGAAAATTTAATTGACCAAAATTGAAGGAAACATTAAATAAAAATGATGGAAATCATGACCTTGAAATTAAAAGGCTTCTATTTTATTATTGCTTTCAAGTTTTCAAAAGGATTCTTTTTATTTGATGACCTATAAAATAAAGTAAATCTTTCGATTGATATTTCCTCGGCTTAATATTTCACATGCCACATTATAAAGAAATAATCCATTCTTTCCTTAGCTTCCCCGGCCTCAGAGATTTCCTGAATCTTACCAAAATGAATTGGACAATCTTGTCATGGTCCTATCCGACCATGTGATTTGGAAATACAAGGATGCACTTGAAGAAACGAGAAGAGCAAACCACAGCGTTGCCAGATTTCTCAAGGTACAGTTATATGAGATCACAGTTCTATTCAAGGCCCCATGTTGGTGGATGCAAGATAGTCTAAACGTTCATCAGTTCACATCTTCATGTATGATGAAAAATCAAAACTAGCACTGTCAGATGAAAACTTTCATTTATACATCTTTCCTGCTTGAAATACTTTTTAATTTTTTTTTCCAATTTGAAGTTTTATTGAATAAAGACTAAGGTTAGAGGGCTGGGCGCGATGGCCCACGCTTGTAATCCCGGCACTTTGGGAGGCCGAGGCGGGCGGATCATGAGGTCAAGAGATAGAGACCATCCTGGCCAACATGGTGAAACCGCATGTCTACTAAAAATACAAAACTTAGCTGGGCGTGGTGGCACATGCCTGTAGTCCCAGCTACTCGGGAGGCTGAGGCAGGAGAATCACTTGAATCTGGGAGGCGGAGGTTGCAGTGAGCTGAGATCACACCACTGAACCCTAGTCTGGTGACAGAGTGAGACTCCGTCTCACAGGAAAAAAAAAAAAAAAAGAAAACTAAGGTTAGAGCAAAGTATCCATTTGAGTGTAGTCAAATCATAGTACTTCTAAATATATTTGAAGAGAAAAAATGAAATTTTTAAAAGGGAAGCTGCACTACAGTAATATTGTCTCGGGCATTTCTGCCCTTGAAAGTGATGTTATAATGGCTTTAGGTCTGACAGTGATACCAAATAGCCACTTTTTGAAAACCTTCAGGAATTTAGCATTTTTGTTTATTATCTCCAGACTCTTTTTATTCTTTCTTTCTTTTTGAGACAGGATCTCACTCTTGTCACCCAAACTGGAGCACAGTGGCGTGATCACAGGTCCCTGCAGCCTCAGTCTCCCTGGGCTCATGCGATCCTCCCGCCTCAGCCTCCCGAGTAGCTAGGACCACAGACACACACCACCAAACCTAGCTAATTGTTGTATTTTTTGTGGAGACGGGGTTTTGCCATGTAGCCCAGGCTGGTTTCAAACTCCTGAGCTCAAGCGACTGGCTTCCCAAAGTGCTGGGATGACAGGTGTGAGCCACCAAGCTTGACCTAGGCTGTTTTTTACATTATGAAAAGATCACACTGATCCCATGAAAGAAAAATTATCAAGTAAAGCACTGAGCAACTACTTACTAAACTGGATATGTATGGAAATTAGTTATATTTCATTGGGTTACAACCATTTATATTGAGCTGAGAGGAAAGAAATGCAAAGTCAAAGAAAAAACTAAGATACATAATTACAATATACCATTTAACAGATGATGCATGCAGTTAGAAAGACAATAGTTTTCTGTGCCTCCTTCTTTTGTCTAACTCTTGACTACTGTAACCTTTATGAAGTCATCTGACTTGTTTCTTAATGGTAGTCACCAGAACTTATGGGTGGGTGTGAGAGGGTATAAATAAATGCTAATAATATACAGTTAAAAGCCTATAGAAGTAGAAAATGAGCCCAGCTTGTCAGTGGAGAGCTTTAATCCAGCCTAATTTCTTTTTTAATGTGTTAAAAACTATTTCAAATTATACAGTATATGTGTTCTTACCCTGAATTTATTTTTTTCTTTAAGGTTTTGTCTCTGATTTTAACTTTTTCCTTGCTTCCAGAAAGAGATAAGAATAAGTGTTAAAGGGGAAAAGTTTACAGGGGGGAAAAATTACTGTAGTTTTATACCACGTTTTAAGACCTATGGGAATAAAGTTTATTGCTATGCTAGTTGTTTACTAGGAAACTTAGAATTATATATAGTTCAATTTGCAAATAAAATATATTGCAAGAAACATCTGAAATATTCTTCCCTAAACTACAAAAAAATGACAGATAAGCAAGTCTCTAAAAAAGGGAAGAGACCCCATAGTTGCCCTCCTTATTACTAATTTGAAGTTTTAATGGCATTTATTTGACACATAAAATTAAAACAAAATTGGAACACTTATTAGATGAATCATTTGAACTAGGAGAGAAGAAAAGAAAGGAAAAGAAAGTGATTTTTGAAAATGTAAAACTGAACATCGTCATTTGGTGCAAGTCCAATACGTTTGAATTTTCAGCTGCTCAACACAGCCCACTCCCAGTGCTGATGTCATAAATCTCTTATATTTCCAGCAAACAGTAGTTGTTTGCTCAATTGGGGCTTCAAATGACTGCTACCTCTTTTTGTTATTGAAGTCTACATTAGCAGTCAACTACTGTGAATTAGTCAACATTGGAATTTAACAATTAAAATATTATGGACACTCCACGGGTTGCTCAAAATTGGTCTCCACGAATCAAGAAGAACCTCTGGGAACCAGTGTGTGGGCATGTAAAAATATTCTACGTTAAAAGGTAGCCTCCCTTAGCCCACATTATGGGAAAGTAATATTTTTTCAGCAATTTATGCCAAACAGCTGGTACATTTCTCAACTATTCTCTCAGTGAAGTAGATAGGATTCAAATGAATGCAGCTTTTGTCATTTTTCTTTTTGCCACCCACCTGGGTCACAGCTCCACTTATCTGAACATACCTATTTAGACACTCTCTTTATGAAGCACAATACCAAGATGGGAGCAAAGACGGATTCATTCTGATTTTTATTTTCCTGATTGGATAGCCATATCTTTTAGCCCTTTCGCCTGACTAACCACTGCTTTGTTTCAATGAGCTTTTGAAAAACATTTGGAAATCACCTAATATTAGAGAGAGACTTGGTTTGTTAGCAAAATATGTTTAAAGAAACATCTGTGATATTTCTCTCTAAATATCAGATAAGGATGGATAAGCAAGTCTCTAAAAAGGGAAAACCCTTCACATCTCCTCTACTTGGCTTAAATAGTCTGTGCTTTTGGAACAAATGAATGTTTTCCATAGAGCTCCTCTGTGCAAAATTTGCTGCTGGTGGCACATGAGCTAAAGGTCTAACACGCGGGCAAAGGAAACGCGTCCAAGGTGAAAAAGAAAATGGGGCGGGGGAGGCAGTGGTTTTGTAAATTATGTAAGGAAAGGACAAAACATTCATGTGGTTTGTTTTGAAATGTGAAGGTTCATAACTCATCTCTCAACCAATTGTGAAGTAAAATTCTCATTGCTCTCACAGTTGGTGAAATAAAATAAATAAATTTTTTATTATCATATATTTTAACAGATAATTTAGAATATTTGGTCCTTAGTTTATTCAACCAAACTGTGAAAAAAGTTTGGTAGGGTGTAAGTTATCCTCTAAATTAAGAGTCTGCACACTTTTTATGTAAAGAGCCAAATACTAAATATTTTCAGCTTTATAAGCCATACAGTCTCTGCCACGACTACCCAACTCTGCAATTGCAGCACAAAAACAGTAATTCGCCATACACAATATGTAAAGGACTGAGTGTGACTGTGTTCCAGTAAAACTTTTATTTAAAAAAAGAATGGCAGTGGGCCAGATTTGGCCCATGGGGCATAGTTTACCAAAACCTGCTACAATTTATTTTCTATTAATATAAAAGATGAATATAAATTATCTTAAAATGAAATGAGAGAGGCCCCTCCAGGCCTCAGCCATAAGCAAGAGAGCCACTGCCCCTGGGGGTCAAGAAGATGCTAAAACAGATCAGATTCAGGGCCCAGGGCAAGAGGGACACACTACACTTGGTGAAGCCAGACCTGAGGGAGGGCTTTTTGCAGGAAGACAGCTGACTCTGGAGACCTTTCACCCTAGGAATGATCCCCTTTCACCCTCACTGCTCCTTGGAAAGAGGATGCCAAGCTGATCACATAGAAGGTCTTTCTTCCCAGTCAAGAAACCTCAAGTTGATTCTTCCACTCCCCAGCACCACTTTCTCCCCACAGTCCCCATTTATGAGTGCTGGAGACAGGTCTCCTTCAACGTTCTTCACAGGTCTTATCTGCAGAGCAGCCGCCACAGTCTCTGCGATGTAGCAGTCACCATCCCTACTCTGGACTAGTTCAAAGACAGGACTCACCAGGCCCCCCTTCATGCAGTCAAACAGCCCTGCATCTTTGCCAAAGACTTCCCCAGGGCTCCTTTCTCCTTCTCTTTCTTGGGAAGTTTCTAGAGCATAGAGATGTGCTGGGTGGTCTCCCTCTCCTCTGCAAGATGAGGCAGGGCCCCTGCTATTCCAAGGGTGGCCAGGTTGGGACTTCCTCCTGCAAATGGAGAGCCTGGGAGACAGAAGCCAGCTCAGTGCAGAAGGTACCAAAGCCCCTTTCCTTCCCCCCTCCCCATTTGGCTCTGTCTTTCTAGGCTATGATTATACTGTGGTGTCTACCTCTCTCCCACTATTCTATTGAGACATGTGAGGACTTGGAAGCCATTAACTTTTTACTGAATGAAGAATTATTGAAAGAACTAAAATTTATATTTAAAATGAAAATATAGATGAGGCCATGTACTAACACAGTCATGAATAGGTACATTTAAAAATTCAAAAGAAAGTAAAGAAAAATTGAAAGGAAAAGCAAAACAACAATATAAATGACCTAACAATTCGAAGAACAACTTTGGAGAAAATAGCTCTTGCTTACACACAGGTGTATTTCAAGAGGAGACTTTTCACTTGGTCCACTCTCTATTAGCAAGATTTTATGTGTAGTCCTGTCTGAGAAAAGAGAGTTGTGAGTAAAACTGAGGAGAGATTCCAAGAAATGCAAAACCACTTTAATGGACCATCCTGGACTCTTTGGACAAGAAAGAAGCACTCCACACCAACTGTGGAATTTTCCCAAGCACCATGTTGACTCACACCCACGTGGGTGAATAGAATGAGACTCACACACCAAGTGATGAGCTGCAGATCCACTGTGGGAGACACCTGCTCTAGTGCCTCCCCAGATCCTACATCGGGAACTATGGTCCTTTCCTCCTGCTCCACACTTTGCCTGTGCAGTCTTTGGCCACGGTAGCTTGGTTACTGGTTACATGACCATCCATCTTTTAGAGAGACAGCAAGTGCTCCTTCAAGCCTACTTACTGTTTAAGACTCTCCTTGATACAGTAAAGAGAAATTTGACCACAGAATAAGACAGGTAGTGAGCAGCTCACTGATAGAAATCTTAGGATCTCCTTCCTTCGGCCTTGAAATGCAAGCTTCCTCAGCTGGTGAGGAGAGGAGCTACTCTGTTGAAAGGGCCCAGTGAGATTTAAAAGGCTTTCCTGACCCATCTCTACCACTCCTCATTATGACCCAGTGTATACAGGAGAAGATCTACAACCCCAGAAGTGTGAAATAGAATTACTGAAAGAAAATAATAAAATGTAACTAAGTGGTTAAAAAAGTAGACAACCGAAAGCTAAAGCTTTCTGTGTAAAAAAGAAGGGGCTATAATATTTCATTGCAAAGCTCCAGTGACATTTTATAACATCAATAAATCTAGATTTGTAGCTTTCTGACTGATATTTTTGTTTTGTTCAGTTATACTTTCATTTTGTTTTTCTTTCAACTTTTCTGTTTTCTTCTGAATTTTTAAATGTACCTATTCTCTGTTAGTATATTGCCTCATTTCATTGTCTTTTTTTTTTTTTTTTTTTTTTTTTTTTTGAGACGGAGTCTCGCTCTGCCACCCAGGCTGGAGTGCTGTGGCCGGATCTCAGCTCACTGCAAGCTCCGCCTCCCGGGTTCACGCCATTCTCCTGCCTCAGCCTCCTGAGTAGCTGGGACTACAGGCGCCCGCCACCTCACCCGGCTAGTTTTTTTGTATTTTTTAGTAGACACAGGGTTTCACCGTGTTAGCCAGGATGGTCTCGATCTCCTGACCTCGTGATCCGCCCGTCTCGGCCTCCCAAAGTGCTGGGATTACAGGCTTGAGCCACCGCGCCCGGCTTCATTTTCATTTTTAATATAAATTTTAGTTATTTTAGTTGCCATATGTGGATGACTGCTTAAACATATTTAGGAGATTTCTAAAATACCTAATTATACAACACATTTAGTTCAGTGTTATTTTACCTCAATATATTTAATCATATTTTCTAAAATCTTTAATAGATTCTTCAAGTAAAAGTTTTTGAATTTAGAATTTATCTATTTTAGCGTTGCTTTACGTTTATGGACCGAGGATATGTGTTTAAGATGGTCAACAATTACATCAGCATGTTCTCCTCCGGTGACCTCAAGGTAAGAACCATGTACAGGAGTGATCGTTTTCTAAACTATGGCATTGTAAATAAATAAAGTAGTCTCTGTGGATACCTGCTTAAGTCATTAACCTATCCATTCTCTGTATCAGAAAGTGATTTCTACGCTAAGGAGAGGCAGCCTTTTAATGGTTCATCTGCTGAGTATGCCTACCAAGTCCTCCCTTAATGCGGACAAAGGAGAGTGGAATGAAAGTGTTTGGTTTACATTTCATTTCTATTTCCTGTGGGTGGTGAAGAGAATGGCTCTTTGTAGCTACAATTCCTACAGTCCAGTTTGCCCTAGACTGGCTTGGTTTTAGCACTGAAAGTCCTACTTCCCTGGAAACCTTTAAGTCCTGGGCAAAATGGGACAGTTGAATGCCCTACCCAAACAGGGGTATATGTTGGGGAGATGTAAAGAGAACTCTAGAGCAGTGGTTCCTAGACCAGAGAGGTAGCATCACTTGGGAACTGAACTGCTGGTAATGGAGCCCAGAAGTCTGTTTTAACAGGACCTCTAGGTGATTCTTACGCACTCTCAGGTTTGAGAACCACTGAGCTATGGTTATGACACATGCTGGAGAGAACTTAGACTGGAAATGGGCCAGATGATGAAAGTTGGATCAATTACTGTTCTTTGGGTTGCAAGCAACAGAAACTGACTCCAATTTGAGCAAAAGGGAATTGACTGGGAAGGTATTGGGAGTAAATAGCATTGATGAAGCAGCTGCAGAAGCAGGCTTTGAAAAGAGCAGGGGCCAAGCCCTTTCAAGCACAAGGAATACAGTCATGCGTCACTTAATGACAGAGACACGTACTGAGAAAAGCATTGTTAGGCAATTTCATCACTGTGTGATTATCACTGAGTGTACTTACACAAACCCAGCTGGTATATATCCTACTCCATTATATAGCTCTGTTCTCATTGTATGGGACCACCATTGTATATATGGTCTGTCTTTCACCAAAATGTTATGTGGGGTCTGACAATAATTGCAAATGAAGAACCATTTGGCCAGGGTGCTGTTGCAGCTGCTTAAATGAATCAACTGAAGCCATTTTCTCCCCCCAACACTCTGCTTCAGATTCACCTTCCATAGAGGAAGTGTGTGAGCAACCTGCTTTGGGTCACATGCTTGCCTCTTAAGAAGGGAAGACAGGGCATATGAATTAATAATTCTCTGTTAACCTTTACCCACTGTGAAGGAGGCCAGTCCTCAAGGGAAATTATCTAGGTATTTGAAAAGAACAATGGATTTAGACCAGTTAAAAATAAATAATGAGACTCTTACAGCCTTTCATGTCATGCTTAGGTGCTTAAACATTATTTTTGGGAGATGGGGTGCAGTGGAGATTTACTTTTGACCAGAGGTACATGATTTTATGTCATTTGGTTTTGAAAATCCAATTCTCCCTCTAAATATTTTTTTGAAAGTATATTCTTTATTTGTGCTCCTCTCATGCATGAAATTTGCAGAATATCCATTTAATTGCATCAGACCTAAATTATATATTTTCAAAGACCAAACAGAATGTTCTCAGTGTAAAATAGTTCAAATATAATTTAATAATGCTTCTGTTCACTTTGATGTACAAAAGTTTAAGTCAAATACTATCCTTTTTGAAATGGCAGCATTTTAAATTATTAACTAAAGTTGCCACAAAATATAACTCTAAAATATCTGAGTAAATGGGATATATTTTATTTTGTGAGCTGAGATTAGTGAATATAATGATGATCATCAAACTTAAGTCTTAAAACATGGTTACTTAGCATGCATAAGAGTGAAAATAGAGCAGTTAGGAACATGCTAATTTTTCCTACTGATGTGGCTTTTCTTGACTTCTGTGTTACAGTAGACTTTGGCCGTGCCTGGACTCCATTTATCTCTGTCTAACTCAAACATTATTGGAAAGACAGACTTATTTCCAAGGGCAGGGGGGAAAGGGGAATTAAATAATGTATTATGTGAACATGTAGCATACAGAGTTTCACTCTAATTTTATGTGATACACACCATTGTCTTCCTTAGCTCTGGATGGTAGGCGCTCATTGTAGAGGTCTGTTTCATTATCTGAGTGTAGTCTTTGAGAGAATTCTGTGCATGTGTTACAGCAGAAATTTTTTTCAGAATAAATGTGTCATGATACATGCTAAAAGAAGCTACAAAATATGACTCAGTAGGATCTTATCTCATAGAAGCTACACGTAGGTTACAAATGGGATTATTTCCTGAGGAGGCTGTGACCAGTTTCCAAAAGTAGGGAGCTTAACTACAGTTCAGAGGGGACAAAATCCTTTCAACTTAATTACCTAGTGGTCCTACAAGTATACGGTAACTACTTTTTCTTTTTAGGGATAAGATTCAAGTGCAGATTTTGTTTGTTTGTTTTTATTCAGTTTCTTGGTCTGTAAGTCATAGTCATTTAGCTTGCCTCTCTTTCAGACCTTGTGTCAGTATAAATTTGATTTTCTTCAAGAAGTATGTCAACATGAACACTTTATTCCTTTGTGTCTGCCCATAAGATCAGCAAACATTCCAGGTAATAAAATTCCCGGAATTTTCATCAGTTCCTGCAAAGTGAATGCTTTTGTTTGTTCGTTTTACCTTTTGTTTATTATTATTTTCCTGTTTCCTCAGTCATAATTTTGTTTGAAGCTGTCCCATGGGTATCAGACGCAGGTAATCAGAATTAAATTAAAATGCAAAACAAGTTGTTGGCGTGTGGTGATGAATGCAGCTTCATATTCCTCAATTTTTGAGTGTTTCCCTTTTTATTAAAGAGAAGGCCAACAAAATTATAAACCTGATGATTGTAAATCAAATAATTTGAACCTAGAGGCACCTTACTGGCTCCAAAAGACAGCTTTCCTTTGATTTTGACACATAGGGAAGAGAAGTACTATATATATAATTTATAAATATTATATATAAAAATATATATGTGTTATGGTAGAGAGTATTACCCATGTAGACATCAAAAACTAATCAAACATCAAGATGCAAATAAAATAATAAAATTATTTAGGAGCATGAAATACTTTATTACCAAGCAATGAGTAAACTATTTATGAGGTACAGTTTTTTTTCTGGGGGTGGGGGTTGTTTTGTTTTTCAGGCAGAGTCTCACTCTGTCACCCAGGCTGGGAGTGCAGTGGCGTGATCTTGGCTCACTGCAACCTCTGTCTCCCAGGTTTGAGCAATTCTCCCACCTCAGCCTCCTGAGTAGCTCAGACTACAGGTGTGTGCCACCTCACCTGGCTAATTTTGGTATGTTTAGTAGACAGGAGGTTTCACCATGTTGGCCAGGCTGGTCTCCAACTCCTGACCTCAGGTGATCCGCCTACCTCAGTCTCTCAAAGTGCTGGGATTACAGGTGTGAGCCACCACGCCCAGCCAAGAGACATATTTGCTTTGATATTCACAAACGCAAACACTAAGATTGGTAGAGAGCCTCATACTTCCTTAACCTATTAGCTTACACTAGTATTCTGGAGGGAAAATTACATTATCAAGTCTATAAAAGTTTTGCCATTTTAATCTTAAATATGATCTATATAATATTATTCCAATTTTTTCTAATTTATGAAGCATATTTCATAGAAAATAGGGTAGAAATGGTATATTAGATAATAATGCTTTAAGGTTTTTACTTTGTTCTGAATTTATTTTTGTTTTATAAATTAGTGACAAGTTATTATTGGTTAGTCAGGCTGATTGAGATATTAAAGATGACCAAATCTTTATTCGGTCATTTTTATTTCAATTGCTTACTGTGTTAGTCCATTGTCACACTGCTATAAAGAACTACCTAAGACTGGGTAATTTATGAAGAAAAGAGGTTGAATTGACTCACAGTGCCATATGGCTGGAAGCCCTCAGGAAACTTACAATCAAGGCAGAAGGTGAAGGGGAAGTAAGGACCTTCTTCACATGGCGACAGGAGAGAGAAAGGGAGAGAGCAGGAAGTGCCACACTTTAAAACCATCGGCTCTCAAGAGAACTCACTTACTGTCATGAGAACAGCATGGGGGAAACTGTCTCCATGATCCAATCACCTCCCACCAGGTACCTCCCAAAACACGTGTGGATTACAATTCAAGATGAAATTTGAGTGGGGGCAGAGTCAAACTAGATTACTTACTACTAGTCAGTAGCTCAGAGAAAATCCTGATAGTCTCTTTGTAGATCTGATACTATAAATAATGAACATAAAAATATGTTTCATAGCAGGCAAAGTTCTGATAGAAAAATAGATGCTCAAGTAGAAGGCTAACAATTAGAATAATTCTGCTCATGACTCTTTTTTAAGAAAACAAATAGGCTGGGTGTGATGGCTCATGCCTGTAATCCCAGCACTTTGGGAGGTCGAGGCAGGCAGATCACCTGAGGTCAGGAGTTTGAGATCAGCCTGGCCAACATGGCAAAACCCCGTCTCTACTAAAAATACAAAAATCAGCCAGGCGCAGTGGTGGGCACCTGTAATCCCAGCTACTTGGGAGACTGAGGCAGGAGAATCGCTTGAATCCAGGAGGCGGAGGTTGCAGCCAGCCAAGATCGTGCTACTGCACTCCAGCCTGAGCGACAGAGCCAGACTCTGTCTCAAAAAAAAAAAAAAAAAAAGGAAACAAATAACCTAAGACATTCTCCTTGAAAATTGGCAATACTGAAGACTCACATTTTTAAATAAGATAGTTTAATTGTTCAGTATAAACTACACATAATGAATCTATATGTATCTGAGTATGTATATGTATATATCTGAACTTTTTATTTATATTAAATTCAGATCCTTTGACGCCTTCAGAATCAACTCAAGAGTTACATGCATCAGGTAAGTGATTATTACCTTATCTAAGCATCAGTAACCACCTAATAATCCAGTAATATTGACAACTATAAATACTATAAATTTCCAGCTTCTGGGTGCTCGTAAGTATTCATATATTTAATATCATATAATAAAAATATTCAAAAAGTTGACTGTTTTCTTGTCACAGATAGCTTAATGATTGCCTAATTTCAATTCTTTCATATTTTATTCTTCAGAGGTTGGAAATATTTTTTAATTTCCCAAAGCATCTGAAATTTCCTTAATTTGTATCATAAATGAAATTCCCAGATATATATAATAGCAAGCTTGTTCAATGTAACTGACTTTATTTGATACGTGTCTTTTCCTAAACCACAACCTGGTCTGATCAATCTTGTTAAGACAGAGGATATTAGTATAAGTTTATTTTATCTGAAATAGGTTAGTAACTTAAAATGGTCTAGGCAAACCTTTTCTGTAGTCATAGATGGGAGTTTAAAAGTTGTGTTCTATTCCTGGATCTTCAGTATTACGATGTCACTAAGAAATTTATTTAACCTGAAGCCCTGTGAACTTCCATATTCAGTAGCTTCTTTATGGACTAAAAAAGTCAGTATGTTTAATTTGCTATTGGTCATCTATGAGCTGGAATATTCTAATAGTTAATTATATTAATCATACCTCCCTTATGGGTTGTCTTGCAGATCAAATAGGATAATGCACATAAAGTGCTTAGCCTAGTGCTAGCAGACAGCAGGTTGTATACACGGGTGCTAGTACTACTGTTTTCCCCCAGCCTTACTGAGGTAAAATTGACAAAAATTGGGCGCGGTGGCTCACGCCTGTAATCTCAACACTTTGGGAGGCCGAGGCAAGCAAATCACTTGAGGCCAGGAGTTCAACATCATCCTGGCTAACACGGCGAAACCTCATCTCTACTAAAAATAGAAAAATCAGCTGGGCGTGGTGGTATACGCCTGTATTCTGAGCTTCTCGGAAGGTTCAGGCACAATAATCATTTGAACCCTGGTAGCAGAGGTTGCAGTGAGCCAAGATCGTGCCACTGCACTCCAGCCTGGGCAACACAGCAAGACTCTGTCTCAAAAAATCATAATAATTTTATATATTTAAGGTGGAAAACATGATGTTTTGATATATGTGTGCATTGTGAAATGATTACTACAATCAAGCAAACACCTCATATAGTTTTATGTCTGTACGATTAAAATAATTAAGGTCTACTCACTTAATAGATTTCAAATATACAATATTGTATTATGAATGATTCTTACTATGCTACATATTTGACCTCCACAATTTATTCATCTTATAACTGAAAGTTTGTATCCTTTGACTAAAATCCACCTCCCATTTCTCCCATTCACCAGCCCATGGCAACCATCTTTCTACTCCGTGCTTCTATGAGTTTAACTTCAATAGTTTCGTAGAAACTTATGGGAGTACAAGTATAATTTTGTTACATACATAGATTGCATAGTGGTGAAGTCAAGGCTTTTAGGATATCCATCATCCAAATAATGTACTTTGTACCTATTAAGTAGTCTCTTATTGTCCACCAGAGCTTGACTTCTTTAGATTCCACATATTAACTGAGATCATGCAGTATTTGTCATTCTGTGTTTGGCTTATTTCACTTAGCATAATGACTTTTAGGTTCACCATAAATGGTGGGATTTTCTTTTTGTCTTTTTTTTTTTTTTTTTTTTGAGGCTGAATACTACTCCATCGCATGTATATACCATTTTTAATCCATTCATCTATGGATGGTCACCTAGGTTGTTTCCATAGCTTGGCTATTGTGAATAATGCTGCAACGTATCTCTTCAACATAATGATCTGAATTCTTTTGGATATATACCCAGAAGTTGGATTGCTAGATCATATGGTAGCTCTAGTTTTACTTTTTTGAGGACCTTCTATACTGTTTTCTATAATGAACATATTCCACCAACCATGTACAAGGGTTCCCCTTTCTTTACACCCTCACCAACACTTGTTCTCATTTGACTTTCTGATAATAACCATCCTAAAAGGTATGAGGTAATAGTGCGTTGTGGTTTTGATTGGCATTTCCCTGATGATCAGTGATATTGATATTGAGCACTTTTTCTGTATCTTTTGGCCATTTGTATGTCTTCTTTCAAAAAATGTCTATTCAGATCCTTTGCCCATTTTTAAAACTTGGTGGGGTTTTTGTTTGTTTGTTTGTTTGTTGCTATTATGTCGTATGAGTTCCTTGTAGAGTTTGGATATCAGCCCTCATCAGATATGTGGTTTGCAAGCATTTTCTCCCAATCTGTAGTTTGCTTTTTCATTTTGTTGATTGCTTCCTTTGCTGTCCAGAAACTTTTTAATTTTATATAATCCTACTTGCTTATTTTTGCTTTTATTGACTGTGTTTTTGGGGTGATATTCATAAAATCATTGTGAATGCCAGTGTCAAAGAGCTTTCTCCCTATGTCTTCTTGTAGGTGCAAGTACTACTATTAATGGTTACATTTTAAAAACCCTTTGGACAATTTGAATAAATCCACTATTACTGGAAATTTTAACATTCTTTTCTCTATAATCCAGGCTCAAAATTTGGCAGTGCCTTTCTCTCCCCTTGCTCCCTCACATACTTAAGTCAACTTTTCCTAGTGATTTACCACTCAGTTTCTGCTACCCCAGCACAGATATCACGTTGTCACTTGTCCCCTCCCTCCCCCATTGCTACAATGTCCTGTACTGTATCCCTCACCCCACATCTCCCCACAGTCTAATTCATTTACACCCTGCCACACCATATTAATAAGTCAGTAAAGCATGAGCCTTATCAGGGCACTGATCTCAAAGCTGTCCATGTGTTAACATTTCTTACAGAATTAAATACAAATGGAGAGGGACCTAGATGGCAGCTAAGGAAATTGTACTGTTCTCCATCATCTAGCCCCAGTCTCTCAAGCCTAATTCTCTCACCATTCCTCTTTTAGCCATTGTGCTTATTGATTCCCACATACCCGTGCTCCCCTCCATACCTGCTCCCTTCCATATCTGTGCTTTCAGAATTCTGTGCCATTGAAAATCCAATGGCTTCTCCCAGCCTCCTGTTCCTTCCACTGCCTCCGTCTGTTCCCACAAAGATCTGCACCTCCAAATTTTAAGTATCCTCAAAGGCTCATCTTGATGGATTCCTACTCATATCCTGATTCCTCCAAGCAGAAAATGTGTTTTCCCCTCTCAGCTCTTGTAATCCTGTAAATATGCTGTATTATGGGATTCAAAAGTTGATGTCGTGTGTTAGTTTGTGCCCGTATTTGTGTTTGTATACACAGAATAATCCCCTTACTGAATGCTCCTTGAGGATACAGCACACCTCATTTCTGTAGCAAGACTGTATTCCTGAATCCCTCCTAATGGTGGAAGAAGTTGATGGTAGTTGTTTGGTGTATCTGTCTCAATTATAAAGTGATCATTTGATTTTCAATAACATGAGTTATTTTCCTTCCTCACAAAGATATGCCTGAATATTCAGTCACAAATGAATTTTGTCGCAAACACTTCTTAATCGGAATTCTGCTCCGAGAAGTTGGCTTTGCCCTGCAGGAAGACCAAGATGTCAGACACTTAGCTTTAGCTGTCCTAAAAAATCTAATGGCTAAGCATTCGTTTGATGATCGATACAGAGAGCCAGTAAGTGATCTTCCTTTCTCCCTTCCCTAAACACCATTTAATGGCTCACTGCATTAAATGCATATGAAACCGACAAGCCTATTGATTTTTATGTGAATCATTTCTTTTGGCTACCTTTTCACCTAGAGAAAGCAGGCCCAGATAGCAAGTTTATACATGCCCCTGTACGGCATGCTCCTGGACAATATGCCAAGGATTTATCTGAAGGACCTGTATCCTTTTACTGTCAACACATCTAATCAGGTACGTTTGCACAATAAGTCACATTTCGATGTTAATAAGGAATTTGTCTTTTTAAAATTATTTTTGCCCTGGGTAACCATTTCTTCTCATCTGTGAACATACTAGGCATTGAACAACACTTTCTGCTACGTACTCACATCGATGGGTCATTTGTTCCAGATATGTCCCTTTAGCCTTCCGCCTGATCCACCCTTCAACATTAGGCTTTCATTTCCCTCTGTTCTCTGTATCAGTTTCCAATTCTTTCCAGCTTTTACAGTTTCCTCTGTTGCAATCATGGCCCCTTCCTCAGTGGACACCTTCTCCTACCACTGTCTACATTACCTACATCCCCACCTGGTGTCAGAATAAATAGCCAAGTGCCTTATTTGTAGTCACAACCCAGGAGTGACTATAATCCTTCCTCCACTGAGGCACCACAGTGACTACGCACAATCCACTAGAGATCTGTTGCCTGTGTTCTAATCTCAGATGAAATAACCCACTGCTGAATCCAGTATCTAAGGAAGGTATTACCATCTAGGAGTTAGGAGCTATGCCTATGGATTTTTTTTTTTTTTTTTTTACCTTGTTCAAATCCCAGCAGTATCAGTGACTATCTGGGTGGCTGGAGATAAGTTAGTCAACCTCCTTAAGACTCCATTTCCTTCATTATAATATGGAATAAAATACCTAAATCACAGTGTCTTTATGAGGATTAAATTGTATACTAGAAAACATTTATTATAGAGCCTGGCAAATAATAAATATTTAAAATGTAGTTGTAGGCCAGGTATAGTGACTCACATCTCTAATCCCAGCAACTCTGGGAGGCCAAGATGGGAGGATCACTTAAGGCCAGGAGTTCAAGACCAGCCTGGGCAACACAGCAAGACCCCACCTCTACAAATAAGAAATTTTAAAAATTAGCTGGGCATGGTAGCACATACCTGTAGTCCCAGCTACTCAGGAGGTTAAGGGCAGGAGGATCCCTTGAGTCCGGAGGTTGAGGCTACAGTGAGCTATAATCATGCCATTGCACTCTAGCCTGAGTAACAGTAAGTTCCTGCCTCTTAAATTATGAAACAGAATAATTAAAACAAAATAAAATGTAGTTGACAATAATAGTAATGTACATAAGATAACTCATGGTAATAATGATATCCATAATGTGATCCATGAATATATCCATAACCAATCCAGCCATGTGGTCTACATATCTGTATCTAAAAGACTGTTTCTACAACATTGTAAAAAAGTCACATAAATCAAATTATAACTACAAGTATGGTTTTGGCTGTATTTGTTTTCACTGCCTACTTTAGCAGAAAACCTTTGAGGGGATATAAAAGAACAAATTAAATATCACTTAATTGGAAGTGTAATGAAGATGGCATATGTGGGTTAACAATGTTGAAATACCGTGATTCCCATTAATCTTTACTATACTTTGAATACAGGGGTCTAGAGATGATCTAAGCACCAACGGCGGATTTCAAAGCCAGACAGCTATGAAACATGCAAACTCTGTGGATACATCATTTTCTAAAGATGTTTTAAATTCCATAGCAGGTACTTGAGATCTTCTGAGATCACTTATTTTTAACACTCATCCATGTTTACATTGTATATCATTGTGCTTTTTACTTAGTCCATAATTTATTATGCATAATCTATGTGGCAAAGTATACTACATTTATACAACCAGAGTCTTTTTAACATATTTCTTTGAATTCCATCCAGTGACTTCCTCTTCTACTTAGTGTTCATTATTACTTGGCTTGAGGAGCAGCCTACTTAGATGTTATCAAATTACTTTATTCTGGAAACCATCTTTAAGTTTTCACTGCAGACAGCCTTTTAAAATATAATGGATTTTCAACTTCAAGGATTATTTTTAAGAACTGTTTTGGAAATGTCATTTCAATTTCTCATAAACAATCAAAAAGTTGAAAGCTCCTTCCCAAAAGTATCTTTATGAACTTTTACTAAAGCATTTTTAAAACAAGAGCTATCTTGAATGCCAGTCCCAGGCGCTGTTATGTTGGTCTTTCACAACACTGCTGCCACCTCAGTAATCAACATCTTTTTGGTTCATCATGTGAAGCTTTTGTGTGTGTGTGTGCCCATACATCTCATTCCCATATGTGTGCTGTGGCTTGTGTTTACAGCATTTTCATCAATAGCTATTTCTACAGTAAACCATGCTGACTCCAGAGCATCTTTAGCAAGTCTTGACTCCAATCCAAGTACCAATGAGAAGAGCAGTGAGAAGACGGACAACTGTGAAAAGGTACGGCTTCCCTCTCAAACCTACTGATCATTACAAGGCAGACGTCACTCACTCTCACTCAATCCTGATTGGTTCTTGAATTCCCAGATCCCAAGACCCTTGTCTTTGATTGGCTCAACTCTTCGATTTGACAAGTTAGATCAAGCAGAAACCAGGAGTCTCCTGATGTGTTTTCTTCACATTATGAAAACGATTTCGTACGGTAAATAGAACTCTTCAAAATTAATTTTTTTGAAAAAAGGAAAAAGAAAACCTGCAGATTCTCATGCTACGTGATGTTTCCTTTTAGAGACTCTGATTGCCTACTGGCAGAGAGCTCCCAGTCCAGAGGTGTCCGACTTCTTCAGCATCTTGGAGTAAGTTTTAGAGTTGATGACATAACACTTTTTTCTGGAAATTTCTAAATAGTCCACTATACCATGTTTCATTCAAGAACGCATATAGTAAGTTATCAATAATAACACATGAACTATTTAAAGAAAATTTAATATTTTTCTTTCAATATACTTAGATGAACAGTTTATATAATGAAAGAATATGAATAATTAGAACGTGGTTTTTTGTTTTTTTTTCGTTTCTAGCGTTTGTCTTCAAAATTTCAGATACCTAGGAAAACGCAACATAATAAGGTAATAATTTTAAATTCCAATAGGTGAATCTGGTCTTTTAAAAAGCATATGACATGTATTAACATATCAGGTTAGAGTTATAAATATACGTTAGAAATCTTAAAATGCAAATAAGGATTGTTAGGTTGACTTCACATTAGACACAGAAGTTTGAAGATTGCCTCATACACATTGTAGATCTAGGAATAGTTCATGTTATCTAGGGAGAAAAGCACAAAAGCACAAATTTTTGAAAGAAAACCACATTTCATGTATCTTCAGAACGAATTTATCATTATATAGATATAACTTGGAAGATACCTATTTCAGAAGACATTTTCAGTAAACTAAAAGAAAAAAGTAATCTGGAATAACTTTGCACTGTCATCATTTTCTTATGAGATAACAATGTTTGAAGCACCTTCACTAAATCCCAATTTCTGATTTCCAAAGGAAAACAGGGTTTTATTTTTGACTAATTCACAGCATGTGAAATATTTCATTGTGCAGTAATCATTTTGTCAGTTGCCATTCATTTTTATATGTAAATTACAAACACTGAGCTATGATTAAAACTTCCATTTTCATTGCAGAAAAATTGCTGCTGCATTTAAATTTGTGCAGTCCACCCAGAACAATGGAACTCTCAAAGGATCCAATCCTTCCTGCCAGACATCAGGTCTCTTGTCACAATGGTAATGTCACATTTGCTTGGTATTTAAAATTATATATAGCTGTGTGTGTGTGTCTGTATATGCACATGTCAGAGGACACACACACACACACATATTTCTATTTATATATTCAAACCAAGTGCAGATTTCAAATAACTATGTGTCTATCTAAAGAAACTTCCTAGATACTTTACTGTCTGCCCTACTGGCTGGTAAAGACCAGAGATATATGTGTGCACTTAGAGCACAATCCCTTGCATAGACTGAACATTAATGAGTATTTTCATTTAACGAAACCTGAGACCTAGGCCCAATAAATGCCTCTTTTAATGCTAGCTAATCTTCCAGTGACAAACCAAAATGTGGGATCATGTCTCCCTAGGCTTTTCAGTAATTATAATATTTTTGCAATGTTCTTGAAGCTGAAATTGTTTCTTAAAGGGTCAAAGGCAATGAGGAAGCATGGATAGTCCCATAACCTCACTTTAGATTTCCTAGTCATTAGACTGATTTGACTAGCAGATAGGACCTGGAGATCATCCCTCACCAGCCTAACCAATGGGAAACATTTGCCCTGAAATTCTACCTAGAGCTCCTCTGGGTCTCATAAATGAGAAGTCTTTGCTAAAATTATCCCCACTTTGATTTATTCTTCCCAGAGGTATCATCATAATATATATTATGAATATTTTAGAAAGGATTTTAGAAAGAAATATGAAAGTAATACATAGCAAATAAATCATAAAATAAATTTTGCCTCCCTCCATGGGAATCCTTTGAAATTGCCCCCTTGTGAAAAGTAAATGAAAAAAAAAAATGTAATGGACATTTTTTGCAAATAATAACAGAATAGAAGAAAATAAAGAATTAGTTTCCATGTTTAATAATAGTGAGCCACCTGAGGTCACTCAAGTTTTGTAGATGGGTGGTGGGTTAGATTTCAGGCTGCTCCTGAAACATCTGGATGGGTCCTGGCCATTTCTGTCCCTCACATCCTAGAAACCAGGGCTTTTCCTCCACAAGTTCAGTCTGTACTACACTCAAAACCTAGAAATAAGCCAATCCAAATGCCTAAGGCCTACAGCCAAGGAATCACTCACTCTTTTTAGCTGCAGGAATGACCCAGGCCCCCCTGGCTATTGAAAGCCAAAGTCACATCTCCTGGGCCTCCACCCATCCAGGTTTTCGGATTTAGCCAGAACCAAAACAGCCTTTAAGAGTGGGAGAAAGAGTCATTTTTAGGTTAAGGCCTAAAAAAGGAATTAGGGAATACTTCAGGGTATTTCCAAATGCTGCTTTCTTTATGTAAGTGTTTTTATAAATAGTTTTTATGACAGCACATATCCCAAGAATTATCAACCTATTTCCTTGGCCAAATGATAATGTCAGGAGTAGGAAATATTCCCACTGCCACAGTAACACTGGCTTATTTTTCCCAGCTGGAAATGCCATGGGGTGTTGAATGAGTCATTGCAGGCCATTGTCATTGCCCTGGAAGCACAGAGGCACAGAAGTCCTTCAACTACCTAACTCCCACAACCATCACATGTCAGCCCCCTGTGGACATGACACCAATGAAATGACAAATCAACAGGAATGTCCAAATACAAATACCTCGGAAAGCAAGGGTTGTTTTAGAACCCGATTTTTACACTTTATCTCTTTTTTTTTTTTTTTTTTTGAGACGGAGTCTCGCTGTGTCTCCCAGGCTGGAGTGCAGTGGCGTGATCTCGGCTCACTGCAAGCTCCGCTTCCCGGGTTCATGCCATTCTCCCGCCTCAGCCTCCCAAGTAGCTGGAACTACAGGCGCCCGCCACCACGCCCAGCTAGTTTTTTGTATTTTTAGTAGAGACGGGGTTTCACCATGTTAGCCAGGATAGTCTTGATCTCCTGACCTCCTGATCCACCCTCCTCGGCCTCCCAAAGTGCTGGGATTACAGGCTTGAGCCACCATGCCCGGCCCTCTTTAAAAATAAGTTGATGCATCTGAGCTATACAATATTGTACCTTTTAATGTCCACCACTGTACCTTCCTGATCAGCCAGTAGCCAACTTAACATTCATAGAATCCCATTATTTCATAAACAATAATGAATATGCTTGAATAGATTTCACTCAAGGATCTGTTATTCTATAGATTATCCTTCTGAACGCTATTTTGGCTTAAATGAAATTTCTCCAAAAGTACTTTAAAAAGTCCCTCTCATCATGTCACCTGTAATTAATATTTGTAATAAAAAGTTGCTTTCCAAACTAGTTTTTAATGTTTGACTCAATTTAGAACATTTGAATGAACAAGTATTATTTGGCTGTAACATCCCTAAAATAACTCTAATCACTTTTCTTATTTCATTTTCAGGATGCACTCCACTTCCAGTCATGAAGGCCATAAGCAGCACAGATCACAAACTTTACCTATAATTCGAGGCAAAAATGCACTTTCTAACCCCAAACTCTTACAGATGTTAGACAATACCATGACCAGTAAGTAAACCGAAATAACAGGAACAAGATGGTTACCAGTTTTTCTCTAGGTATGTGTAGGACATGAAATGCACTAAAACCACTGCTTTTAAGGTTTGCTGTAGCTCTAGAAATATTTCTTTTTTTTTTTTTTTTTTGAGGCAGAGTCTCCCTCTGTCGCCCAGGCTGGAGTGCAGTGGCCAGATCTCAGCTCACTGCAAGCTCCGCCTCCCGGGTTCACGCCATTCTCCTGCCTCAGCCTCCCGAGTAGCTGGGACTACAGGCGCCTGCCACCTCGCCCGGCTAGTTTTTTGTATTTTTTTAGTAGAGACGGGGTTTCACCGTGTTAGCCAGGATGGTCTTGATCTCCTGACCTCGTGATCCACCCGTCTCGGCCTCCCAAAGTGCTGGGATTACAGGCTTGAGCCACCAGGGAGTGGTTAAAAAAAATGTAGTGCCCGATGGTGAAGAAAGGGGAAAGGCAGAACCCTCAATTATCATATGTTTAGCATAGCTCCCTTGGAAACAAGTGACTTTCAGCATTGTGCAGGTTATGGAGGCTGCTGTCAAACAGATGATTACTGCTTCCTCTGTGGGGAGGGGATAAAGTTGCCAATGTTCCAGAAGCAGCAAGGGTGACATCTTGAACCTAGAGATGCATACACTCCGGCTTGTGAATGAGGGTAAAATGGAGGCCAGCGTTTTGTAAGCATGTAATTTGAGGACTAAACTCTGACCTTTTCTCTTCTCTTGCCCAAATTCTTAAGAGGCCTGGAAAGTCACACCAGTCTCATCAGAGGGGTTTTAGTTAACCTTATATAACATGGCTTACTTTCCAACCTGACTCTGGCATAACATCACATGAGAGATAAAGAAAGAAATCAAAATATTTTACCCCCAAATATATATATATATTTGCCATGTCTTGAAACAGCCTTGCAGAGTTGTCTCTTATGGGGAAAAATTTGCATTCTGTAAAGAATCCCCTTTCCCTCTTCAGGTCCTTTTCTTGATCCAGGAGAGAATCAGTTGAGAGTCTGGCACCTTTTTCAGTCTGATAAGAAACATTTACAATCTCTTCTCTCTGAAGTCTGCCATCTGGAGGCTTCATCTACATAATAAGAACGTTGGTCTCCACAATCCCCTTTCTTAGCCCAGACATTTCCTTTCTATTGATTCCTGGTCTCTAGATAAACTCTTTCAACCATCACCAATCAGAAAATCTTTGAATCCACCCATAAGCGCCCCTCTCCCCAACTTTCAGTTGTCTTGTCTTTCCAGACCAGACCAATGTACATCTTACATGTATTGGTTGACGTCTTATGTGCCCCTAAAACATATAAAACCCAGCTGTAGCCCAAACACCTTGGGCACATGTTCTCAGGGTTTCCTGAGGGCTGTGTCACAGGCCATGGTCACTCATATTTGGCTCACAATAAATCTCTTCAAGTATTTTACAGAATTTGACTCTTTTCATTGACAGATTGTTAGCAATTATGGGCACGTGGCCCACAGTTACTTGTTTGGAGGTATTTGCCTCAATCTATAAATACACTTTGTGACTTTCTGAGGGGACATGAAGACTGTCCACTGAGACTGTACATTTGGTCTACTAGCCCAGAAGCCTAGAACTTGAGACAGCCTGATTATGAAAGAAATATGACCCTGTCTTTGGCCAAATTAATGGAAAATAACTCAGAAACAATGGAAACCCCACAACTGATATATGCAAAGGGCACACACACTAAAGACTCTAGTACTTTTAATTCAGCCAATGAAGAAACTGAACAAACAAAAGCACTTTGATTTAATAATTAATCAAAATGCCAGTAAACTTTGAATATATTGTAATGAAAGGAAATACTTTATAGGGTACAAAGTATTGTCTTAGACTTTTATGCATGTTTTGTTTTTTATTTTACAGGCAACTCCAACGAAATAGACATTGTGCATCACGTAGACACGGAGGCCAATATTGCTACGGAGGTGTGCCTCACTATTCTAGACCTGTTATCGCTCTTCACTCAGACTCACCAGGTGAATATGACAACATTTTCTGCAAAAATGATGAAATGTGAGGTGGAAAAACCATGTGAAGTCAAAAACATGTTTTTTTAAAATTATTTATGAAATCAATTAACCTTATATAAATCAACCCAAGTGTGAGTGGAAAACATGTTAAAGATGAGATTTTGATTTTATCACAGGTTGACTAATGTTTGCTTGATATGTACATGTATGCATTTCACTATTGTCAAATAGTCTTTCTTCCTCATTTATCTTGCTTCACTCTCAGGCAAGCTTGGCTGAGTGGGAATGTGACTCTGTACTTTTTCAGTAGAAGAGAAAGCGATAAATGGTCCTGTGTATTAAATTTACAGCTAGATCTAAAGAAAGCTAATAATGTTGAACATCTTTTTGTGTGCTCATTTCACATTCAGATAACTTTGATGAAATGATTATCACTACTTAGAATGGCTAAAATTAAAAAGACTGACCATCTAAAGTTTTGGCAAGGATATGGAGAAACTAGAACTCCCATTTATTGACAGTGGGAATGCAAAATGGTAAAAACACATTGGAGAATAGTATGGCAGTCTCTGAAAAGCTAATCATACATCTATCATATGACCACCCATTCCAATACTATAATAGGTATTTACCCAGGAGAAGTGAAAGCATATCTCCACACAAAACTTTGTACACAAATATGCATGGCAGCTTTATTTTAATAGCAAAAAAAAAAAAAAAGAAAAAAAACTAGAAACAACTCAAGTATACATCAACAGGTGGATAGATTTAAAAAGCTGTGGTATATCCATACAATAGAATACTACTCAGCAGTTAAAAGAAATAAACTACTTATCCATGCTATAACATGGGTGAAACCCAAGAAACCAGAAACAGTATATACTATATTACTCAGTGTGTATTATTCCATTTATACGAAATTTTAGAAAATGCAAACTATAGAAACAAAAAGCAGATCAGTGGTTGCCTAGGGATGTGGAAGAAGGATGGGAGGAAGGAATTACAAAAAAAAGTATTTAAAAACTTTTGAGAGTGATAGATATGTTCATTATCTTGATTGTGGTGATGGTTTCATGGGTATATGCAAGTGTTAAACTTATTAAATTATACATGTCACATGAGTTCTATTTACTGTATGTCAATTATATTTCAATAAAGCTACTAAAAACATTTGCAGCTCCTACCAAATGAGCTTAAATACCTAGGCTAGCACATTAAAGATTGAGCCAGGGGCAGCTGTGGTGGCTCATATCTGTAATTCCAGCACTTTGGGAGGCCAAGGAGGGAGGATCACTTGAGCCCAGGAGTTCAAGACCAACCTGGGCAATATAGTGAAACTTCATCTTTACAAAAAAATTTAAAAATTAGTCAACTATGGGGACACATACCTGTAGTCCCAGCTATTTGGAAGGCTGAGGTGGGAGGATCACTGGAGCCCAGGAAGTGGAGGTGCAGTGAGCTATGATGGTGCCACGACACTCCAGCTTAGGTGACAGAGTGAAACCTTGTCTCAAAAAAAAAAAAAAAGATTGAGCCAGGAAAATTTGTATTCTTTGAATAAAGTCTACACAGAACAGCATAATTATGCCAAGAAAGCCCTACTGCAGGTGAAATGTCAGCATGGTGGTAGAGAAAGTAATGACTATATTGATTCTTTATTGGGCTATGAAAATGTCACTCAAATCTCACAAATTTTAAGGACTTTACTAGTGCCTTCAAGAACCTGTGACCTCATCTCCCATTTCTCCCCTAACCCCACCTCACTTGCCATTGCACCAGCTACTCTGCTTTTCTTTCTCAACCTTGAACTCATAAGCTCCTTTCCCAATCAAGGCCCTTGGACTAGCTGTTTCTCCCCCATGGGACAATCCTCCCAGATCTCTCCAGGGCAGGCCCCTTGAGCTCACGTGCCAATTTTCCATTAGAGAGGTCTTTGCAGACTACCCTATGGAAGTAATTCTACCCTCAAAGCAACTAGTTTCAATCACATCATCCTAGTCTATTTCAATTTGTCATGTTTTTTCAATCACTGCTATGTAAGTTTCACAGTAAACATCAACTGTGTCTCCTTGTTCAATCCTTTACTTCTAGAATAGTGCCTCACCACAATAGGTTCGCAACAAACATTTTTGATAGAATGCAAATTTTCTTTCACTTATCCTGAATAACATCTGCATTGAATTTCCAGAGACAACTCCAACAATGTGACTGTCAAAATTCATTGATGAAAAGGGTCTTTGATACCTACATGCTCTTTTTCCAAGTCAATCAGTCAGCCACAGCACTGAAGCATGTGTTTGCCTCCTTGAGATTGTTTGTATGCAAGGTAAGGATCCTCCAGGTTTCAGTGAAGTTTAGGTAGGATGACAGTAAACCCATAGAACAGTAAACCCATAGGAATCCCTGCGTCTCTCAGTAGAGAGGGAAGAAGGATTGTTTTCTTCAACTTGGGTTTTATTAGACATTGATTCCTGGTCTCAAAATGAGTGCACAGCCTTGACAATATGTCTGCTCAAATACCAGAAGATATTAGCATCTGGTGACAATTAGCATCTGGTCACCAATTCTTTGAGTTATCTGTGTTTGCAGCACCAAGTTAGGTAAAATGCACCCCTTGAACTGTCATATCCATCCATATCAAGTTAAAGGTTCCACATTAAAGTGGATACAGCCACTGCCTTTGAGGACACTTGTAAATAACACCTGTGATTTTAACAATGTCAGATGAATTGAGGTCATTTCAAAGCTCTCATTCCGTTATTTTGGACCGTCATCAGTTACTGATACAAAGGATACTTATACAATGTAGAGAATAATTATGTCTAGGAAAAAAAGACAAATGCTAACATAGACCTTAACAAATTCTATCCTCCTCACTTGCAAATGAAAAAAAAAAAAAAAAAGACCAGATTGAAAAAAAAAAAAAAAAAAGGAGAGGGATTTTGTTTGTTTTAGGGAATTTTAAAGTATGAGCATGAACAGAGCAAAATGAAGGCATGTTGCTCCTTCACCCATTCTTTCATTTCTGCAGTTTCCTTCAGCGTTCTTTCAAGGGCCTGCCGACCTCTGTGGATCGTTCTGTTATGAAGTCCTAAAATGCTGTAACCACAGGTCACGGTCAACTCAGACAGAAGCCTCAGCCCTTCTGTACTTTTTCATGAGGAAGAATTTTGAATTTAACAAGCAGAAGTCAATTGTCCGGTCCCACTTACAAGTAAGTGCTGCCAATTTTCATTAACACTGTTGTTAAAACCACTGATCTGTTTCAGCAATGCTTAAAGCCTACTGTCCTCAGGGCAAGCCGTTACTAACTCCTCCACCAAAGTCCTCCTTAAAGACACCCATAGCATTCAGTTCTGTTTAATGGGAGGGGCGCCGCTGGGCAGAAATCAGCAGAGCCCCATCTCCACTTGTACTTTCCTTTCTTCTTCCAGGAAATAGAATCACATGGAATAAACAACTAAGGAAACCATGGCTAGCTCCAGCAGGTCAAACCCCACCAAATTCCAAACATAATTTTTTTTTCTTCTAGGCATCCCGAGATTCCAAGATTCCTGCAGCCTCTCTTAGATATTTAAGATTATAAGAAACACACTAGATTTAATAATACGTTCTGGAGCTTTAATACATAAACACATCTTTTATTGGACCTACAGGGAGAAAGTAATTGTACATTTACCCAGCCCAGTGGATTTCTTTAAGAAGACTATTTCTGGTCTTGTTTTTGAGAGTTCATTTTTTTTCTCTTCCAGCTCATCAAAGCTGTGAGCCAGTTAATAGCTGACGCTGGGATCGGAGGCTCTCGGTTTCAACATTCGCTTGCAATTACCAATAATTTCGCCAATGGAGACAAGCAAATGAAAGTAAGAAATGCTTTGTGGGCTTTTACTACAGAATTTGTTAAAATCTGAAGTGGATTCTTTTTGTGAGATACCAAAATCATAGAAATAGATCGGATATGGTGGTTCACGCCTGTAATCCCAACACTTTGAGAAGCCAAGGCAGGAGGATCGCTTAAGGCCAGGAGTTTGAGTTTGAGGCTACAGTGAGCTATGATGGCACCACTGCACTCCAGCCTCGGTAACAGAGCAAGACCTTGTCTCTAAATAATAATAATAATTGTTTATTTTGTTTATTGAGACTTTGAGCCCTCCTCAAAGTAAACGATCAAGTTTATTGTTTGAATCGCTAAGCAGCTCTTACACTTTAAGCATGTGATCTGTTAAGTGGCATTCCCAATATGCATGGTTGAATGGCCTAGAACAAGAGGATTTACCGTAAATATCCAGAAATACAATGACTCCCTCCTAACTCTATTTGGGGGAAAATTCATCTTATCTTTTGTTTAGTGCTTTCTGAAGACTTCTCCTGTAGTCATTATACTGAAAAGTCCAAGTCTAGGGCCAGACTTCAGTCACGGCTGGACCCAGGGATTAAAATAATTTTCAGACCCATCCCTCCACTGCTTCGATCTTGCCTCTCTCACTGTCTGTCAGTTCAGCTTTCCTCTTTGTTTACTTATTTCCAGACAGGTTATCGCCCTGGGCATGTTCTCAGAAATTCTAAGGACCCTATTGGTATCTTATGAGTAGAAAATCACCTTGTTTGATAGTTCCAATTAAAGTCCCACAACTGAATCTCTTTGATCCAAGCTTAAATCATATGCTTATCCCTAAACCAATCACTGTAGCCTGGAGGATCAAAAAATAGAATTGGCCAGGCCAGTGTTATGTGCCACCCATGGTCCCTAGGAGTAAAGTCAGACCTGTGCAAATCACACAAACTAGAGTCAGGAAGGGGAATAGATCTCAAAGACAATCAGGATGTTTTACCAGAAGGTGTGCTTGAAGACAAAAGAATAGAGCCTCCTGAAATTTTTATCTTCAAATGTGTATATCCACAGTCATAAAACATAGAATGCACATATATAGAATGCACACATTTATAACTATAGAATGCTCCAAACTGTGATGCCTAGCTATAATTAATAGCATGACTTGAAGTCAGTTAACCTACAGGTTCTAAACAGATAATGACCCAGGCTCTCTCTTTTCCAAAGAACAGCAATTTCCCAGCAGAGGTGAAAGACCTGACTAAGCGTATAAGGACTGTTTTGATGGCCACAGCTCAGATGAAGGAGCATGAGAAGGATCCCGAGATGCTGGTGGATCTCCAGTACAGCCTGGCAAACTCCTATGCAAGCACTCCCGAACTACGGAGGACCTGGCTGGAAAGTATGGCCAAGATTCATGCCAGAAACGGAGATTTATCTGAGGTGATTAGCCAAGGCTCGGTCATTTACCATCAGTATTGTCCTCTTTATCAGGAAAATTGGATCTTCATTTATAGCATGGACTAGAAAAAGAAGCTATGTTTTTCCACTAATCTAGAAATGACTCAGTTATATATCATATACAATAAATTTGCATATCGCGTTCAAGGATACCTGACTCTAAGTAAATGACATCAAATAAAGGCCAGAGTCAGTGGGGGCAACTGCAGGTGTATAAATTGTAACGCAACACTGAATGCTAAAAACCTGAGGCTAAGGAGGAGCGTGGTAGGGGTGTCTGGCAATTGAGTCATTAAATTAATGTTCTGTGTTTTAAAACTTCTTCTCTGCAACTGGAGTTGAATGGGGAAGCTTGCCACCATAGTGAGTAAACTCAGGCAGGGGGAATCAGTCCTCATTTACAGCTAGTCTGAACTGGCCATAGAAAAATTAATGATCCTTAGCACCACATGAGGAGAGTCCACTGTGCGAAGATTATAAGTCAACACTTAACTTTTTATGTCAGTTTCAATACCAGGTGGATCATATGCAGCAATTCATAGCACCCAAGGGCTTCTGAGTACCAAATGGGAAGTTCTACTCCATTCCAGAACTATGTCCCTTTGGGGAAGAGATTAATTTGTCTAGGATAGTCCTAAACTCTGAAGCTCTTCTAAACACATGTGGTAATCAGGGACTCTGGAATGGAAACCACAGGCCTGGCTTGGCAGCAAGCCAAGTGAGGACAGGAATGAGAAGCCCTTGGGCTGCTCTGAAAATGATGAAATTCCTCCATAAAACCTCAAAAGGAAAAAGCTGAAGTCATTTGGAATCTTTAGCAAGTTGAGTTTTAATATGGATTCAGCAATGTTCAGGGCTTCATAAGAGACATTAGAGTAAAATATAACATCACTCACATAACCTGGTTTGTGGGGAGCCCAGGTGTTAGTTACATCAGGTCACACTACTTAATCAAGCACTCACTTGTGAAGTGACCGTTTTAAAGGCAACACAAATTCAGAGGGGCTATTCCTGGAGGTAAAAAAAAGTTATTTAGAAGGCAGATTCTTTTTATTTCCAATTTATATCTAAATACTAGAATTATAGTTTTAATTGTAAAAGGAGAACTATGATTTATTTTTAATATAGGCTTAGACATTAAAGGAGGAAGATAATTCTATGGGAAAATTCTTTGGGCCAGCTCCTTCAGCCATCTCCAGACTAATCAAGAACAAACAAAAACCCAAATATTCATTTTATTCTTGATGGTGAATTTTTTGGAAATACAATTGATTCTTGCTTTCAATTCGGTGTTTACAAAGGATCCTTCTACATAACATATTCTGATATGGAATACTGACTCGCCTTGGAAGATTAGCCCTAATTATATTAAACTGCATCCCCTGAGCCTCTTTATTTTCTTTCTCATTACAGGCTGCCATGTGTTACATCCATATTGCTGCTCTCATTGCAGAATATCTGAAAAGAAAGGGTAAGATGACCACGTGAGGGAGATAAAAAGCCCAGATTTCAACACACTGAAGCCTAATAGAAATAATGTATTAATTTTACATTTTATTAATCTGTTATGTTTAATTAAGTAATAATTGCTTTCACAGATACTTCTAATTATGCTGTACTTTAACATTTTCAGTCTGTTATGCCACTGACATATTTATTCTATGTACAGCAAAGGCTAACTGAATGGTCAACTTCTTAGTTCAAAACGAGAATGCATCATTGGCTAACAATTTGTAGTCTCAAAAGCTTGTATTAACATAAACATGTAGCAACGTCCTAACCTCATCTTGCACTACCATAGGTTACTGGAAAATGGAAAAGATTTGCACAGCATCCCTGCTCTCGGAGGATACCCACCCCTGTGATAGCAACTCATTACTAACAACTCCCAGTGGAGGAAGTGAGTGACCTAACTGCTCATTTATCCCAATGCAGAGGAAATCAACTTGCTGCTTAAATTCTACTTCAGTGAAACCTTCTTTATTCTTTTTTTTTTTTTTTTTTTTTTTTTGAGATGGAGTCTCGCTCTGTCGCCCAGGCTGGAGTGCAGTGGCTGGATCTCAGCTCACTGCAAGCTCCGCCTCCCAGGTTTAGGCCATTCTCCTGCCTCAGCCTCCCGAGTAGCCGGGACTACAGGCGCCCACCACCTCACCCGGCTAGTTTTTTGTATGTTTTAGTAGAGACAGGGTTTCACCGTGTTAGCCAGGATGGTCTCGATCTCCTGACCTCGTGATCCACCCGTCTCGGCCTCCCAAAGTGCTAGGATTTAAATACATTCTTAGAAGCAAAAACTATCTCAGATCTACACAACTTACTCTGCAAAACACTTAAACTCCTGCCATTCAGAAATCCCATCCAAAATTTATGAAATTTAAATAACTGAAAAGTTGTCAGCAAATAGAACTGTATGTTCTCCAACATTCAAGTTTATGAGTTACGGCCATATTTAGCTACCAATCTGCATGCCAGTCTGCCATAGGGATTTTACTCTGAATTGCAAGAGGAATCTATTTTAATTTTTAAATGTAATAAAACTGTTGATTCCAAATAAAAGATAGGGCCAGGCGTGTTGGCTCACACCTATAATCCCAGCACTTGGGAGGCCAAAGTCTCTACTAAAGTACTGGTCTCTACTAAAAATACAAAATGTAGCCGGCTATGGTGGCGGGCACCTGTAATCCCAGCTACTTGGGAGGCTGAAGCAGGAGAATCTCTTGAACCCAGGAGGCGGAGGTTGCAGTGAGCCAAGATCACACCACTATACACCAGCCTGGGCAACAGAGTGAGACTCCATCTCCAAAAAAAATAAAAAGAAAAATGAAGACATATACATATATATATACTATATATGTAGAACTTTATAATCAGCGTGTTCCATTTCATTTTTAAAAAGTATAAATGACAATTTATAACATATGGTTTATGGTACAGATTTCCTTTAGAAATATCCCATCAATGTCTGATTTCTTGAAATTATAATGACTAAAGAGTTACTCTTTGCACAAAAAAGTGGGTGATATAGTTTATACATTTAATCTACATTCTCTTACAAAAGTTTGTTCAAATCTGAATTTTATGAACTGTAGTCTATTTGATAACACTGGTTTAACTTTCCAAATGCAGTGGAAAACTCAGTGTACAAACAACAGAAATACATTTTTAGATGTTGAAAATCAGAATACTTAAAACGAAATGTAAATGGACTTTACTTGCTATATTTCAGAAACATAATTCATCCCTTATTCATTTAAATATTTGTAGGTTTTCTAAAAGGTCTCAGTGGAGTTTGCATATAAGACATTTGAACTGGCCAGGCACCATGGCTCACGCCTGTAATCCCAGCACTTTGGGAGGCTAAGGAGGGTGGATCACAAGGCCAGGAGTTTAAGACCAGCCTGGCCAAGATGGTGAAACCCCATCTCTACTAAAAATACAAAAAAAAAAAAAAATTAGCCGGGCATGGTGGCAGGTGCCTATAATCCCAGCTACTCAGGAGGCTGAGGCAGAGAATTGCTTGAACCCAGGAAGTGGAGGTTGCAGTGAGCTGAGATCACACCACTGCACTCCAGCCTGGGCAACAGAGCAAGACTCCATCTCAAAAAAAAAAAAAAAAAAAAAAGACATTTGAACCAAATGACCAAAGCAAACTGAGAGACAGTGAGGTCACTTGTTTGAGGACCTTGGAGAAGACGCCAGATGTGGCACCCTGTGGCACCCATGGCTCATGTCCACCCTAAAATTCAGGAATCTTCTTGCTTAGTGTCACATGTCCTATTTAGCCTGATTTTTATATGCAAGTCATCAAAAACATCATTGCCTTATTTAACATGCCCTTCCTCCTCCTCTATTGCTTATCATAACCAGATGCCATAATGTTCCATAAAGACTTTCAAATTCTAAGAACAAAATTGAAGAAAACCGATAAAAGCAGGTGTTAGTTTGAGAACTTGTGGAAACTTATATGCCAAAAAGTTGTGTGAATCTTTCATATTCAAAATGCTTTAAATGCCCAATGTTAGACCTAAGGTGATATTAGAATATAATGTGTTCAACAAGAAAAGGATATATTTGTTTAGGAAACGTTAAAATTAGGAAGGTGATCATCTATGACATATTAACATATATCTGATGATACATTAACTGATGATATAGGCTATGATATATTAGCATATTCTAACTAGCACATATCATCAGCATATATGTGAATGTCATTGGCACGTATTTGAAGCCCTTAATATACTTTTCTATTTTGATATTTTTGAGTCAAAGGAGTGAACTATCCCTTCCCTACAATGTGCACAATGGTATGAATATAGGTGAATATAGGCGACCCCAGAAAGTACAGCTGCTTCAGTTGTACTAATAAGTGATCATCATCCTGCAAGAAATATGTTGTGACTTCTCCTCCTTCAATTAACTCTGATATAGTTTAATATATGTTTAATATTATTAGAAAAAGTAGAAAACTAAAATTTATATAAAAGCAAGTATTAGATTGCAATAATTATTATATTTATAATTTCTAGCATGTTTGGGGGGTGATCATTTAGTTACATAACCAATGAGCTGATTATTAAAAGCAAAAATATTCCACAAAAGTATTAGCTATAACTTAAAAAGCACCACACTAAGCCCTGTACCAGCAATGTCTCAATTAGTTGCCAGTAACAAATCTGTGAGTTAGGTGCTATTATCACCTCCTGTTTATATAGGTGAGAAAAACAAGAGAGGCTAAATAATCTGCCTCAAATGTCCTGGTTAGCTTGTGTTGGAGCCAAAGTTCAGAGGCTGGTCTGTCACTCCAGCTAGTGCTTTTCTAGTCACTCACATTCCCCACAATTCAGATCTATCTCTCCTCTGGGAATGTTGCCCGTTGTCAGCTGTTTTCACATGTATCTGTAGAGGGAGGCCTTTTTAAATCTTGTTGGCTAAGATACTAAGAAAATTTGAAAAGGTTTCTACATAATGTAAAAGAGTGACATATAGCAAGTATTGGCCAGGCACAGTGGCTCACGCCTGTAATCCCAACACTTTGGGAGGCTGAGGCAGGCAGATCACCTGAGGTCAGTAGTTTAAGACCAGCCTAGCCAACATAGTGAAACCCCATCTCTACTAAAAATAGAAAAATTAGCTGGGCATGGTGGCGGGCACCTGTAATCCCAGCTACTCAGGAGGCTGAGGCAGGAGAATCGCTTGAACCCAGGCGGGAGGCGGAGGTTGCAGTGAGCCAAGATGGCACCATTGCACTCCACCCTGGGCAACAAGAGTGAAACTCCGTCTCAAAAAAAAAAAAAAGCAAGTATTGGGCATTGTCTTGTCTTGTGGGGGGGCCATTAGGGGAGAGATAGGGTCCCACTCTGTCACCCATGGCATGGTGATAGCTCACTCCAGCCCCAAACTCCTAGGCTCAAGCAATCCTCCTGTCTCAGCCTCCTAAGTAGCTGGGATTACAGGCACCCACACATCCAACTATAAGCATTGTCTTTATAATGTGCTGCGTGTACCCGGTATTTTCTCAAATATTAATGTTTTGAGTCCTTTCAACATCCTTTGAGATAGATATTAATGTCCCCAGTTTAACAAAAGAAGGACACAGTCTCAGAGATTAATTAAAGCAGAAGATTGGAAGTGTAACATCTACCCACAAATCTTATGTTCTGTCCATAATCCCATGCTATCTCTTTATTAAAAATACCACCTGAAAATGATACAAAAATTATAAAAAGGGGAATATTGTTTGTCTGGCAGACAGTATTTATCAACAGTCATAATCTAACCATCTTGTTGATTATGCGAGCTTTGTAATACTACCAATTGGTAACATCATGAAGAAAGGCATTATCTAATCTAAGCAAAATTTGTCTCAAATAATAACATTTTATTCTGCTTGGTCCTCCCAAGGCATGTTCTCTATGGGATGGCCAGCTTTTTTGAGCATTACACCAAACATTAAGGAAGAAGGAGCAATGAAAGAGGATTCCGGAATGCAAGATACACCATACAATGAGGTCAGACCAAAATTATCGCATGTACAGTAACTAAGTAAAGAGATGCATTGGCTTGTGACATTAAGCTAAATAAGAGGAAGCAAGCTTACAGCTGTTCTATAATATAACTTAATTAGACGAAATGTAGGCTAAAATCAAGCCAAGATTAGTAGATACCAGATTTCAGTAAAAATTTAAACTATGTCTTACTTCTGTAAGATGGGCTCAAATGTATATTATCAGCTCTTCTATAAGATAATATCTCTGGCCTTTTGGTAAAGGTGATAAGGGATGCTAAATTTTGCGAACTGATCATAGCTTTTTTTCTAAAAGCATTAGCAAGTTTATTTACAAATGCAGGTGGACGTAAAAGTTCACTAGTTTAGAAAAACTTCTGTTATGGAACATAAGCAGAGTTATTTTTCATTAACACAAAAAGAAACGTTCTACTGGGAATTACTTAGCAATAGTTCTGGTGAAGAAAACAGAATTCCTCTCATTAAATAAAATATTTTATAAGCTAATTTTTAAGTCAGTATTACATAAATGGAAAAAATTACACAGAAAGTAAATTTTCAGATGAATGTTAATACAATTTTACACATGGTTCTACATCAATTTAGCATATATTGCAAATAAATGAAGTAAATGTAATTACATATTTATGTTAACTATTTTAAATAATGTTTAAGAACCTTTTCTTAAAGGAAATTGTTGAAAACATTCCAACAATATCATACATTTGCTTGAAAGCTTATATAACTTTATTCAGTTGAAAATTTATTAAGCCACTAGTATATGAAAGGAATTGAGGTAAGGGCTGGGAAAAAAAATAAGGTATAATTCCTGCTCTCAAAGAATTTAGAATATTGAGAAAGACAGTTCCTACAGAGTGGGGAATGGCCAGGCAAAAACAGATGCCCAGTGACCAAATCTAGGTATCATATACACTTGCAATTAGAAGGGGAACTTTTTTTTTTACATGACAATTGTTGAAATGGTGATGAATAGAATGTAAATAAAAGCTCTTCATTTTTTTTGTGCTGAGTCTTGATAGGACTTGAAGGTGTGAAATAAGAAGGTTCTTATAGGTGCAGCTGTAACACAGACAAAAGTATGGAGGTCAGAGAGTGTTCTAATAATGGAGTGGTATATGGTATGGCCAAATGCAAAGTCAATAACAGAGCACTGAAAGAAGGGGTCACTGAAAGGGAGGTTGGTGCCTGATTGTGGAGCTTCTTGAAGGCATGGTAGAGTTTGGACAGCAGCTTACATACTGGAGTTCCAACAAAGGTTTAAGGCACTGGAGGTCTCGTGATCAGATTTGTGTTTTACAAAGAAAGATGACTGGAGAGCAGCAATTGGAGAGGGAAAACAGATTCGCTCAAAACTGTTGCAGGGGTCAGGGAGTACGTAAGTCAGTAGCAGTGGGAATGGAAAGGAGGAGACAGATCTGAAGGCATTTCACAGATTTAAATTAGCACTTTTGAGGCACTAATTAGGTAACGGTAATGCGGGATAGGCAAGAATCCAAGATGACACCATGATCCCCTGCTGGGTTTTAAATGCCAGTAACAGAGGAAAAAGTTTGACAATGCAACAGCTTTGAAACCAAGTTTCAGGCATGAGCCACAATCCTAATCATGTAAAATCTCATTTTGATTGGGGGAATTGCAGAATATCCTGGTGGAGCAGCTATACATGTGTGTGGAGTTTCTCTGGAAGTCTGAGCGATACGAACTCATTGCTGATGTCAACAAGCCCATCATTGCTGTCTTTGAGAAACAACGAGACTTCAAAGTATGTATTCCAACCCTGTAGAAGGAGTTATTTAAAATATCCTATGTTGAATTGGAAAATTACAGTTTTCAAAATTAAAAACTCTCTATTTGTATGTCAGCGTGATCTTCATGAAACTCTTTCACTTATGGTTTCAGAAATTGTCAGATCTCTACTATGACATTCATCGGTCATACCTGAAAGTGGCAGAGGTGGTGAATTCAGAGAAGCGGCTGTTTGGTCGCTACTATCGTGTGGCATTTTATGGGCAGGTAAGTTCACCAGAAATAACATGGCCCATAAATTCTGCTGAGCAGTTGAATGTTGTCTTTCATTCTTTACGAGACATCTGTGTGTACCAGTGAATGGAGAGGCATGGGTGTGTCTGACTATACTTGAGTGTTTCTCCGGATGTGATGGTCTATATGTTTGTCCATAGGAATGTACTAAGTTGGAAAACAAGTGAGCTAAGAAATCCATGGGTTGAGTTAACGGTGATTTCTGACTTCTCAAAGAAAGAGGGCACTTATTTTTCAACATTCTCTTCTTTCCAGCTCACCCTAAAATATCTGATTATGAGTTTATGTCATATATTAAAGTGAAATTAAATTGAGCATGCTTTAAGAAATAACATTCCTAATATTCTAGGAAATAAGAGAATTCCTAGGGGCTCCACCATATCAAACCTTTGATTTTACAATGACTCAATTTTTTTTCTCCTATTTTCAAACTACCACTGTTTCTAGACAGAATACCAGATGGTTATTTTGTTTTCTATATTGCAAGTCAGTGTAATTTCAAAGTTATTTTTCCCAGTTTACTGCATAAGCAATGAAGAAGATGGAAAATATTACTTAGCCACTGTATTGGCCTGAAAGTGAACATACTATATATTAATTGTGAATGTCTCTGAGCAACATTTTCAATGGGATAAACCCAGGCACCATTCATTTCTTTTCGGGAAGGCTTATAACGCTATTATATTTCAGCAGACGTAGTTTAGACTGTTGCTCATGTGGATAGACATCCCATGCTTTTATTTTCAGAGTGGCAGTGGCTCTCAGACCTCACACTTCCTCTCCCCGCAACCTATCGTCTCACTTAGTAGCCCAGGCTGGAGTGCAGTGCAGTGGCATGATCTCAGCTCACTGCAACCTCCGCCTCCTGGATCCCGGCTCAAGCAATTCTCCTGCCTCAGCCTCCTGAGCAGCTGGGATTACAGGCAGGTGCCACCATGCCCAGCTAATTTTTGTATTTTTTAGTAGAGACAGGATTTCATTATGTTGGCCAGGCTGGTCTTGAACTCCTGACCTCTTGTGATCCACCCACCTCAGCCTCCCAAAATGTTGGGATTACAGGCGTGAGCCACCGTGCCCGGCCTCAGCTTCTTGTTCTTAAGGCTGCAGCAGAAGGAGTCAACTCCAGCATGTTATTCTAGGTCACTCCCCATTGAAGTTGTTTGAAAAGTACATATTTTCCTCTGCTCACCAAAAGCAGCTTAAAAACTAACCTCTGGGCTGAGTGCCGTGGCTCACGCCTGTAATCCCAGCACTTTGGGAGGCCAAGGCGGGCGGATCATGAGGTCAGGAGATCGAGACCATCCTGGCTAACAAGCTGAAACCTTGTCTCTACTAAAAATACAAAAAATTAGCCGGGTGTGGTGGAGGGTGCCTGTAGTCCCAGTTACTCGGGAGACTGAGGCAGGAGAATCGGATGAACCCGGGAGGTACAGCTTGCAGTGAGCCGAGATCGCGCCACTGCACTCTAGCCTAGGTGACAAGAGTGAGACTCCGTCTCAAAAAAAAAAAAAGAAAAGAAAGAAAAAAAAGAACCTCTGAATTAATAAAGCTAGATACTTTCTACCTGGAAAGGAGAAGTATCACCAAGTAGCCACTTATTATAAACAAATTAATCCAACCAGGATTTTTCTCAGGACACAGCAACATCAGGATAGTGGAGACAGAGAAACTAATGGTCTGAAAAATGGGGATCTGCATAAACAATCTATAGAATATAAAAAGCAAATTTAGACATTTTGGGGGTCCATGGAAAAGAATCTGAACTATCTGAAGTGAGAACATAGATGGGGAGAGAGCGAGGTGTGGGAACCTTCAGAAGAGGAAGAGAGAAAAGAGAAAATGACACTTTGGAGCCATTTGGGAAGCTACGAAGAAAATATACAATTTGTGACACTGGTGAGACAGCAAGAAAAGTGGCAGAAAATGCTGTAAGTAGGGAAGGGGATGTGGGAGCAGAAGAATTGAAAGGGAAAAACAGAGTTTCAAGGGAGATGGCCACAAGCTAACTGGGCAGCACAGAAGTAGCACAAAAGATGTGCTTCTGGGTCACCAAGACATGACTCTGTAACGCCTCAGGCATTCCTTCCAATGAAAAAGTAAAAAAAAATCATTGATAACCTGATCATGAAAACAGGATTGCCTACCAGATGGTTGCTGCAACCACTATCTGAGACACGGGCTCTAAAGCAGGTAGAAGTGAATCACACTGCTTTTCAACTAGTTTTTAATGCAGATGTTTACTCTTTTCTTCTTTTGGTCTTGATTGTTCCAGGCCGTGGTAAGTTCTCACTCACTCTCGCTCTCCATTTGCATGCTCTAACACCTCTCACACTTCCCTCTGTATGGTTTTACTGAAACTTAACCTTTTTGTGCAAATCAACATTTGGTACGAAGGGTGAGATAATCCTGCTTTCATTCATTTTTGGAATCATCCTGCATCTCTTTAACTAAGTTAGTTTATGCCAGTTATCTGAATTACAAAAAATGTATCCTTTGTTTTTCATACATGCTATCTTTCTGCCTAAAGGTAGATGTAGTCTGAAAGCCTTACATACACAAACACACACAGAGATAAGTATGGGTACCACGTATCTTAAATATACGTAGCATAGACTTGGTATTGTAGATTGTCTACTTATTTCAGGCCACTATGAGCTGCAGCTTATTAAGAACAGAATGGTCAGAATTTTGGAAGTTGGAGTGATGGTTATTGGTGGACACCTCCCAAGATACTGAAAAAACTGTGTTTTTTCCAAAGGAGTGTCTTAGAGAGATGGGGGTCTATGGTGGTGAGCTCTGAGCATTCTCAGAGGTGATGGGAGTAATTCCCAACATAAAAGATGAACTGGGGAATAAATCTTTACCCAATACGTCTGGGTAAGTCTCCAGAGATGCAGAAAGGAGCAAGGTAAGAAATTTGGAGAACAAGCCATGTCCAAAATAACCTGCCAGTACCCAGAGCTCTGTGACAAAGGATTTTCTTCATCTTATTTTGAGCCATATGAAATTGCCTATATTCAATCACTTTTTTATATGCAAAAATGGCAACTTTATATGGTTCAACATAATTATTGTCAGTTAAGCTGGAAAGAGAAAACATTTAATATTCACACATTGTTCATATTCAGCCCTACTTGTCTGACCAGTACATACTTTTTTGTAATTCTTTAAATTCCTTCCCACATTCATACCATATCAGCATTTTCTATGTTCATTTATAAATTTGGGATTATGGGCCCTTAACTCACCTACTAAAAGAATACTTGAAAACCCCTGTACTAAATAGACTGAGGGGGGCAGTGGGGAAGCATTGGGGGGGCCCTTGCAAATGACCTAACTTTATTTTTCTTTCAGACTCCTCAGTAAAGTGTGCTGATTTTGCACCTGATTTTTTTTTTTTTTTAATGCTGCAGTACTCTCACTTGTCTTTGTAAAAAATTCCAAGGCCGGGCGCAGTGGCTCACGCCTGTAGTCCCAGCACTTTAGGAGGCCGAGGAGGGCAGATCACGAGGTCAGGAGATCGAGACCATCGTGGCTAACACGGTGAAACCCTGTCTCTACTTAAAATTCAAAAATTAGCCGGGCGTGGTGGCAGGCCCCTGTAGTCCCAGCTACTCGGGAGGCTGAGGCAGAAGAATGGCGTGAACCTGGGAGGCGGAGCTTGCAGTGAGCCGAGATCGCGCCACTGCACTCCAGCCTGGGTGACAGAGTGAACCTCCATCTCAAAAAAATAAATAAATAAAATAAAAATAAAAATAAATAAATTCCAGTCTGAGCTTAAAACGCAAAGTGTTTTGTTAAATCCTCTGACTGAGAACCTGCCTAAGCACGACACTCCATAAGCTCAAACCCAGCTACCTTTGAACAACGAGAACTAATGGAGGTTGTCCTGATAAACAGCAAATCACAGCCTCAGTCATCACTGCTTAGATGAGATTCAAATGCCTGTCTCAAGATACCACATGGAGAGTGAGAACTGCGGGATTCAACAGGAGCAGACAGCACACATCACTTCACACTCGATGATAAATAAATACCAAGCAGACTCCAGCATTCCCCAGAACATGTACAGAATGAAGGTTCCAAAGATTTAAGATAAAATCTTGACTACTTGATTAGCATAATCCCCACGGTCAGAAATAATTTCTTATTCATAATGGTGCTTTATGTCCCATATGGTATGAAAGTTACCTTTTAATATCCAAGTTGACATGCCTTGCAATGATGTTAAAAAGATTATGGAAATATGACATGCAATAGGCTCTTTGCCTGCACAAAGGCCTTTGGGTACATTTTTTTAGTGTCCCATGTAGACCACTGCTCTCATTTTATAGTTTTGGCTGAGGTATTAATACTGTGTCTGTAATGAGCCAGACACTAGAAAACAAGTATAAATAAAACTGATCGTTCATAGCAGGAACTTTACAAAAATGCAAGTCTTGCACAACATGAACTGTCTAATGCAACACCCGGCATCAGCATCAATATGGAAATTTGACATACAGCAGCCTTACAAAGTGTCCTCCAAAGTGTCCCTGAAGTATTGATTTCCACAGTAATGAAACAGCAGCAGTGAGCAAACATCAACTATAATCAATGAAGTCCTTAGGCCCTGGTATTTAACATGAAAGCAAGTGAATACCCATTACATAACAAAATATCAGATGCCCCTGGAATTAATTAAATAAAAGACCTGGGAGAATTTTATTCTATCCACCAAAGGCCATAGATTCCGTAATTTGCAGTCATGCCTACATGGGTGTACTTGCATCTCAGGATCTTAATAAAAAAGGAATTTGGGGGAGGAGGGAAGGTGCATGTGTAGTGTGGAAAACCGCCATCTCCACTTTGAGACATGATATAGCTCTCCGCCTATAGGAAAGTCGCTGATCTAGGCCACATATCTATACCGTATGAACATCATAATTGAGTTCTGATGTATATGCTAAGAGAAGCTATATGAATGCAGAGAAATTCATTCATGTAGCTTCTTTTCTCTTAGCATTTAGCCTCGTATTGACATTTTCTGGCCCATCTTTTGTATACTAGATTCCTCTTCAAATACATTCTTCTCTTTGTGAACTTTGAATGAGTCTAATATAATACCAGGGGCCCTGATATTTGACATCACAGTGATGATCCAGGGACATTGCAAGATGCTAACGTACCTGCAAAAGCATCTGAGGAGGAGTCAATGCTTTTAGTTGTCAGTTTATGGAAGTACATTTTTACCATAATGTATTGCCTTAAAGTTTCATAATTCATACAGTCCTTGTTTAACCAGGGTATGTTCTTTCTTGACCAGAGCAGATGAAGGTGTTTATCGCATTGCAAAATGACATTTTAAAAATCAAACTAGCAAGGGAAGTGCAGAGATCACCTTTCCCATTGCCTTGAAATTCAGTCAGCTTATAAACTTGGGGCTAAAGCAAAAGAGAAACTGACCCTGGTTTTTGTCACTCTGTGTCCCTGTTTATAAATCATTTATATCATAGACAGAGCTGAAATTGAAGCCTTCCTTCAGATAGTGCCTGGAGCTCAGTGGGCTTTGCTTTGATAGCTTCCCTGGGTATAAGGTGAGCCTGCATTCCAAACATTTTCAGAGCTGCCATTTGTCTGGCTTCAAAACTGTTTACAGAAACCCCAGTGGACAGCAGATTAAACGCTTTATTCTGCTCCTCCATCTCCTTCTTACTCATTTTACAAAACAGGTTTACCTTTCCAAGCTCTTTAGAAAAAGGTTCCAATCTCTAATTTATCAGTTACCAAAATATTCAAATGAGCTTCAATAGACCTTTTATAATAAGAAAAACTTCATTGCCTAAGCAAGAGAAGCTGAAAGTATGTATTTTCAAGCACTGAACACTGAGTTACGCTGCATAAAAGCCAGAACTCAAATTGCTTTATAGATACCGAGTTTTTTCGTCATTGTTGTCATCACCACCAGCATCATCATCATTACCATCCTCAACATAGCTAGCACTCACCAAAGGCCATCTGATTACCAGGTGTGGTCCTTACAACCCCCCAGTAGGTTGCTGAGTCTGAATTTTCCCACCCCATAGCCCAAGGAGGAGGGATGAAAGAAAGCCACAGGTTATGAACAAGGCCACAAAAGTCACGATGATGGCAATTTTTTTTTTTTTTTTTTTTTTTAGACAGAGTCTCACTCTGTCGCCCAGGCTGGAGTGCAGTGGCTCAAACTTGGCTCACTGCAACCTCCGCCTCCGAGTGATTCTCCTGCCTCAGCCTCCTCAGTAGCTGGGACTACAGGCATGCGTCACCATGTCCAGCTAATTTTTGTATTTTTAGTAGAGAAAGCGTTTCACTATGTTGGCCAGGATGGTCTCCATCTCTTGACCTTATGATCCACCCACCTTGGCCTCTCAAAGTGCTGGGATTACAGGAATGAACGACCGTGCCCGGCCGATGATGGCAATTTTTACCTGCCTCCTACCACTCATTTTCTGCTCACTCTAGATTCAGAAATTTGTCAGGGGTTTACAGTGAAAATGTGTCTTTGTACTAGTTTTCACACTATGGTGAAAAATAAAAAATCTTTTCCTGAACCTTAGAGACATTTTTCTCCTTGAAATTGAAGTTGCAAATGTTGCTTCAGCTTTAGCCCCATGAGGATCCTGCCTGAAGGCTTTAGAAGGTCTTATTTCTCTGATGTGTCAGTCTGTCAATTGTAGCCACTAACTCCTGACCTTGAATCAGACAAAACTCCACAAAGACAGCAACAGAAAAAAACATAGCAGGCTGGAAGTCATGTGGGAGTGGAGTCAGACCTCACTACCCCTGTGAAATCTACAGGAATGACAGGGAGCTGCTTTTCATGCTTTCAACATCATATGACACTTTGTAGAAGTTTGGGGTCAAGGCACTTATAATTACTTGTATTTTGTCTTGAACATTTCTCGAAGAAATTGTTCATTAAAAACATCTTTATTTAAAGCCATGGACTATTTTCCAGTTATGCCTGGTGCATATACGCCTGTTTAAGATGTATGCCCTTTAAGAATTCTTTCATTCATCTGCTTACGCAACAAATAGAGTGACCTCCCCCTAAAGACCAGGCATTATGCTAAACACTGGGCATGCAACGTTGAAGACACACTTCCTGCCTTTAGAAACCCCAAAGTCAATTAGGGAGATGTACAAGGAAGCAGGCGATTACCTGATTGGCAAGAATTCCACTATGGAGTAGACCTTATTCATTTGCTTCTGCAAAGGTACAGCTACAGTACACTTAGAATACAAATTACCCTGTTAAAGATGATCCCATTTGCATGTATGAAAGTGCTTTTGAAGTATAAAGCATCATACAGATTTGAGTTTAATCAATATTCTTAGATTGTCTCACATTAACCATGAAAAAACATAGCACTGGAACACTTTGCCTATGCTTTTTTTTTTTTTTTTTTTGAGACGGAGTCTCGCTCTTTCGCCCATCCTGGAGTGCAGTGCACAATCTCGGCTCACGGCAAGCTCCGCCTCCCAGGTTCACGCCATTCTCCTGCCTCAGCCTCCCGAGTAGCTGGGACTACAGGTGCCCGCCACCACGCCTGGCTAGTTTTTTTGTATTTTTAGTAGAGACAGAGTTTCACCGTGTTAACCAGGATGGTCTCGATCTCCTGACCTCATGATCCACCTGCCTCAGCTTCCCAAAGTGCTGGGATTACAGGCGTGAGCCACCGCACCCGGCCACCTATGCTTTTTTTATCATATAATTTTTAAATAGTCAAAAGTGATTTTTTAATATGGCTAAGTTTCCTTTTGACGTCCAGTGTCTTCACCCAGACCTCAAAAGCCATTTCCTTATGGGTCAACTCTACAATCAGGAGAAACCAGATATAGCCTGTAATTCCAGCACTTTGGGAGGCCAAGGTGGGTGGATCATCTGAGGTCAAGAGTTCGAGTTCGCCAACATGGCAAAACTCCATCTCAATTAAAAATACAAAAATTAGCTGGGCGTGGTGGCACACATCTGTAGTCCCAGCTACTTGGGAGGCCGAAGCAGGAGAATCACTTGAATCCAGGAGGCAGAGGTTGCAGTGAGCCAAGATCACACCTCTGCACTCCAGCCTGGGCGACAGAGCAAGACTCTACCAAAAAAAAAAAAAAAAAAGAAACCAGATATCCTTGGGTTCTTAACTCCAAACTTAATCTGGTATTCTGAGGCCACATGTATTCCACAGGAAAAATGCTTCTGTGTCTCTTCAAAGAGAAGGAATTATAAAGATTGCTTCACTTAGTTATCTTCAGATAATAGAATCTTCCCTTCCCTCTGCTTCCAACCAGACAAATAAATTAATAGAGGCTAAAACCTACTTGCTCTTGTGGAATAAAAATGATGATATGGTTGCTATTTTTAATCCTATAATGTCTTCCTTTCCAAGAATGTAAAAGATCTCTTAGTAAGGTAGATTGCATGATTAAGTTACATATAGCTAAGTTTCAGCAGGTCCCTGAAGTCATGTTGACGTAAAGTTATTTTTTAAATAGCAGTACTTGGGAGCATAACACATGTAATTTCTGTTACGACAACTATATAAAGTTTTGTGATTTTTCATCGAAGATTATGTGGGATGCACGTCAGCCCATTTAAATAGCTTTACATGCCGTACACATTTCCTATGTTAGTTTCAAAGACTTATAGAAGATCTTATTAAAAAGGATACTGACTGCTCTTTGCTGCAAAAAATTGCTCCATATTTCATGTTCTACCCCAAGCTACCACAAGAGGGCATGCTTCCCCCAAAATATATGCAAGTAGGTAGTACCATTGAGTTCTACAAATAGAGAAAACAGTATTTGCAAGATATTTCATGAGTTTCTTTGGCCTGGCTAGGAAATATTTACATTAATGTCTGATTATAAGATGATATTTTATTTTCTTCACTGTGTTTTCTCTGATTTTGAATGTTATAGGGTGTTAACCAATGGATTGGATGACAACCAAAAACTGTATATATTTTTTAAGTAAATGGCTTTTTGTTTTGCTTTTGATTTATGACTAGCATTCTCTAATAAAATTGGTGGTTCATTATGTTCCATAGGGCTTTTTTGAAGAAGAAGAAGGTAAAGAGTATATTTATAAAGAGCCTAAGCTGACAGGTCTGTCCGAGATTTCCCAAAGACTCCTCAAGCTCTATGCAGATAAATTTGGAGCAGACAATGTGAAGATAATCCAGGATTCCAACAAGGTAGAGGAAAATCAGTTTTCATGCAAGTGCTAACAATTGACTGAGTTTTTTATTCTTTAACCACATTAAGTTTTCATTTTCTGCCTGATGATGCAAAGTAAACTACTAAAACGATTTTAGATGTTTTGCTTGTTTGCCTATTGGTTGGTTAGTTGGTTAGTAATTTGAGGGGAGAAGAGTCAAAAACATTATATGTGTTTATTTGGGTAACTTTTAAAAAGATCTTAGTAAATTCTCTATGTCTCCATTGGTTATTTGCATTTGAATAGCAATCAAAGCCTTAAAGTAATTGGGCTCAGTGGTGGAACTGGAGAAAACAGCAAATTGAAAATATTTATTGTCAGGGAAGTCTTCCTAGGCGTATTAGTCAGGGTTCTCTAGAGGAACAGGACTAATAGAATAGATGTATATATGAAAGGGAGTTGATTAAGGAATATTGACTCACACAATCACAGGGTGAAGTCCCACAATAGGCCATCCGCAAGCGGAAGAGCAAGGAAACCAGTCTCGTGTCCCAAAGCATCAAAAGTAAGGAAGTTGACAGTGCAGCATTCAATCTGTGGCTGCAGGCCCGAGAGCCCCTGGCAGATCACTGGTGTAAGTCCAGGAGTCCAAAAGCTGAAGAACTTGGAGGAGTCTGATGTTAGAAGGCAGGAAGCATCCAGCACAGGAGAAAGATGGAGGTCAGAGACTTAGCCAGTCTAGTCCTTGCACATCCCTCTGCCTGCTTTTATCCTGGCTGTACTGGCAGCTGATTAGATGGTGCCCACCCAGATTGAGAGCAGGTCTGCCTCTCCCACCCAGTTCACTGACTCAAATGTTAATCTCCTTTAGCGACACCCTCAATGGACACACCCAGGAACAATACTTTGCATCCTTCAATCCAATCAGGTTGACATTTAATATTAACCATCACAGTAGGCCACACCAATTTTGAAAGCTGTCCCCTATAATAGAGGCAGACTTGCCAGTTACATTACATTAACCTTTGAACATTCAGTTACCCTCCTCTTGGCTCCTGAAAGCAAATACTTACCTCTTCTCTTAGATTACTCAGCATCTTCTTATACACTCTTGTTCAGTTAGGCAACCTCTATCAAATGCCTACTGAATGCCAAGCCCAGAACTGGAGATGAGGCACACAGGGTCTCTTCCTTCTGGAGCTCACAGTTCACATGGGGCTAAGAAGAGAAGGACCTGTGCAAACAGCCAATTAAATAGATTACAATCAAGTATCACCAGAGAGTCAAAGTCCAAGTTGTACAAGGAAAGCTCAGGGCAGGGGACCTCTCTTAACAGCTCATTCTTGGTTGGGCAGCATTACATAGAAGGGATGATGTTTGAGTTAGTTTGCTGGAAGCAAAGGGCATGCTGAGAAGCCCAGCACATGCAATGATGGGGAGGAATGAAAGAGGGAGATATGTGTAGAGAATGGCAGGCCTTTGAAACACAGGTTGGATAGAAGAGTGTGGCAGAAGATGGAGCTGGAAAAGATGGTTTTTGCCCAATGGCATACAGTCCTATTGGGCTATACAAGTCTTTTCTTTTTTTTTTTTTTTTTTCTGTCCTCTTTTACAAACTCAAGTTTGGAGGCATCTGGGCATGAAATCCCTGAGTCTGGGCAGAAATTTTTGTGAGTGCGTTCATCATTCTCCTTCTCAGCTTGATGGCTACAGTCACCTTCCCCAGAAAGGCAGGCAGCTGGAACTACTGTGTTACTGGCTCTCCAAAGTAGAAAGTATGCACAGAGTTCCTGGGGCAGCGTGGGGGATGAGAAAATGCCAAATTTGGTATCAGAACAACTTGAGTCTTCATTCTACCATCCCACCACCTATCAGCTGATAATCTTAGAGAAATTAGTTGGTCACTCTAAATCTCTATTTTTGATCTGTAAAATGGTTACAATTATACCCACCTTATAGTGTAATTAGTAGTAGCATTACAAATAAATTCAGGAGGTCCCTCAAATCTCTGGGACTGGATAGGCAGCGGATGGGTAGACAGATGGAGAAAACTGGAAGAATTTTTTAAATTCTTTGAGGTTTCATTAGAAAAGAAGCTGAGAACGCCATCTCTTCCAACTCCAAAGGAGAGCAAGTGTGATTTCCTGGATTTTCTTAGTACCCCCAGCCTGTCTTCCTTGCTATTTGTCAAACTCACTCCCCAAAGCAGAGTTGAATTTTTAAAAAATGCGTAGGATGACTTGTTACAGATTAGAGAAGGATCCTGACATTAAAACTACAAAATTTCGCAATCATGTAATAGGCTCCTCAGCTAATCTGCTAAATAAAACAAGGAACCTCCCTCCTTGCCACAAGCCCAAAGCCAGTGGCCCCAGTCTAGATACATGGGTAAAATCATAGAGGGACCAAAATATATTTTTTAAAAGTTTTCATTTGAAATACTGTCAAGAAGCTTGCATTCTAGGGTTGGGTGCAGTGGCCCATGGCTGCAATCCCAGCATTTTGGGAGGCCTAGACGACAGATCTCTCAACACCCTCTGTACTAAAAATACAAAAATTAGCTAGGTGTGTTGGCACATGCCTGTAATCTCAGCTACTAGAGAATCTGAGGCAGGAAAATCACTTGAACCCAGGAGGCGGAGGTTGCACTGAGCCGAGATCATGTCACTGCACTCCAGCCTAGGAGACTGAGCAAGACCCTGTCTCAAAAAATAATAATAATGAATAAAATTAAGAAATAAAAGAAGTTTGCATTCCAGACAAAGGTGATTGAACATTCATTACAGCGAAGAGAGAAAATAAAGGACTAAATAACATGCCACAACCAGGCACATCTGGAAGAGCCTCAGCTACTTGGTGAGCTGGCTCCAATCCCCCCTCTACAGACCAGGCTGCTCAGGTGCAGTCCAACCTTTATTCTCTCTGTGATCCTGCCTAGCTCTGATATGATGTGACTGCCTATTTTTCTCCAAGGGGAGAGGCACAGCCTCGTTGGTATGCAAGCTGAGGGAATGGGAGCTTCCTGCTTTCAGGAGCACTCCAGGGCACACCACTCACTTTGCCCATAATCTGTTAACACAGGTAAACCCCAAGGATTTGGACCCCAAATATGCCTACATCCAGGTGACCTATGTCACGCCATTCTTTGAGGAAAAGGAAGTCGAAGACCGGAAGACAGATTTCGAAATGCACCACAACATCAACCGCTTTGTCTTCGAGACGCCCTTCACGCTGTCGGGCAAGAAGCACGGTGGAGTGGCGGAGCAGTGCAAGCGACGGACAATCCTGACAAGTAGGTGCAGGCAGCCGGGCCACATGTGTGCACCTGTTCCAGCACAGGAACACAGGGCTGGATCAGTAGGAATCAAGAGTTATTTCAGTCCTGCAGAGAGGTACTCAAAATGTGCTAACTTGGAAACGTTTGCCAAGAAGAGATTTCCATCTCTTTATTCTCTATTAACAGAAGTCAACCAGAGGAGAAATTGTCAAAAGAGTTGCTTTGCATACCTGTTCCCTTTAGGTTGTAAGTGTGAAGGGTCATGGGGTCAGTGCCTTGGGAAAGGCACAAGGCACTCTGAACTTTCCTCTAAGTCTACCTTCAAGTGTTTCAGGGTTAGCAGCTCTCATCGTGTGCTTTGGGGCGACATTCTAAACCACCACTCTGGGATTCAGATTCTTCATCTGTAGAGCTAATGCAGATGTGGATCTCCAATATCCCTCCATGTGCTCTCTAGATCCATGCTATGAGCTAGTCATCCTTTCATTTCCTCAACACACATTTAATGAGGCCCTACTAGGGGCTGGGCACTGTTCTAGGTACTGGCAACGCAAATGAAACATGATTCTTGCCCTCAAGGTGCTCACAGTCTGGTGGGAGAAAGAACCAAGTAAGGCAAGAATTTCAGGTGAGCAGAGCATGAGAAATGAAACAAGAGCACCCGTGGGGGCTCCTAAGGCTGGCTGCAAGGTGAGCAAGGGCATTCTGGAGGAAATGGTCAGTAACCCGCTTTGAGAACTGGGCCATCTCGGATTAGGCTACAGCCTGTCCATAGCACTGACGTCTAAACTGTGACAAGCATCTGCCTTCAGCAAATGTATCCAAAACTTTTGAAATAAAAAAGCCACAACAAAGCTGTATCAATATATACTATTTGGCATATATTTAGGCATTCTGTATTGTGGGTTAGTATAGTTTTTATATGAATTACAAGTTGCTGTGGAAGCTTTAATCTTTTCAGTGTTTCGAAATTCTAAAGGCTAGCTGGGTGGGGTGGCTCACGCCTGTAATCCCAGCACATTGGGAGGCGAAGGTGGATGGATCATGAGGTCAAGAAATCAAGACCATCCTGGCCAACATGGTGAAACCCCATCTCTACTAAAAATACAAAAATTAGCTGGACATGGTGGTGTACACCTGTAGTCCTAGCTACTTGGGAGGCTGAGGCAGGAGAATCACTTGAACCCGGAAGGCAGAGATTGCAGTGAGCCAAGATCGTGCCACTGCACTCCAGCCTGGCGACACAGTGAGACTCCATCTCAAAAAAAAAGAAAAAAAAATCTAAAGGCCTAAAACAGCCCTGAGAATGAGGGCCTGTTAGCAGTGGAGGCAGAAGAGCACAGCAGGTCAAAGGAGTTTGGGCAAAAGCTAAGAGGTATGAGAGAGGATGGCACCTAGCAGAAAAAGTAATTCCCACTCATGAAAAGCATGCAGAATGGAAGGTGCCATGTGCTGTGAAATGATAGGTGATTCTCTGGTCCTTCAGGGAAACCCTTGACTCTTCACTAATCCTCAACCTTGAAATCCCTTTTGTATGGCTTTTGTGCAGCGAGTCACCTGTTCCCCTACGTGAAGAAGAGAATACAAGTTGTTAGCCAATCGAGCACAGAACTGAATCCAATTGAAGTGGCAATTGACGAGATGTCCAAGAAGGTTTCTGAGCTTAATCAGCTTTGCACAATGGAAGAAGTGGACATGATCAGATTGCAGCTCAAACTGCAAGGAAGTGTCAGCGTGAAGGTGAGTAAGCATTGCCCAGGGCTGAGATGCACATGGCCAATGAAACTGGGTGGGAAATGCCCTGGGAACTTTGTTTACAAAGAATATAAGAAACATTTTTCTGTTTGTGAGAACACCTTTATCTGGGTCTTTAAAATTGCTTCGAGTTGTCAATGTGCATTAACGTTACTCGAAACCTGTAGATCTCTCTTTCTTAGGTTTAGCTGAAATAAAATGTATTCTTCCTCCACTCTGCTATCCCATCTTCTATGGATAGCTGTGTCCTATATCTGTATACTAACAAATGAATTAACAAATGAAGAAACACCACATTCTTGTACACATTTGTCATTAAGGGCCTTAAAAAATCGTTCCGAAACAAATCCAAAAAAGAATGATTACTAGTTCATAAAAGGTGCATACATGTTTATCTGTCTGGCAGAGCTGTGACAGGAAGCAGCTGGCATGCTCAGTGAGTGATTGAGGAGGATAGAGTAAATAAACTGTTCCCAAAAGTGTGTGCGGCATTTGGGAAAGCCAGAAAGGGCTGGCACAGGGACTGGCAGCACTCAGGCGGTGTGACCAGCCTAGACCTGAAGATGCAAGCAGAGGAGGGTTAGTGGAAGCAGACAGGGGAGCTGAGAGGTGCGTCTCATGACAGACAAGTAGACAGGAGGGGCTTCAGCTGGTGACAGGGAGGCTTCTGCAAGCAGGAAGCCTGGGGCCTAGTACTCTGACCAGAGCCAGGCAGGTGAGGTGAGTAAGGCACTCACCTCGGGCACAAAATTAAAGGAAGCCCCAAGTAACTCAGGAATAAGGCATGAATTTTTATTTATTGTATTAATAAATTGATCCTAAGTATTCATAAGGAACAAAGTATTAAATTTTAAAATAAAGGAAGATCAGTAGTAGCACCCTGCACAGCTGTACTGGAGCCTAAAAGCCAAAGAAGGCTGGACACAGTGGCTCATGCCTGTAATCCCAGCACTTTGGGAGGCTGAAGCGGATGGATCACTTGAGGTCAAGAGTTCGAGACCAGCCTCGCCAACATGGTGAAACCCCAGCTCTACTAAAAATACAAAAATTAGCCAAGCGTGGTGGCACACGCCTGTGATCCCAGCTACTTGGGAAGCTGAGGCAGGATAATTGCTTGAACCTGGGAGGTGGAGGTTGCAGTGAACTGAGATCGCACCATTGCACTCCAGCCTGGGTGACAGAGCAAGACTCCATCTCAAAAAATAAAAAAAAAAGAAAGAAAGAAAAAGCCAAAGGAAAAATTAATGCTACTGATCCTGACACTGACCACACTCTTCCCTTCCCTACCTCCCTTGTCTGTGTCCCCCATGGGCCGAGAAGGCCAGAAAGCATGAGAGCCATGGTCCTGTCCCATGCAGGATGACTTCCCTAGGCACACAGCTGAGTGGAGGGAAGTGGAGATTGGATCTGAAGAAGCAAAAGATGGTACACCCAGTACCAGTGATTGCATCTGCCACACTGGCCATGCCTGCTGGTCACAGGCCCCTGAAGTCAGCTTCCTTCTTCTTTTACCTTTTTCCTTCCCAAGCCTGACAGCCACATTAAAAGCTTCTATGCACTAAAGGATTTGGACTCCTGCACAAGTGAGGCCATCCATGTGCATGAGCATGAACTGAACCCATTGTGCATTCATTCAGCAAATCTGATAAATGCCTCCTTGAGCCAGACCATGAAATGGAAGCCAGTGAAACAGTGATTCCGGGGCAGTGCCCACACCACCACCACTGTGGGTTATCCCTTCAAAGTAGTATGTGTTTATCTGAGTGTTAATAGAGAAAAACTAGCACTTCAAACATTTGATTTCACAAATGTTCAATTTAAATAAATATCCTGGAGTTACTAGAAGTGAGTCTAGTTTTAAAAGCTATTAAGAAAACGGCAGATTCGGTGGGTGGGTCATACCTGTAATCCCAGCACTTTGGGAGGCCGAGACGGATGGATTGCTTGAGGCCAAGAGTTCGAGACTAGCCAGGACAATGTAGTGAGACTGTCCCCATCTCTAGAAAAACTTTTTTAAAAAAATTAGCCAGGCATGGCAGCAAACGCCTGTAGTCCCAGCTACTTGAGAGGCTGAGGCGAGAGGATTACTTGAGCCCAGTAGTTTGAAGCTGCAGTGATCATGCCACTGCACTCTAGCCTGGGCAACAGAGTGAGACCCTGTCTCCAACAAAGAAAACAATGAAGAAAAAAAAAACAGCAGTTCAGGTAATGTGCAGATATGGCAAAAAAAAAAAATGGAAGGATTGGCAAAGGACTGAAGTTTAGGAAGTTTGTCAATGAAAGGTAGAGCTCAGACTCATGCTTTATTGACAAGTTGGAGGACGGCAACTAAGTCAGGTATACAAATGAGTGGACTAGAAGGCAGGGTGTGGGATCGGGGTACCACACCATTGGTGCACAGTTGCTACTCCTTCCATGCAGAAGGTAGCTCTTCCTCCACCAATTCTCTTCTCAACAGGTTAATGCCGGGCCAATGGCCTATGCACGAGCTTTTCTTGAAGAAACCAATGCAAAGAAGTACCCTGACAACCAAGTAAAGCTTTTGAAGGAGATCTTCAGGTAAGCTTCTCTTTGTTGGAATGTTCTTCCTTGAACTTCCTCAGACAGGGAGTCCTCAATCCCCCAAGAATCCATCACACCAAAACTCACTGAGGTGGCAGAGTCCATCAGCAGCCTGACTCTGAACTCAGTCACTGAACTCAATGCTACTTGCAAGGACTGGTTTTTAATTTGTTTAATGCTGTTGCTAAAGGCAATTTGCAGATGCATGTGGGCAGGCCCTTGACGTGAATGAGCGCCTCATCAAAGAGGACCAGCTGGAGTACCAGGAAGAACTGAGGTCCCACTACAAGGACATGCTCAGCGAACTCTCCACTATCATGAATGAGCAGGTAAGCGCTCCTTGGTGCACATGCGCGATCAGTGGACAGAAAATCCCTTTCACCCCCAATGCCAGAAGGACAGGAAAGAGGCCCTTTTCTTGCTGCAGAAATCACTGCATCAGCGCCATGTTGCTGATCTATTTTCTCTCCTGTGCACACCACCTCTTGCCCCAAAGCAGAGGTCAGGTTGGGGAAAAATCTATAGAAAAGGATTATGAGAATCCAGATACTTTCCACAGTCCACATGAACCCTTGGTTTTTCTAGACTATGTGAGTCCCATCAAATGCTGAGGAACACTGGGTGGCATTCCCATGAGGGTTTGCTGCCACCCTCCGCCATCCCTGTTTGAGGACCGCACAACCCCAAGGCCGTGATGTGGAGTCCACAGTTGAGGGGGTCTCTGCACTATACTCAGGATGAACCCCAAGACTAGTCATGGCTGTTTGCTACCAAGACTGCCTCTGTGGCGGCTGGGCCTCCTGCAGATGTGCAGAATTCAGATAAAACTCTACCACCCACTCCATAAGCAAGTCATCCGTGATGTCTCGGATGTGTACAGCATGTTCTGTAAGGCTGCACACAAAATGTGGGCATTCAGTCATCTCAGTACTTTCTGGGTGGCTAAAAATCAACTGGTTGAAAGCCAAATATTACTTCCTGTCCGAGTTCCTAGAATTCATAAATACCCCCACGCTCTACCTGCACATCTCAGCACCCGTGCCCCCCCCATCCCCCCACGCTCTACCTGCACATCTCAGCACCCGTGCCCCCCCCATCCCCCCACGCTCTACCTGCACATCTCAGCACCCGTGCCCCCCCATCCCCCCACGCTCTACCTGCACATCTCAGCACCCGTGCCCCCCCCATACCCCCACACTCCACCTGCACATCTCAGCACCTGTGCCCCCCCATACCCCCACGCTCTACCTGCACATCTCAGCACCCGGGCCCCCCCATGCCCCCACGCTCTACCTGCACATCTCAGCACCCGTGCCCCCCTGATACCCCCACACTCTACCTGCACATCTCAGCATCCGTGGTCCCCCATACCCAACACTCTACCTGCACATCTCAGCACCTGTGCTCCATCCCATACCCCCTAGCTCTACCTGTACATCTCAGCACCCCTGCTCCTGCCCATACCCCCACACTCTACCTGCACATCTCAGCACCCGTGCTCCCCGCCATACCCCCACGCTCTACCTGCACATCTCAGCACCTGTGCTCCCCCCATACCCCCACACTCTACCTGCACATCTCAGCACCTGTGCTCCCCCCATACCCCACGCTCTACCTGCATATCTCAGCACCCGTGCCCCCCATACCCCCACACTCTACCTGCACATCTCAGCACCCGTGCCCCCCATACCCCCACGCTCTACCTGTACATCTCAGCACCCGTGCCCCCCATACCCCCACGCTCTACCTGTACATCTCAGCACCCGTGCCCCCCATACCCCCACACTCTACCTGCACATCTCAGCACCCCTGCTCCCCGCCATACCCCCACACTCTACTGCACATCTCAGCACCCGTGCTCCCCGCCATACCCCCACGCTCTACCTGCACATCTCAGCACCCCTGCTCCCCGCCATACCCCCACGCTCTACCTGCACATCTCAGCACCCGTGCTCCCCCCATGTCCCCACACTCTACCTGTACATCTCAGCACCTGTGCCCCCCATGCCCCCACACTCTACCTGCACATCTCAGCACTCGTGCTCCCCGCCATACCCCCACGCTCTACCTGCACATCTCAGCACCCGTGCCCCCCATGCCCCCACACTCTACCTGCACATCTCAGCACCTGTGCACCCCCCATACCCCCACGCTCTACCTGTACATCTCAGCACCCGTGCCCCCCATACCCCCACGCTCTACCTGCACATCTCAGCACCCGTGCTCCCCCCTATACCCCCACATTCTACCTGTACATCTCAGCACCCGTGCCTCCCCATACCCCCACCCTCTACCTGTACATCTCAGCACCCCTGCTCCCCCATACCCCCATATTCTACCTGCACATGTCAGCACCCCTGCTCCCCCATACCCCCACGCTCTACCTGCACATCTCAGCACCCGTGCTCCCCCCTATACCCCCACATTCTACCTGTACATCTCAGCACCCGTGCCTCCCCATACCCCCACCCTCTACCTGTACATCTCAGCACCCCTGCTCCCCCATACCCCCACGCACTACCTGCACATCTCAGCACCCGTGCTCCCCATACCCCCATATTCTACCTGCACATGTCAGCACCCCTGCTCCCCCATACCCCCACGCTCTACCTGCACATCTCAGCACCCCTGCTCCCCCATACCCCCACGCTCTACCTGTACATCTCAGCACCCCTGCTCCCCCATACCGCCACGCTCTACCTGCACATCTCAGCACCCCTGCTCCCCCATACCGCCACATTCCACCTGCACATCTCAGCACCCCTGCTCCCCCATACCCCCACATTCTACCTGCACATCTAAGCACCCCTGCTCCCCCATACTGCCACGCTCTACCTGTACATCTCAGCACCCCTGCTCCCCCATACCCCCACACTCTACCTGCACATCTCAGCACCCGTGCCCCCCCCATACCCCCACACTCTACCTGCACATCTCAGCACTCGTGCTCCCCGCCATACCCCCACGCTCTACCTGCACATCTCAGCACCCGTGCCCCCCCATACCCCCACGCTCTACCTGCACATCTCAGCACCCGTGCCCCCCCATGCCCCCACACTCTACCTGCACATCTCAGCACTCGTGCCCCCCCATGCCCCCACGCTCTACCTGCACATCTCAGCACCCGTGCCCCCCCATACCCCCATGCTCTACCTGTACATCTCAGCACCCCTGCTCCCCCCCATACCCCCATGCTCTACCTGTACATCTCAGCACCCGTGCCCCCTCCATACCCCCACGCTCTACCTGCACATCTCAGCACCCGTGCCCCCCATGCCCCCACGCTCTACCTGCACATGTCAGCACCCGTGCCCCCCCATGCCCCCACGCTCTACCTGCACTTCAGCACCCCTGCTCCCCACCATACCCCCACACTCTACCTGCACATCTCAGCACCCGTGCCCCCCCATACCCCCACGCTCTACCTGCACATCTCAGCACCTGTGCTCCCCGCCATACCCCCACACTCTACCTGTACATCTCAGCACCTGTGCTCCCCCCATACCCCCACACTCTACCTGTACATCTCAGCACCTGTGCTCCCCACCATACCCCCACGCTCTACCTGCACATCTCAGCACCTGTGCTCCCCACCATACCCCCACGCTCTACCTGCACATCTCAGCACCTGTGCTCCCCACCATACCCCCACGCTCTACCTGCACATCTCAGCACCCATGCTCCCCGCCATACCCCCACACTCCACCTGCACATCTCAGCACCCGTGCTCCCCGCCATACCCCCACGCTCTACCTGCACATCTCAGCACCCGTGCCCCCCCCCCATGCCCTCACATTCTACCTGCACATCTCATCACCTGTGCTCCTCTCCAGGACTTAGATGTGTTCTCTACAGAAAAACTGAGGGACAGAACTTGAATTAGCCTCCCAGTAGTGCTTCATACATGGTAGCCACCCACTGAATATGCATTTCCCTTGTTTTCCTTAAATGGCCTGGCATCAATACGATTCACAAACCATGAAGTGTGTTGTATGAATCTGTTTTTTCTAATTGCATTTCCCATCTAGCTTCTTTTCTGTTTTTCCATCTTCTTCCATCTTGATTTTTAACTCTCCATTGTAGCTAGAGAAAGAAATGGTTGACCGAGTTATATTGGAGAAAATGAATTGCCGTAGATAGGATTCCTCATGGAGGTAGTATTGGTTTGGGCTACTTGAGGGGTGATGGGAATTAAGTACTCAGGAGAGATGACTTGATAGAATGGGGAAAATCATAAATCTGGGAGTGAAATAAAAAGAACAAACGATGGATCTGAAAGTTTGGGAAGGTGGTGAAGGAATGCTTGTCTCCAACTGTCAATCACATCTGACCTAGAAACTTTGGACAAAAATGCTTTTTCTCTTTTTTCCTGGCAGCTCTGTCGAGGTCCGTGTTTATACAGCTTCTGTTCCTCTGTGTCTAGTATTTCCCTCAGTACTGTAAGCAAAAGTGGTATGTTTTTCTTTCTTTATGTCTACTCTGTCCTTTGTGGCCTTCTGGTGTACCCCTCTCTTCCTAGCCATTCAGTTTCTCTAGTCACCTCCGTAGTAGCTAGTACTCTCTAAGTTTTTATTTAATCAGAACAATTCCATTTCCGTTTCAAGGTAGATCAACGGCGCGGGGAGGGGGGGGAAGCCTAGTGATTTAAACTGAAGTTAACAACGTAGCTTTTAAAATGAAAATGCATACTCCAACTTTTAAAATATATTTGAGCTGATTTGTTTCCAAAACAAAGATATGCTATACCCCAAAGTGCTAAAACAAAAATATAAAGACAAGGACCAGGTGCCTAAGGAGAGAGAAAAATCATTTCTTTTCCAGGAAACCTTTGCTAAAAGAAGCAAAACTTGACTCTATGCCTCGTGGAAACTGACACAAAGAAAAGAAACTGATGGATTGCACAGGCCTTGTTATAGAAATAGATCTGTAAAAAGATCTGTCCACAGGAAAGATACACCTCCTCCTGGTTCTGAACTTCAGTGGGGATTTGTCACCTAGGTCTCTATCTATCGGAATGCCTTCACATACCTATCTATTCATGCACATATTCTGAAAACAGGTACATATAAAATTACAATGAAGAAAAAAATTCTATTGAACACTTGAAAATAGAAACAGGCTGGGCACAGTGGCTCACGCCTGTAATCCCAGCACTTTGGGAAGCCGAGGTGTCTGGATCACCTGAGGTCAGGAGTGCGAGACCAGCCTGACCAACATGGTGAAACCCCGTCACTACTAAAAATACAAAAAAGAAAAAAAATTAGTCGGGTGTGGTGGCACATGCCTGTAATCCCAGTTACTCAGAAGGCTGAGGCAGGAGAATCACTGAACTCAGGAGGCAGAGGTTGCAGTGAACCAAGATCATACTATTGCACTCCAGCCTGAGTGACAAGAGCAAAACTCCGTCTTAAAAAAAAAAAAAAGAAAAAGAAAAAAGAAACAATTAGAATGGATAGCTAGACATCAAAATATAAAAAAGAAATAGAAAAATAGAATTAATTATGTGTAAGCAAACCCAGATTTGGCTGCTCTCTGCTCAAAAGCTGAATGCTAGAAGTGAGAGTTGATGGGAGGAAAAGCAGGTTTATTCAAAGAGCCAGCAAACATGAAGATGGTGATCCAGCATCCTAATGTGGCATCTTAACTCAGTACACATTTTAGGCGCTTTTTAAGTTAAGGGCAAGGAGAAAAGAAAGTGGTTGAAATCAAGAAGTGTCTGATGACCACAGATAGCTGGGCACCAGCAAGGGTCTGAGGAGGCTGGAAACTTCCTTGTCCTTGGTCAAGTCACAGTGCTCCTATAAATCTTTTAACAAAACATTGTCAGTTGTTTACGTACTTCTTTAATCCCATAGTTAGTTTTAAAATCTACGTGAGGCCTGGCGCAGTGGCTCACACCTGTAATCCCAGCACTTTGGGAGGCTGAGATAGGCAGATTGCCTGAGGTCAGGAGTTCGAGACCAGCCTGGCCAACATGGTGAAACCCCGTCTCTACTAAAAATACAAAAATTAGCTGGGCGTAGTGGCAGGTGCCTGTAATTCCAGCTATTTGGGAGGCTGAGGCAGGAGAATCGCTTGAATCCAGGAGGCGGAGGTTGCAGTGAGCTGAGATCGTGCCACTGCACTCCAACCTGGGTGACAAAGGGAGACTCCGTCTAAAAAAAAACTACATGATTGCTGTTTTTTCAGATTGTATCAGTGCTCCAAAATGATCCCAGCTTACATGCAGGAATAGGTAAAAGCCCCATGATTAAAACTAAAAAATGTAGTTATGTTCGTCCTTCTGCTGTTTCAGCTACATATGCAATTCACTCGAAAAGTGTCTAGAAAAGTATTAGCTTGGGGAGTATTTTGAATACATCTAGTTAATGAAGGAACCTTCAGTATAAGGAAAGAGACAAGACAAGATAAAGTGGATGCTACTGTGTAAAATGGAGATGTTGAGATAAAGTAGTTTGAGTTGTCACTGACCAGCAGGCAATAATTTTTTTTTTTTTTTTTTTTTTTTTTTTTTTTTTTTGAGACGGAGTCTCGCTCAGTCACCCAGGCTGGAGTGCAGTGGCACAATCTCGGCTCACTGCAAGCTCCACCTCCCGAGTTCATGCCATTCTCCTGCCTCAGCCTCCCAAGTAGCTGGGACTACAGGTGCCCGCCACCTCACCCGGCTAATTTTTTTGTATTTTTAGTAGAGACAGGGTTTCACCATGTCAGCCAGGACGGACACAATCTGCTGACCTCGTGATCCACCCACCTCGGCCTCCCAAAGTGCTGGGATTACAGGCGTGAGCCACCGCGCATGGCAATAATTGCTTTTATAGGTGCCAAAATTCCATACTGTTTATAATAAATAGCAAAAAAACATAAAAGGCTTCTTTGAGGCCAAAGGAATGCATATAAGCATTCAGATTAAGCATCAGTGTAAGATGCCCATTTGGAGTCTGTTTCAACATTCAGTAAGAATAACAGCATACTGAAGTCAACTGTGACGATGGGTATCCAATGTAAAATACAGAGAAAGGAACAGACCCAATCTGGTGTGATGCCAAGCATAGGTATACTGCACCTGGAGTCTACTCTTTGAACACATCATCAGTCGGATTATTTATTCAGAGCTTTGTGATATTGATCGTAAGGAGAATTTATTGGTAGTATAGGATGCTCTCAGCTGAGTGCTCTTTGGGGAACAGAAGTAGCGATTTTATCTTGGAAGAGTAGAGATGGTGGTCATGGCACAGTGGGACAATGTGTGAAGTTAGTGGAAAAATCTTCACAATTCTTTGTACAGAAATCTCTTCTGTACAAAGATATATTTTTAAAGTGTCTGGAGTTTCTGCTGTTATTGTGCTTACACATCCTTATTTGAATCAATCTGATAAAGTATTTTTTAGGCACACTAACATTATTTTCAAAATTAAAATCAGGTCAAGACTTTTATTTACTGTATTTCCTTTTATGCAAACATTTAAATGAGGTTTCTAATGTTTCCCCTTTTTTGGCACATGCTGACAATATAAATGATAACCTTTTAGAATAGAATAAAATCCTGGAATTACTCAGATATATTTTGTAAGTTTCATCCAACATTTATAAATTTATGTCAGATAGCGGAAGATGATGGTGAAACTATTTTTACTTTCACCAAAAGTTAAAGCCAGCACACCGTCTTGGGGAAAAATTCTTTAGATCTACTTTGATATGAGTCTTTCCATAATTTGCATAAATTGCCCTGTGGGGAATAAAAACCTGTATTCTGGGTTTTAATTTTGTGTTTGGGATATTAACATTAACCTCTGCATTATTTTATTTTGTTGTGTTGTTTTTTCCTGTTTTAAGATTACGGGCAGGGACGACCCATCAAAGCGCGGAGTGGACCAAACCTGCACTCGAGTAATTAGCAAAGCAACTCCGGCCCTACCCGCGGTCTCCATCTCATCTAGTGCTGAAGTCTGAGGGCTCTGCTGCATCAGACCCACCTCTAAGAGAACTTTCTGAATTTGCAGCTAATCTCGGGGAAGACAGGTTTAATTTATTTGAAGTTTTCATGGTGTTAATATTTTTGTTTACCTCGCTAAGCTTCAGAATTTTGCCAATCTCTGAATTTGCACATTTTGTATAATTTTTTTTTTCTTTGAGCAGTGTTGATCAAGCCAAGGTGAGTATTTGCCATGAAATTCCAGTGAATGTGTAGCTCAAATGCAAACCCTAAGTTTGCTGTCAGTTATTGTATGGTCAGTACCCCAGTCCTAGTACACATATTTTAAAGGTTAAAGTGAATGTTTTTGTAACATTTAAGCATATTTCAGATGTAAATAAAAGATTGTAAAATATACGGTTTTTACCAAATTTAAAAGATCCTTTTTAGTTAATACTATGACAGTACTAAAAATATATGAATAACATTTCAGATACCATTATATTAAAATATTTGTGTATGTGTACAGAAGTGTTGATAAATACTAATCTTTAAAGTTTGTGGAGTTTCTTTATTTGTAATATATGTGCTCTTAAAAGCAATGGGATGTGAAATTATGAAAGTATTTTATTGTTCATAGAAATAAAAAATACGGTTACTTTGCATTTGGTTTCCTCTTGAAGACTGGGTGCGTTACTGAGAAAAACGGTTCATTGGATACCTACTGAATGCAAATCTACACTCAATACTTAGGATGCCTTGCCAAGAAGCCAAGAAAGGACTCACATCTCAGCTCAGAAGTTCCTCCAAAGATGAAATGGGTAGATCAGAGGTTTCCAAACATAAGAGAGACTTAGAATGACTTGGGGAAAATATAATGAATCCGAATCTTAAGGTTTGTGGAGGTTCTCAGAGGGATCACAAATGTTCCATTTCTCTGCTCTAACCTTGTGGTAGGATTGCACTTTCCTGCCTCTTTTGAAGGCAAGCATGATCATGTGACTTGCTATAACCATTGAAATGTAGGCAGAAGTAACGTGTTACTTTCAGGCAGAGGCTTCAAAGCCAGTAAGTAGTTCTTCCCAGTCGCTTCCCCTGATGTACTTACTGATGTACCTGAAGCCGTGATTTACTTACCTTTGACGTACTGTGTCAGCCTCAATACCCAAGTAATCACAGTGAGCAAGACACACACACACACACACACACTCTCTCTCTCTCTCTCTCTCTCTCTCTCTCTCTCTCTGCTAACCCTGTTGGTCATATAGTCTTGAGTGAGAAATACCATTTCGCTGTGTTACGATTCAAGATTGTTTGTTACCGCCATGTCATAAGCTTATCAGAGCTATGACTGATAGGTGCTGACCCAGGTTTGGGAACCACTGACATTTTCCACCCTCTGGCCCACTTCCCTTCCCTAGCGAATACTGCCTGCCATGGACCTGAACTGAGCTGCTTCTAGGTGTGCAGAAGGCAAGCTAGAGAATTTAATTTTCATATTCACCTTCAGCAGTCATTCCAAAGCCTCAGACTCAAAGAAGGAGACTTTAGCTGAGTTCATATTTCTGCTATGCAAGTCCATTGGCCATGTCAGTACTTGATGGTGAGGAGGGAGGTGAGAGGTTGGAATGCATATTTAAATGTTGAGTACACAGAAGTGATAGAAAGATATTTTGGGTGAGAACTCTGATGCCTCAAGACACTTTTTTTAAATTTTGTTTATTTATTTTTTTGAGACAGAGTCTTGCTCTGTGCCCAGGCTGGAGTGTGATGGCACGATCTCGGCTAACTGTAGCCTCTGCCTCCCAGGTTCAAGCGATTCTCCTGCCTCAGCCTCCCGAGTAGCTGGGATTACAGGCATGCACCACCATGCCTGGCTAATTTTTGTACTTATAGTAGAGACAGGGTTTCACCATATTGGCCAGGATGGTCTCAATCTCCTGACCTCGTGATCTGCCCGCCTTGGCCTCCCAAAGTGCTGGGATTACAGGCATGAGCCACCGCGCCAGGCCTCAAGACACATTTTAACTATTCTTTTCTTAAATAGATCTCACTTCTTTATTTAGAAAAGATTGCCCTGTGATGAGCTCTGGCCCAAAGCATTATTCCCAGCTTAATTCTGGCTCCAGTTCTCTTGGTTCCTGACTGTCTGGGTCAGCATCTCAGGTCTTTTAATTTCCCTGTATGTAGCTTTAGGCCACCTTAGATATCACTATTCCAGGCACCCAGGAGGACTCTGCCTCCGATATCATCTCCCACCTAATTCCCTCCTGTAGGCTCAAGTCCTCTCGCCCATGCCAATCCACCCATCTCCCATGCCCCCAGGACATAGCTGGCAATGGGTTGCCTCCAAATCTGAAAATAAATCTTCCCAAAAAATCTCCAAGGAAGTAATTGAAAATAATAGACCTTTGTGCCTGTGTCAGGTGCCAAATATTCTAATTTTTCCATCACAAACCACAGTATCTTTGAGAACGTCACTGTTTTGCCCCTGACACTGCTCACAGAACAAGAATTTTAAATACAACTGCTCTAAAGAGAATCACCTAAGACCACACTGCCTTAACAGCATTGAAACTCACCCTGCACAATCCCAACACCTTTTACTTCTTCCTTTCTCTAGAGCAGATGCATCAGACTGGCTGCTTAGCGATGGAATCCAGTATGCATGTTTTATCTGCCAAACACGTAGTCTTAATTTTATTTCAGTTAGGTGTCAACATTTAAATATTAGGAGACTTTGTATAGATTTCCAGCTCCCTGGTATCTGTTGAATGGTCAGGCCATTTAGCAGTATCGGAATCGCACTCCCCCATCACAACAATAAGTGAAAATTGAGACACTGTTGCCCCACTTGTGTTTTCCGGCTTGCAGCAATATGCACCAAGCCCTAATCGACTTATACCAGGCAGCCCCTCTTATTTATATTTCCTGGCTAGATCCCATAGGCATGTCTAGACCCCAGTTCAAACAAACTATTATTATCTATCTCACTGTAGTAATCACTCATGGACAGAAGACCACTTGCTTCAGAATCAGATAAAACACCTGTTAAGATGCATACTTCTCTGTGCCATAAGAACTTCTGAAATAGAACCCCAGGAGTGGAGTCCAGTACCCAGGCCCACATGATTCTTAGACATACTGGGTATAAAAAAATCCACTGGGTCCTCCGCTAATTAGCTACCCCTAAAAAAATTACTGTACAGATGATAAAGCCTTGTAAAACAGTGACCTGATTTTGAATTGCCAAGAAACCAAATTCTTATTTTATATTCTTTTTCATCTTTGTATAAAGTTAAATTAATACTCCTCAAAATAAGCCCAATAAAAAATGGTAGTAACTCTTCCAGTTCTACAGATGAAAAGGATGAAAAGAAGACAAATGGCATTTTCCCCTATAATTTACCCTGGAAAGGATCCAACACAGAATACGTGGATCTAATACTTGGGATGTCAGCCCTGGCTCTGTCCCCTCATTCATTCATCATCCCGCTCAGTAGCTACTTCTCTTTTCATTCTCATTTCAAAGTGCAAAATGCTCAGACTATAAAAAATGAGCATAATCCCCTATTTTTGGTGACAATTACAAGTGAGTGTCCATTATCCAAACCTCATATAGTACATCTCTAGTCCTGTGTTAACACTCACTTAGAAACCAATACAAATGGTCCAATCACCATGTTTCCTTCCTAATGACAGCTTTCTTGGGGATGTAGTCACAGGGAGATGGAGAGAACATTGCTGGGAAGGCCTGGCTTTTACAATCCTGAACGCTGGTCTCTCTGCAGAAGGGGGTCCACCATATTTGCAGGCGGATGATTTATCATCTTATATTAGTCAAACCCCAGAAAGCCAAAAATATATATATTATAGAATTTTAGTACTCCTATGAGCAGTTAGGAAATAAGAAACTTTTGAGAACAAATGTGACAAAATGATACTAAAAGTTATTATTTGCTCATATTACAAGTGGCTCCCACATCCCCCACCCCTACACTTAGAGCAGTGAAAAACTATATACCATATATTAAATGTTATATGTTAATATATTTTGTTGAGAAAATGACGAAGTGTAGGCATGATTGGCCTTCAAGATTCTCTGCAGAGAGCCCCTTGCCTTCCTCCTAATTTCATATCCCATCTGCTTGCCTATGCGCAACCTTCACTAGAGCTGCAATGTTCTGCTCACTTAAGAGGAAAAAAAAAAAAAAACAGGCCGGGAGTGGTGGCTCACACCTGTAATCTCAGCACTTTGGGAGGCCGAGGTGGGTGATTCATGAGGTCAGGAGATCGAGACCATCCTGGCTAACACAGTGAAACCCCGTCTCTACTAAAAATACAAAAAATTAGCCGGGCGAGGTGGCAGGCACCTTTAGTCCCAGCTACTCAGGAGGCTGAGGCAGGAGAATGGCCTGAACCCGGGAGGTGGAGCTTGCAGTGAGCCAAGATCTCACCATTGTACTCCAGCCTGGGCGACAGAGCAAGACTCCATCTCAAAAAAAAAAAAACAAAAAACCATTCCTGTCCTTTCCTCCCTTTTCTCCCAGCACGGAAATCTAACCCATACACATCAGGAGCCAGCTTAATTCATATGTACAGTGCATGCAGCGAAATCATACCTAGATCTTCCTTCAGAACTGAGATCCCCGTTTCCCCAGCTATGTGGACTCCCAGTGGATCTCAGCTGAGTCCCTCTTGCTCCAGGTCACATCATCAGCCCAGCGGAAGCTCACTTCAATGACTGGTTGAGGATGAGAAGCACAAAGGCGCTCATTGCCCCAGCTCTAAAAATCATCCTGGTTCCACAGCTTTTCCTAATAGGCCTCTTGCAACTGCTTCACAGTTCAACTCCTCCCTCTAAGCAAATTCCCAAGAAGCACTGGAAATTGCTTTGTAAACATCTTGCATGTAAATCTCCACCTCAGAGCCTGTCTTTTTGGGAGTGGGTTAAGTCAGGAGGTTCTCCTGAGGCTTTGCTTGTGTTCCTAGCTTGCCTGGATTTTCCATCCTCTGCCCATGACTGGCAGGTGTTGCTTGCATCACCCGTCTCCCTCTTCTCCTTAGTTATGTCATCCGTTATCATGTCATTGTCTGTGTTTTCTTCCAATCCTGTCATGGCTTCCCTGAAGCAGATTGTGTCTTAATCTTTGTAATCTTGAAGATTTGACATATTGACCTGCCCTTCAGAGTTTTGGAGTCAAATTCTCAACGTTCTGTTGAATGGAGTCGTTCCAGAGAAAATGCTAGGGCAGGGAATGGGGAGCAGAGGAAGATGGATTAGGGGCCCAGACTTCATCGTAGGAATGAGTGTCCTTGAATCTCTTTTACAAGCGACTATTTTTGAAAATATCAGAGTTTACTGGATTTTGGCTTCTTTTCAGTTCTCAGGGTTTTGCCACTGAAGTATTTGATACTGGATATGTTTATCTGCAGGAGCAAACTTAGGCAAAATTGTTAACAACATGATCTTTTTATTTGGAAGTTTCCCAAGTCGTCTTTGCTCCAAGCTCCGTTAGATTCTTGTCCTCTCCGGTCACCTGCTACCTACCATTACCTTGTCACAGTCCTTTCTCAGCCTCCACCCAGGCCCGCCTTGGTTAAACAGAGCCCCCTCCCCTTCTCACTCCGTGCCTTTTTTGTTTCCAAAGGGACTCCAATTCAA